ATTGCATGGATAATACTACATTTTATTTATCTGTTCATCAGTTAATAGGCATTTGCATTCTTTCCAGTTTTGGATTATTATGACAAATGCTGTTGTAAATAGTCAAGTCCAGCTGTCTGGACATATCCTTTTATTTCTCTTGAGTGTATACCCAGGAGTGGGATGGCTAGGTAACTCTTTGTTGAACGCTTTGTGGAACTGCCGTACTATTTTACGAAGTGGCCACACCATTTTACATTTGCACCAGCAATGTATAGAAGTTCTAGTTTCTCCACATCCATGCCAACACTTATTGTTACCTGACTTTTCGAATCTAGCCATCCTAGTAGGTATGAAGTGGCATCTCATTAAAGTTTTAATTTGTATTTTCCTGATGACCCATGATGTTGAACATGTTTTCATGTGCTTATTGGCCATTTGTGTATCTTGTTTACAGAAACATTTATTCAGTGTTAAATTCCAAAGGAGATTATTATTAAACATAATTACAGCTGGTGTGTGAATACTTAAAAACAACATGGATTAGTTCTTTGTGAACTAAGACTGTCCATCCATGTGAATGAATTCACTAATCAGTTATTCAAAACTCAAGTTTCATTTATGTATTTATTTTTAAGACACAGAATCTTACTCTGTCACCCAGGCTGGAGTACACTGGTGTAATCACAGCTCACTGCAACCTCAAACTTCTGGGCTCGAGCAGCCCTCCCACCTCAGCCTCCCTGAGTAGTTGAGACCACAGGCACACACTACTGTGCCCATGTAATTTTTTTTTTTTTTTTTTTTTTTTTTTTTTGAGACGGAGTTTCACCCTTGTTACCCAGGCTGGAGTGCAATGGCGCGATCTCGGCTCACCGCAACCTCCGCCTCCTGGGCTCAGGTAATTCTCCTGCCTCAGCCTCCTGAGTAGCTGGGATTACAGGCACGCAGCCACCACGCCCAGCTAGTTTTTTTGTATTTTTAGTGGAGACGGGGTTTCACCACGTTGACCAGGATGGTCTCGATCTCTCGACCTTGTGATCCACCCGCCTCGGCCTCCCAAAGTGCTGGGATTACAGGCCATGTAATTTTTTAAGAGTTTTTGTAGAGGCAGGGGTCTCACTTTGTTGCCCAGGCTGGTTTTAAACTCCTGGCTTCAAGCAATCCTCCCATCTCTGCCTCTGCTTCCCAAACTACTGGAGATTACAGGCATGAGCCACCACACCCAGCCAAGTTTCATCTTTATTAATTATATTTCTAAGTTCAAGGAATGTAGCTGAAGCTAGTGTATTTTGAGTTCAGTGAAGTAGTTTAGAGAGTGTTTCATTAATTGTTTACATTTAAGTGGAGCGGTAGGGGCTGGATAAACTGTGGCATCCCAATAGGGTTGATGCATGTCTTTTTCAGGGAAGGTCTTTGGTACTCTCTGAGCTTGACTTTGGTCTGATAAGCATTTTTACAGTGACCTGAGTTAAGGGAGACTTGAGATAGCCTAAATCTGAGTAAAAGCCAGTTCAAAAGTTGAGAATGTATTAGCAGTGTCATGGCTGCTAATAAGTTAGGGTTGGTGGCATTGATAGAAATTCATTGTACTAGTCATAGAAAGTAGCATTTTTACTGGGTCATGTTGTATACTGGGTCTAATTAAGAATTAGAAGAAATACTTTTTGTGGTGTTGTTTCAGCTCTTCTGATTATTGACTTTCTTTGGGCAAGTGTCTTAACCTAAGCTTCAATTTTCTCATCTCTAAGGTCATAGTAATTATCTGGTTCTATTTCTTAGAGTTGCAAAAATCAAATAACATGTTTGAAAACACTAAGAAATTGTAGAGCATTTTTACATGTTTGTGTGATGTTGGTATTAATTCTGGGTACTATGTCTTCAGTTGGCCACTGGCAGCCTGTTTGAAGGACATGAGAGAGAAGACTTTATTGTTCTAGAATTGAACTAGAAAATGGCTGGGCACGGTGACTCATGCCTGTAATTCCAGTACATTGGGAGGCTGAGGCGGGTGTATTACCTGAGGTCAGGAGTTCAAGACCAGCCTGGCCAACCTGGCCAACATGGTGAAACCCTGTCTCTACTAAAAATACAAAAATTAGCTGGGTGTGGTGGTGTGCCCCAGTAATACCAGCTACTCGGGAGGCTGATGCAGGAAAATTGCTCGAACCCGGGAGGCGGAGGTCACAGTGAGCAGAGATCACGCCACTGCACTCCAGCAGCCTGGGTGACAGATCAAGACTCTGTCTCAAAAAAAAAAAACAAGGTAAAAGTTTTAGGGAGGTAATTTTTAGCTCTGTGATGAGCTCTACTAGTTTAGGTATCGTTATGAAATGCACTGAGTGGAAAACTGATGGAAAGGATTTCTGTATTGGGCATGAAGTTGACCTATATCTCATAATGGGTGTTTTGGAGTGTTTTTCTGTCTTCTTTCTAGGCACTGTTCTAAAGGGTTTTTATGTGTTAACTTTTTTTAATTGATATAGTTGTACGTATTTTGGGGGTACAGGTGATATTTTGATACATATTTAAAGTGATCAAATCAGGATAATTGGGATATTCAGTACCTTAGACATTTTTCTTTGTGTTGGGAATGTTACAGTTCTTCTCTTTTGGTTGTTTTGAATATACAATAAATTATTGCAAATTATAGTTTCCCTACTTTACTATCGAATACTAGAACTTATTCCTTTTAACTATATTTCTGTACCAACTTTTCTTCATGCTTCCTCCCTTCCCTGCTTCTCCTAACCACCGTTCTACTCTCTACCTCCATTATATCCACTTTTTTAGCTCCTACGTGTGAGAGAGAATGTGCAATATTTGTCTTTCTGTGCCTGGCTTATTTCACTTAACATGATGACCTTCACTTCCATACATGCTCTTGCAAATGGCAGGCTTTCATTCTTTTTTATGGCTGAATAGTATTCCATTGCATACGTTTACCGTATTTTCTTTATCCATAAACTGTCGATGGACACTTGGGTTGATTCTGTATCTTGGCTATTGTGAATAGTGCTGCAGTAAATGTGGGAGTGCAGATATCACTTTGGTATGCTGATTTCCTTTCTCTTGGTTAGATACTCAGCAGTGGAATTGCTGGATCATATGGCAATTCTATTTTTAGTTGTTAGCGGGTTTTTTGTTTGTTTGTTTATTTTGAGACAAGGTCTCTTTCTGTCACCTAGACTGGAGTGCAGTGACACAGTCACGGCTCTTTGCAACCTCAACCTCCTGGGCTTAAGTGATCCTCTCTGTTAGCTGTGACCACAGGCATGCACCAGTATGCCAGGCTAATTTTTTTGTTTTTTTAATTTGTTGTAGAGACAGGGTCTCCCTGTGTTATCCAGGCCGGGATTACATATGTGAGCCACCACACACAGCCTATTTTTAGTTTTTTGTTTGAGGAACCTCCACACTGTTCTCTGTAGTGGCTGTAGTCACATGGTCACCAACAGTATATGAGGGTTCCCCTTCCTCCACATCCTCACAGGCATCTGCTATTTTTGGTCTTTTTGATAATAGTCATTTTAACTGGGTTGAGATGATTTTTCATTGTGGTTTTGATTTACATTTCCTTGATGATTAGTAATGTTGCATTTTTTCATATACCTTTTGGCCATTTGTATGTCTTCTTTTGAGAAATGTTTATTCAGGTATTTTGCTTATTTTTTAAGTGGAGTTATTTGGTTTTATTTTGCTATTGAGTTGAGTTCCTTATGTATTCTGGCTATTAATCCCTTGTCAGGTGGATATTTTGCAGAATTTTCTCTCATTCTGTGGGTTGTCTCTTCACACTTGATTATTTCTTCTGCTGTATAAAAGCTTTTTAGCTTGATGTAATCTCCTTTGTCTATTTTTGCTTTTGTTGCCTGTCTTTTTTTTTTTTTTTTTTTTTTTTTTGAGATTGAGTCTCACTCTGTGGCCCAGGCTGGAGTGCAGTGGTGTGATCTTGGCTCACTGCAACCTTTGCCTCCCGGGTTCAAGCGATTCCCCTGCCTCAGCCTCCTGAGTAGCTGGGACTACAGGCATGGGCCACCATGCCTGGCTAATTGTTTTTGTATTTTAGTAGAGATAGGGTTTCACCGTGTTGGCCAGGGTGGTCTTGATCTCTTGACCTTATGATTTGCATGCCTCGGCCTCCTGAAGTGCTGGGATTACAGGCATGAGCCACCGTGCCTGGCCTGTTGCCTGTCTTTTTAAGATCTTACCCAAAGAAATCTTTGCCCAGGCCAGTGTCTTAGAGCATTTCCCCAGTGTTTTCTTCTAATAGTTTCATAGCCTCAGGTCTCATGTTTAAGCCTTTAATTCATTTTGAGTTGATTTTTGTATAGTGTGAGAGATGGGGATTCTAGTTTCATTCTTTTGCATATGGTTATTGAGTTTTCCCATCACCATTTATTAAAGAAACTGTCCTTTCCCCAATGTATGTTTTTGGTGCTTTTGTGGAAAATGAGTTGGCTACGTGTGGATTTCTGGGTTCTGTATTTTGCATTAACTCTTAATACTGAGAACAACTTTATGAGATTGGGAATCATTATCACCTCCATTTTACAGCTGGAAAAACTGAGGCACAAAAAGGTTAAGTTACTTGCCTAAGGTTACAGGGCTAGTAAGTAGCAGAGTTAAAATGGAGAACAAGGCAGTCTAGGTCTAGGAGTCCATGCTGTTAACTCCTTCATTACCAACCAACCCTGGAAGTATGTAAGAGGAAAACAAATTGTATTCTACTTATTTTTGCTAACTTTGATATTATGTATGTGTAATGGTAAGGATGTAGAAATGAGTTAGGAAGCTTTTACTTAAAGTGACAGAAAATTATTGCTCTTAATGTCAAATACAAATGTATTAAATATTTCTTCTTCAAAATAGTAGAGAATGTTTGAAGAACTACTTTGAAATATGGAAAACTTACTATGTTAATTCCCCTTGAAGTTTACTTCGGAATGATTTAACAATATATAGTGTGAAAAGGAGATCATTTTCAGGGGAGCTTAATACATTTACCCTTTACTTTAAAGATGATCTCAAGCTTTTTAGATCAGCAAGCCATCCTGTTTGTGGACACTGCTGATCGCCTGGCCTCGTTAGCTAGAGATGCTCTGGTTCATGCACGCCTGCCTAGTTTTGCCATCCCATATGCCATTGATGTACTGACTACTGGATCTTATCCGCGGCTGCCAACCTGCATTAGGGTAAGTGCTTTGCCCTCATGTTCCTAAAAACTAAAGGTTTTAGCATTGGATTGGATTGTATAATAATACAATCCAATTAAGTAGCCCAGCAAAAACCATATTGTTAAAACAAAGAGTACATATAGTTCACTTTTTTCTCTATAACTAAAGTTGTGACTTTTTAAAAATAAGTTGGGACCAGAATGTGAGTAGATATAAAAATGGGTGAAGGTTTTATTTTTTTCCCCCAGGGGTGAGCAGATGTACAAACAGCAACATCTATTTCAGTCGTGAAAATGCTACGTGCTAGTTGCTTTTTGAAAGCGTTTTAAAATTATTGTTTTCGTAGTTTACTGACTTAGTGAGACATTGTATTTTATACTTGTAAGAACTTGTGGAAGTTATCAAGTGATATTAAGTTGGTTCATAAATAGAGCATAAAGGAGGTTATGTTGTATTATTATCTTAGATAAATGACTGTAATCATTGTTGCTCTAATGTATGATAGTAATGGCCATTGTTATTGGATGTAGACTGCAGAAATGAGTGTTGAGATTCTCTTGGGTAAAGTACAAAAACACTGTATAAAGACAGACAAAGGTAAAAAAAAATTATCCCTTTTTGTACATTATTTAAAAATCACTTAAATTTTTTTCCAGGATAAAATTATTCCTCCAGACCCAATTACCAAAATTGAAAAACAAGCCACACTCCATCAGCTGAATCAGATTCTTAGACATCGGCTTGTAACCACAGATCTTCCTCCTCAGTTAGCAAATCTTACAGTTGGTATGTACATGAAATTTCTTTTTTTAAGAGTTGGTGGCCAGGTGTGGTGGCTCATGCCTGTAATCTCAGCACTTTAGGAGGCTGAGGCAGGTGGATCACTTGAGGTCAGGAGTTTGAGACCAGCCTGGCCAACATGGTGAAACTCTGTCTCTACTAAAAATACAAAAATTAGCAAGAAGCAGCTTCCCTGCTCCTTCTGGAATCTCTCCCTGGTTCAGCCCGCCTGCCTCCACTCCTGCCTCCACCATGTCCATCAGGGTGACCCAGAAATCCTGCAGGGTGTCCACCTCTGGCCCCGGGGCCGGGGCCTTCAGCAGCCGCTCCTTCACTAGTTGGCCCAGTGCCCGCTCGAGCTCCTCGAGCTTCTCCCAAGTGAGCAGCACTGGCTTCCGCGGTGGCCTGGGTGCAGGCTATGCTGGGGCCAGCGGCATAGGCATGGGAGGCATCACCGCCGTCACTATCAACCAGAGCCTGCTGAATCCCATTAAGCTGGACGTGGACCCCAACATCCAGGCCGTGCGTACCCAGGAGAAGGAGCAGATCAAGACCCTCAACAACAAGTTTGCTTCCTTCATCGACAAGGTGCGGTTCCTGGAGCAGCAGAACAAGATGCTAGAGACCAAGTGGAGTCTCCTGCAGCAGCAGAAAATGGCTAGGAGCAACATGACAACATGTTTGAGAGCTACATCAACAACCTGAGGAGGCAGCTGGAGACTCTGGGCCAGGAGAAGCTGAAGCTGGAGGCGGAGCTTGGCAACATGCAGGGGCTGGTGGAGGACTTCAAGAACAAGTATGAGGAAGAGATCAATAAGCGTACAGAGATGGAGAATGAATTTGTCCTCATCAAGAAGGATGTGGATGAAGCTTACATGAACAAGGTAGAGCTGGAGTCTCTCCTGGAAGGACTGACTGACGAGATCAGCTTCCTCAGGCAGCTGCATGAAGAGGAGATCCGGGAGCTGCAGTCCCAGATCTCCGACACGTCTGTGGTGCTGTCCATGGACAACAGCCGCTCCCTGGACGTGGACAGCATCATCGCTGAGGTCAAGGCGCAGTACGAGGAGATCGCCAATCGCAGCCGGGCTGAGGCGGAGAGCGTATACCAGATCAAGTATGAGGAGCTGCAGAAGCTGTCTGGGAAGCACGGGGATGACCTGCGGCGTACAAAGACTGAGATCTCCGAGATGAACCAGAACATCAGCCGGCTTCAGGCTGAGATCGAGGGCCTCAAAGGCCAGAGGGCTTCCCTGGAGGCCACCATTTTAGATGCTGAGCATCGTGGGGAGCAGGCGCTCAAGGATGCTCGTGCCAAGCAGCAGCAGCTGGAGGAAGCCCTGCAGCAAGCCAAGCAGGACATGGCACGGCAGCTGCCTGACTACCAGGAGCTGATGAATGCCAAACTGGCCCTGGACATCGAGATCGCCACCTACCGCAGGCTACTGGAGGGCGAGGAGAGCCGGCTGGAGTCCGGGATGCAGAACATGAGTATCCACACGAAGACCACCAGCGGCTATGCAGGTGGTCTGAGCTCTGCCTATGGGGGCCTCACAAGCCCCGGCCTCAGCTACAGCCTGGGCTCCAGCTTTGGCTCTGGCGGGGGCTCTACCTTCAGCCGCACCAGCTCCACCAAGGCTGAGGTTGTGAAGAAGATTGAGACCCGCGATGGGAGGCTGGTGTCCGAGTCCTCTGACGTCCTGCCCAAGTGAACAGCTGCAACAGCCCCTCCCAGCCTGCCCCTCCTGAGGCTGCCCCAGAGCCCGGGAGGGAGGCCACTGTGCAGGGGAGCACAGGGAACAGGAGATCCACTCGATGCTCAGCCCTACCCCTCAGCCCATCTGCGGGGAGTTTACTGCCTGGGGACCCCCCCCTTTGCCCATGCCTCCAGCTGCAAAACAATTCAATTGGCTTTTTTTTTTTTTTTTTTTTTTTGGGTCCAAAATAAAATCTCAGCTAGCTTGGACAACTGTCAAAAAAAAAAACAAAAAACAAAAAACAAAAAACAAAATTTAGCCAGGTGTGGTGGCACACACCTGTAATCCCAGCTAATTGGGTGGCTGAGGCACGAGAATTGCTTGAACCTGGGAGGCAGAGGTTGCAGTGAGCCAAGCTTGCACCACTGTACTCCAGACTGAGTGACACAATTTACATATTAGAATATTTTCTTAAACAGCTTTTTTAGTTCTATAGTTTTATTCAAATAGCATTATGAAAATTCGACTCACAATTTTGTGGTGTTTGATTCTATAACTTGTCAGCCATGTCATTTCTCTTTACTACCTAGAAATACAGTGCTGGTATTTGCAGCTTGGGAGTGGGACTGGAAAAAGAGAAGAGTTCCCAGAGTTGAGCCTCAAGAAAATATTGTTCATTTATGTTAGAAGAGTTACCTTTCATTTCTTGACCTGGAAGCTGGTTACTTCTTAAGGAACCATTGAATTGTTTGAACACTTACGAAAGAACCTTCAATCTATTTAAAATTTTTTATAAGTAAGACTGAAAGTTCTAGGTCAAGAGGAAGATTCTCATTTTCTAGTGAAGTATACTTTTTTCTTCATCTTTTTCTTCTAAAAGCAAATGGCCGGGTGAAGTTTCGTGTTGAAGGAGAATTTGAAGCCACCTTGACTGTGATGGGAGATGACCCAGATGTTCCATGGCGTCTTCTCAAGCTAGAAATTCTAGTTGAGGATAAGGAAACAGGAGGTAAATCATAACTTTGGGAGGCTGAGGCAGGTGGATCACTTGAGCTCAGGAGTTTGAGACCAGCCTGGACAATATAGCAAGACTCCATCTCTACAAAAAATTTAAAAATTAGCCGGGCATGGTGGTGTGCTCCTGTAGTCCCAGCTACTTGGGAGGCTAAAGTGGGAGGTGGGAGGATCACCTGAGCCTAGGGAGGTTGAGGCTGCGGTGAGCCATGATCATGCCGCTGCACTCTAGCCTGGGTGACAGAGCAAGATTCTGTCTGAAATATACGTGTGTGTGTGTGTGTGTGTGTGTGTGTGTGTGTGTGTGTATGTGTGTATATATATTTATATATATATTTCTTCAGAATAATAAATGTGTATAGCAATTTATCCTGTAATATGAAGCAAGTTTTATAATTGTAACTACCTATTGACCATGGAAGTTTCAGTGTTTCTCGGAGTGCAGTGTTGTCTAGTTTCTGTAGATAATTTCAGTTCTTTTTTAAAAAATTCATTGTTATTATGTGCTTGCTTAGTTGGAACAGTGACACACTTGTACACCTATTTGATTAACCACCTTCTTTTCTCCTGCCAATGGAAGATGGGCGAGCTTTGGTTCACAGCATGCAAATCAACTTCATCCATCAGCTGGTGCAGTCTAGGCTCTTTGCTGATGAGAAACCTCTTCAGGATATGTACAACTGCCTGCGTATCCTTCTGAAATTTGAGACATGTGTTTATAAGGATTTTGTGGTACTTCTCCCACATTTTTCATTTGTCCTTAATCTTGAACTGTAGCAGCCTACATTCCTTGCCCCCATCTCCCCTACACTTTTTGGGTACACATAGGGCTAGAGAACTGGCCACTATGAAGAATAGTGATATGTCTATAATAAACCAAATTTAAAATTTTACTTTTGACTTTGCAGGTAAAAACAAAAAGTGATTAGTTAAAAATAGTATTGTTTGAGGCTGGGCACAGTGGCTCACGCCTGTAATCCCAGCACTTTGAGAGGCTGAGGCGGGCAGATCACTTTAGGTCAGGAGTTTGAGACCTGCCTGGCCAACATGGTTAAACCCCATCTCTACTTAAAAAAAAAAAAAAAAAAAAATTAGCCTGGTGTGGTGGCAGGCACCTGTAATCCCAGCTACTAGGGAGGCTGACACAGAATTGCTTGAACCCAGGAAGCAGAGGTTGCAGTGAGCCGAGATCATGCCACTGCACTCCAGCCTGGGTGACAGAGCAAGATTCCGTCTCAAAAAAAAAAAAAAGTAGTGTTTGATGAAAAAAATAGTACTATTTGGTCAATCCATGTTCTCTAAACTATGATGAATTAAGACACAACCCAGACCTTATGGTTTTATATTGGTTCAAAATTAAATATAAAACCTTTTTCTGAAATTATGCTATAAATTATAACAACTTTTTGGAATGAGCCATTGGAGAAATATTTCAGAAATTTTCTTCATAGACAGTTTTTCAAAACCAGAGCTTTCCTTAAATCAAGTTTGCCTGTACTTGATTGACTGTTGGCATAACATATTAAATTTACTTAACAACATCTATCAGATTCTTTCTGTTTATCACTTCAATTAGAAGTCTTACATTCCCAAACTCTAATGTTAATCCGAGAACGGTGGGGAGACCTTGTGCAGGTGGAAAGATACCATGCTGGAAAGTGCCTCTCCCTCTCAGTTTGGAAGTAAGTACAATTAGTTCTGATGGGTTCATGCTATGACTGTAAATGCTCTTTTTACTTCTCTTTTTCTCTCATACATCTGATTAAATACACAGTTTACCCTTGAACAACACAAGCTTGAATTGTGTGGGTCCACTTATAGGCAGATCAATTTGCAAAATGTGAAACCTGTGTATAGGGCCAGCCTTCCCTGTACGTGAGTTCTGCTGGGTGACTGCAGGACTGACTTCTGGATGTGAGTATGTGTGGATTTTGATATTAGGACAGGAATCCTGGAGCCAGTCTCCCAGGTATACCGAGGAATGACTGTATACCAATAGCTGTGCACCTCTAGTAACATGCTTTTGTGTAGTAAGGTCCCATAGTATTATGTAGACCACATAGGACATCCATAATTGACACCTGTCTTAGAACATGTTTTAAATACATAGACATTTACTTATTTGTACTAAGACTTACTATTCTTAAAAAGTTTGAGAGATTAGTTTACTCTGGGCTTATACCAAATTTCTAAAAGACCGTTAGGTTAGATTGTTGGGTATCATCTTTTAACACATGCATGCTTAAGTTTTCCACTTTGAATTGTGCCTGTTAAAAACTTTTCTTTGGGAGAAAATTGGTACTGGGCAGTTTCCAACTCTCAGTTCCCTGTTCGAACTTTACTTGATTCCTATTTTTCTCCTCACCCCTGCATCTTATTATCCCAAATACTCCCGTTTTCTGTAAAGGAATCAGAGGTGAATACATACCACTTAGAAGACAGCTAGTTTTGTTTTGGGGTTCTTTTTCACGTGTGCATATGTTTTATTTTAAGATTTTGTGTTCTTTTCTTAATGCAATAAATCAAATATTGTATTGGATTACAGAATAGCTACCTTCTCATTATTAATTTATTCCCTCCACAAACACCAAGGGCCTGCCGTATTTCAGGCTCTGGCTAAACTGCACGATGGATTGTCTCTTTTATTCTGGAAGTTAACAGGCTGTGTTGAAAAAAATTCTTTATTTCTTTTTTTTCTTTAGTCAACAGGTTCTTGGAAGAAAAACTGGAACAGCATCTGTTCACAAAGTTACAATTAAAATTGATGAGAATGATGTCTCCAAGCCTTTACAGATTTTTCATGATCCTCCTTTGCCAGCTTCTGATTCCAAATTAGTAGAAAGAGCCATGAAGGTAAAAGATCTCAATATATTTTAATATTGGTTTAAATGAATGTAACTTGCCATTTATACTTAAACTCTTAGCACAAATTTTTAAAAATACCTAATTATTCCTAAAACCCTTCATGAAACTTATTTCAAGTAAATGTTACACTTCTTACGTTTATTGGTTTTTTAAAAACATCTGATACCATAACGTATAATTTTTAATATATTCTTTCATATTTTATAATTTAGATCAGATACCATTTTAATTTTAAGATCTGGCATTTGAGCACCATGATAACTGATTTGTATTATCTTCGCCTATACTTATCAAAATGTTAACTATAGTTTTTAAGCTATCAATACTATATGTTAATTTTTAACTCAATATCATATTAGGTAATTTTTAACTTTAAGTTTGCTTTCTTTTAGTAGCTAATCAATGTGATTTCAAAAGGAAATATTTTGAAGCACAGTAATCTACTCTTGGGCTTTTAAAGTAAAAACGTTTAAATTGCACATATGAATTTGTTGTTCTTATTTATGCAGATTGACCACTTATCAATAGAAAAACTCCTGATTGACAGTGTCCATGCAAGAGCTCATCAGAAGCTCCAAGAACTGAAGGCCATTCTTAGAGGCTTCAATGCCAATGAAAACTGTAGGTTTTTTAAAATTGACATTTGTTTTTCTTTTGTTTAAACTAGTATCTGGTTTTGTTTTGTGAGGATCTTAATATGACTTTTTCCTGATATTTTGCTTTTATTGTGGAAGCTGGTATTTCTGCATTTTAACTGGTGATCTGCCAAACTTATTCTGATTTCCCCTTATTTCTTACTTATTTAGCTTATCCTCATTTTTGAAATATTTGTGTATTGGCTTTCCTTAAAACTTTATGGCATGGTGGCTCATGCCAATACCAGCACTTTGGAAGTCCAAGGTGTAAGGATCACTTGGGGCCAGGAATTCTAGACAAGCTTGGGCAAAAAATGAGACCCTGTCTCTATTTATAGATTTTTTAAATAAAAAAGAAAAACCTTGTGAAACGTGAGCTAACATCTTAATACGAATTTTATTTTAAAACTTTTTTCTAGTGATAAAACAGCATTGCAAATATTTATAATATACTGGTAAAATATGCCCCGTTGAATGAAATAGAATTCATCCCTTGTCTTTTAAAAAAAGTTTTAAAAATTGTTAATACATTAATAGAGTTCAAATAAGAAATGCAGATACGTAGGCCGGGCGCGGTGGCTCAAGCCTGTAATCCCAGCACTTTGGGAGGCCGAGGTGGGTGGATCACAAGGTCAAGAGATCAAGACCATCCTGGTCAACATGGTGAAACCCCGTCTCTACTAAAAATACAAAACATTAGCTGGGCATGGTGGTGTGTGCCTGTAATCCCAGCTACTCAGGAGGTTGAGGCAGGGGAATTGCCTGAACCCAGGAGGCGGAGGTTGCGGTGAGCTGAGATCGCGCCATTGAAGAGTGAAACTCCGTCTCTAAATAAATAAATAAATAAATAAATAAATAAGTAAATAAATGAAATGCAGGTACGTGGACATAGTGAAAAATCTTCCAAGTTTAATTACCTGGTAAGTATATTCAGAGCTTTGAGGGACAGTCATTTAGAAAAGTAAACCCTTTCATTCTAGGAATATAGTTTCACAACATCATAATGAGTGTATTTACTATCCCTGCCCCAATTGTTTTTGGCCATAATTACCTTGGGCCCACAGTGCACAGTCTTTAATTAAGTTGGATGATGTAAGTGAAGTGCCTGTATTATAAGTAGGAAGTCTTAATAGTGCTAGTAGCAAAGATTCTGCCTTTTGTCATCACAGAGCCCACATGCTCAATCCATTATACTTAAAAAAGCAGCTTCTTAAGTATATGCTAGTAACTCTGGATTAAAACCACTTTGACAGAAATAGATTAAAAAAAAAATACTAGCTGAAAGGAAGACAAAGTCAGAAGAATAAATGTGTATTTAGAATACATACCCCTTCTAGGAAAGTGAAAATATAGAGGTGAAAAAGGGGATCTAAGATAAGCCAAACCATTAGCTTATATTTTTAAAGAGACTAAGGGGAGGGGCAGCCTAACTTAACAAAAATGCAAATATGGGCCTTAAAAAAGAAATAAAGGATATATCAGAAATCTGGTGAATGTATTGGTTAAATGTATATTGGGGGTGCCTATCCATTAGCCCTATCAGGGTTTAACATTAACATCACCAGTACATTATCTTAATTTAATTAAAAGCTTCAGTATAAGGCCCTCCCCTTTAATTCCTCAAGCAAAGATGTTAAATACAGACCTAAAAATTGTGATTGGAAAGTGTAATTGAAACGTTCATCGGAGTTAGAAAGGCTTCTAACCACCGCCCCCTTTTGTTCTTTTTTAACAGCTTTATTGAGATATAATTCACACATAATTACTTCATTCAGTGGTTTTTACTAAAAGAGTTGTGCAACTATCACTACAATTGGATTTTCGAACATTTTATTTTATTTACTTAATTTTTCTTTTGAGACAGAGTCTTGCTCTGTTGCCTAGGCTGGAGTACAGTGGCGTGATTTTGGCTCACTGCAACCTCCACCTCCTGGGCTCAAGCAGTTCTCCTGCCTCAGCCTCCTGAGTAGCTGGGCTTATAGGTGCCTGCCACCATGCCCGGCTAATTTTTTGTATTTTTAGTAGAGATGGGGTTTCACCATATTGGCCAGGCTGGTCTCAAACTCCTAACTTTGTGATCCGCCTGCCTTGGCCTCCCGAAGTGCTGGGATTATAGGCGTGAACCACTGTGCCTGGCCTGATTTTAGAACATTTTCATCATTTCAGAAAGAAACCCTATACCCATTAGCAGTCACAACCCATTTACCCCTCTCCCTTCCCACCTCCCTTCTGGCAATCATTAATCCACTTTCTATAGATTTGCCTATTTGGACATTTCATATAAATGAAATCCTAATGTGTGGTCTCTTCAATATGGTTTTTAACAATTTTTTTGAGGTTCATAGCATGTTTCAGTACTTCATTCACTTAATTATTGTCAGATAATCCATTGTATGGCTATATCATCTTTTGTTTATCCATTCATCATTGATGAACATTGGGGTTGTTTTTCTTTTTTGGCTATTGTGGATAATGCTGCTACGAACATTCATGTCCAAGTTTTTGTATGGACATAAATTTTCATTTCTCTTGGCTGTACACCTAGGAGTGTAGTGGCTGTGTCTTGTGGTAACTCTGTTTAACATCACTTTACAATCTAACCAGCAATGTGCGAAGGTTTCATTTTCTCCACATCCTCACCAATACTTGTTATTGTCTGCATTCTTTTATGTGAGTATATGCAGTTATTGCAGTAAGATTTGTTGAAGACGACTTTTTCCTATTTAATTGTCTGTCTATCTATCTATGTATCTATCTATCTATCTATCTATATCTGTCTATCTATCTATCTGTCTAAGTCCATGGCCTCCTGAATAGGCTGGTCTTATGCTCCTGGGCTCAAGCAGTCCTTCCATGTTGTCTTCCCAAAGTGCTGGGATTACAGGTGTGAACCACCAGGCCTGGCTCTTTTGTTCTTAAAGAAGACTTTTAGTCAGGCGTCCCCAAACTACGGCCAGCGGGCCACATGTGGCCCCCTGAGGCCATTTATCCGGCCCCCCACCGCACTTCAGGAAGGGGCACCTCTTTCATTGGTGGTCAGTGAGAGGAGCACAGTGTGTGGCGGCTCTCCAACAGTCTGAGGGACAGTGAACTGGCCCCCTGTGTAAAAAGTTTGGGTACGCCTGCTTTAAGTATTTTGCAATCTTAATTTTTCAAGATAGTAGAATGCTAAAATTTCATTTGTTGAGATTCCTGAAAATAGGGGGTATGCAATCTTTTGATAGGCCCTGGTTTACTTTAGTGTCGTCTGTAAATAAGGATTAGTAAGTTAAAAAAAAAAAAAAACTGTGATTGCCAAGGGATAGTTAAATTATTTTGAAAAATAAACTCGAAGCATGTGTTTACATAGGAATGGTTTTGTGTGCTGTTCACCTAGGTTCTGAAGATTTCTAAAGAGCAATTTAGAGAAATCTTTAGAACCTAGGTGTAAAATTCCTTTTTGTAGAAATGTTAGAGGTCTGAGTTCAGCTCTCTGCTCTTGAATAAGTCATTTATGCTATTTGGGCCATTCTCCTCATCTGAAATTTGAGGATATTATAATAGTCCAGGCTCTTCCTAGATCTTAAACTCCAGTAGGAGTGTGCTATACCAGTGATTTTCAAGTCCTGGGTGTTAGAGAAGGGTGCTTTAGGGACTATAAATTTGGAAGGAAGGGAGCTCCTCAGTCCTACTTTAATCAGGACAGTTCTAGAAATGAGGCCTGCTAGAGGAAAGAGTCTGCTGACCCACCATTTTAGGGCATGTGCTTTAACTTGTTTTTTAAATTCATATGCATGCATTTATACTCTTCGTATAGTCTTACTTGATTCTTTTTGTGGTGGGTAAGCATGCTTTAGTAAGATCCTTACTGGAACCAGGGACTACATAGTCTGTTCTTAGAATCCCTTAGTGCAATCACCCCTAAATCAGATGGCTTTTCTTCTAACACTTAACTGGAATAACTCAAGGAAATGAGTAGCTCAGAGAACAGAGCATTTCAAGGGAAGGCTAGGGGAAGGCATAGACTTCAGGTTTTGAGCAGCTCAGGTATGTGGTTTCGTGGGAGTGGGAATGGTTCAGGGGAGAGGAGACAGGACTTTGGAGATAAGTTCAAAAAAGGCAGTGCAAGGCACTAAAGGTAACTTGAGATATGGCCCACTTGGCAGCATTGCCTAACTCCTGAAAGCCAAGGTGCTGCTCCTTTGTGTTGTACTCTACCCTTCAGCGCTTGTAATCAGGGCATCATGATCAGTTTGGAAGCTGTGAACCACACACAGCCGTTCCTAATTGAGCTTAGTTGCTGCTCTTCACTCTTCACACTTTATATTACTGTCTGTTCATCCATTCCTCATCTTGTTCTCAGTAAATGATAGAAATAAAAGAGGAGTTGCAACAGCTGGGACTGCAAAAAAATAAAAAATAAAAACAAAACAATAAAAAAGAAATAAAAGAGGAGATATGTATATGTTCTTGCTGGAGCAAATAGCAGCAAGTCCTGTCATCTTGCACTGCTTTTAATTCCCTCTTTTTTATTTTCTTTGCAAGTTTCCCCGTTTTTGTATACTTAAAACCTGTTGCCTTTGAATGCTTTAGGGCATTTTGTATTTTATTTTCTGTAAAGAAAAATATGGACATGGTGGTAAAAAAAATATGTACATGATTTGTGTCAAAGTATTTCTTGTCTTTTGAACTGTGTTCTCTGTATTCTTCTCTGATGCCCTATTTTTCTAAGAATACTCAATTGTGATAATTAGATTGAAACTATAATTGTTATCCCAATTCCCAGAACTAGTTTTACTCCATTACCACACTTCAGAAATGGTTTTGATTTAGAGAATTCACTCCTACCCTGTCAGGAATGGTAACAATATGGAAATGTTTCAAAAATCATTAACTCTGTTTCACATTTGTAATAACTTTTTATTATGTTAACATAGTAAGTTCAGCAAAACATCACTGATTTGAACTAATTTGTCACATCGGTCTGAATTATATGGTAAAATAAATTTTTGTGCCTTTTTTTTTTTTTTTTAGGTCAGGGTTCTGCTGGATTTGCATGTTTAAACATTTTGTATACAAATACATATTAGATGTACAGGTTGAGTATCCCTTATCTGAAATGCTTGAGACCAGAAGTGTTTCAGATCTCGGATTTTTTTCGGGTTTTGGAATATTTGCATTTATACTTAGCAGTTGAGCATCCCATATCTGAAAATCCGAAATCCAAAATACTCCATTAAGCATTTCCTTTGAGTATCATGTCAGCATTCAGAAAATTTTGGATTTTGGAGCATTTCAAATTTTGGAGTTTAGGATTCTCAACCTGTACTTTAAAGCAATTTATTTTCCTCTAATTAAATATGTCTTCTGCAATCTTTTATTAATTTGTTTGATAATTTATGTATACAGTACCAATGGTAATGTCACCTATTTGAATTATTGAAAATTTTTAGTAAGAGGTTTTGGTTGGTTTCTTTGATTCGAAAGCAATATAGATAATGTGCATTTGTCGAACACTTTGCTTTTTAAAGCACTTTTACAGCCTTGTCATTTCTTGCTCCTAACGACCTGTGGCATGGAGGGGAAGATGTTATTGTCCTCATTTGACAAAGTAGCAGGCAGAGACCACACCTGGTGAAAGGCCTGCATCACCACTCCCCTCTGCGCCTGCCACTTTACCTCTCCTTCCTGCACCTGCATCACCATTCCCCTCTGTATCTGCCTTTTTAAAAAATTTTTTTCTGTGCTGTAGCTTCAGAGGAACTTGGTAACAAGAAGAGCATGTTCCTTTTACAACACCTCAATCTGATCAGCACTTAGTGTGTTTTCAATGTTTTGCTTGTTTACTGGATTTCATTATGTCACTTGCAGAATTAAGAGAAAAGTTAATTGGGCCTGGTGGAAATACTATGAAACTCTAGATCAAGTATATTGTCAGCTTTGGGGATTCGTGTTTAGCAATTGCCGATGTTCTTAGTTCATCTGCGACTTGAAATGGAGTACACAAATGACTTGAAAAAAAAAGTTTCTTCCTGGGTAATCTATAATGTTTATTAGTTTTCAAGTGTTTCTTTAAACACATTGGCTCTAATTGCCAGAATACCTCTTTTTTATGAGGAATGGCATTGAAAATCATGAGGCCATAGAAGATATTTCTTCTGTTTCCCAACAATCAATTTTCTTTCCATTATATAAAAAAGAAAATCCTTAAAAATTAACTTATTAGTAATTACCAAGTAAAAGTAAAACTAGAACTTAGCTCACTGATGAGGTTGAATTTTCACTAGCTATTTCAACCCTCTTTAAGAAATTTTGGATTTTTATTGCTGTAGTATTTGAGACAGGCATGTTTGTTTCAAGTCACCTTGAAAATTACATCCTTTCCTTTTTGAGCTACTAACTGATATAATACTATTGCAAATTTTGCAAAATCATGTTTTTTGTCTAACATTTAGGATCCTTCAGTAGTTGGTTTGTTTGTAGTCACTGATTGAGAAATAATTTTTCCGGAAAATACTCAGCTAGAAAAGTAATTTTTAATTCTTGATTGTTCAGCTTCCATAGAGACTGCACTCCCAGCTCTTGTTGTTCCCATCTTGGAGCCCTGTGGTAATTCGGAGTGTCTGCACATTTTTGTAGATTTGCATTCTGGAATGTTTCAATTGATGCTTTATGGACTTGGTAAGTTACTAAAACAGATAGTCATTCAGTGTAAGAAAAAATATCTTAAACAAAATATTTTCTGTGATTAGGTGTCAGAAGGAATGATATATGCAGTGTTGAAAGTGGTTATGGAAATAGTAACTCTGGCTGATGTCAGTTAACTTAAACACACAAAACTTAGAAAAGCAAATAGTCTTTTAGAGATGTATGCTTGTCTTAGCAGCTTAGGCTGCCATAACAAAATATCATAGACTAGGTGACTTAAACAACAGAAATTTATTGTCTCATAGTTCTGGAGGCCAGAAATTCAAGATCGAGGTGTCAGCAGATGAGGGCTCTCTTTCTAGCTTGTTATAGGCAGCTGCCTTCTTGCTGTGTCTTCACATGGCTGAGAGAGCAAGTTCTCTGGCATTCCTTCTTCTAAGTCTACTAATCCTTTCGTGAAGCCCCTACCCTCATGACCTCATCTAAACCTAATTGCTTCCCAAAGACTCTTTCTCCAAATAACATACACTGGGGATTAGGGGTTTAACATATGGATCTGCAGGGGGGACATAGTTGACTCCATAGCAGTGCTTTTCTAATTTTTTTCTATACTTTGTCCCTGTTAATCAAAATCATTTTGTATCTTACTTTTTTTGCTCATTATTCTATTTACTGGCATTTTCTAGTGTCATTAAAAATTCTAAGTGAGTTAATTAGCAAGCTGATCTTCAGCCAATAGCTCTTGCATATGCCAGAGATAGTTTGTGTTTCGTAAGTAAACATGGCAGTGGAGTTTTTTGTTTTTATGATTTTTAAGGTTCTAAGTCTAGTAATACTATGAATTTTAAATACTTATTATTTTAAAATACTGATTAAGTAGACTAAGAGTTTGGGAAATTAAAATATAGGCAAAGAATGAATTTATGTATTTATTAATTGTTCTTTCTGCCAGTGTATACTGGCTATTAATTAGTTGTCTTATCTATAATGCTCCCTAAATGTTAAAGAGGGAAAACAAATTAGGTTGGCTTATATCTAATGATGCATTTAGTTAAGTTTTTCTCTGATTCCAAAATAACACGATTTTCTGCCTAAAACAATAATTTTCATTTGTTTTAGGCTACCTAGATAAAGATTTTGTTTCTCATGTAAGCAATTAATTAATGAAGTGCTTTATTCTGTAGACCAGGCCACTCTGGATGACATGGAGAAGTCTGTGAATGATGATATGAAACGGATCATACCCTGGATTCAGCAACTGAAGTAAGCTTATTTATTTAGCTCAAGACTAAAAATGGAAACTTATTTTGACAACATACATTTTCTTCTCCATCATTACTCTTGATCAGTCACTGTCCTTAAGATGTATGGTATGAAACTTAAGTGCCTTTTGGTACCTTAGAATCAATTCTCTTGGAATAGTTCCAAGATGGCAGTTTCTCATAGCAAATTCTCCTCTAGAGCAAATATAGGTGTGAAGGACATAACACTCTACTTTCATCCCTTACCACATTTTCTTCTATATAAGCACTTTATAAATCACTTACACAATGAATTTTATTGTATTGAGTGTTCTCTGTAATAAAGTCCCATTTGTTCTTATCCAGGGTAATCGTCATGGTTGACTACCAGCTGACACTTTCAAAATAGTCATTTCTGCTTCCTGAATACTGTCATTCAATTTCTCTCAAAATCCTTTAAATGCTTCGTACTGTTAAACATTTGTTGAAAATGGAGCTAGATATAATTCTGTAGAGTTTCATTACCACCCTGGTACACAAAGGTACCCTTATAGCAACTTTAACAAACTCTTTCTTAAAATTAATAAAACAAAATTCCAAAGGCTAAAAAAAATTCAGAGATTAAAACCAAACCTGGCAAATGGAGAAGGCAGTGGTGGGGTGGGGGGTGCCTAAAGAAAGACTATAAAGTGGGATCTGTTGTTCTTATAGTCCTTTAGTCTCTGCTTTTCCCTTTAGCCAATACTTGAAAAATTCAATATAATCAAGTAATGTTTTCATTAATGGGGCATGACTTTTTTTTTTTTTTTTTTTGAGACAGGGTTTTGCTTTGTTGCCACTTAGGCTGGAGTGGAGTGCAGTAGCATAATCTCAGCTCACTGCAACCTCTGTCTCCCAGGCTCAAGCGATTCTTCCACTTAGCCTCCCAAGTAGCTGGGACACAGGTGCATACCAGCAAGCCCAGCCAATTTTTGTATTCAGGACAATGTTTTTTTGTTTTTTTTGTTTTTTTTGAGATAGAGTCTCACTCTGTCACCCAGGCTGGAGTGCAGTGGGGCGATCTCGGCTCACTGCAACCTCTGCCTCCCAGGTTCAAGGGATTATCCTGCCTTAGCCTCCTGAGTGGCTGGGATACAGGCATGTGCCACCATGCCAAACTAATTTTTTATATTTTTAGTAGAGATGGGGTTTCACTATGTTGGCCAGGCTGGTCTCAAACTCCTGACCTCAGGCGAGCCAGTGTGCCTGACCCCGGGCTTAATTTTTACTACCAGTAGATAGATAATATTATGTGGGGTTTTTTTTTTTGTTTTTTTTGTTTTTGTTTTTTTTTTTTTTTGAGCAGCTATTTAGTTTATCTGTATGTGGAAAAAAAATCAGTCATTAATCTGCATAATGATTTCTAAAACTTAGCAGTTTAGGCTGCCATAACAAAATATCATAGACTAGGTGACTTAAACAACAGAAACTTATTTTCTCATAGTTCTGGAGGCCAGAAATTCAAGATTGAGGTGTCAGCAGATGAGAGCTCTCTTTCTAGCTTGTTATAGGCAGCTGCCTTCTTGCTGTGTCTACGCATGGCTGAGAGAGCAAGTTCTCTGGCATCCCTTCTTCTAAGTCTACTCATCCCTTCATGAAGCCCCTACCCTCATGACCTCATCTAAACCTAATTACTGTTTTAGCATCATTGTGTATTTTGGCTAAATAAGCAAGATTTCAATATCCTAACATGCTTAACAATTCACATCTTGCATAACTTGAGGTTGTTTATCTGGCAGTTCTAGCTGCCAGAAATATAAACTAAAACCTGAAAGCTAAGTCCCCAAAGCCTTTAACTTACCAAATGTGTGCCTGTACATAAACTTACATAGTTTATTTATAAGAAAAGTCCCCTGGTTGTCACTTATAATAGTGTTTTTCAAATGATCTGTGGTGAATGACCAGTTTATCTATCAGTTAATCTATCATGGGACATTGATTTTTTGAAATAACTTTATTGAGGTATAATTTACATACCATAAAAATCCACCCATTTTAAGGGTACAATTCAATGATTTGTAGTAAATTTACTGACTTTTGCAGCTATCACCACAATCCACCTCTAAAACATGTAGGACATTTCCATCACCCCAAAGAAATGTCCATTTATAGGTAATAACCATACTCAATTTCAGAAAACTATGAATCTACTCTCTATTTGCCTTTTCTTGTCATTTCATACAAAGTGGAATCAAAACATGCTATATTTTGTGACTGGCTTCTTTCACTTACCATAATGTTTTCAAGATTCATCCATATTGTAGCATATATCAGTACTTCATTTCTTTTTATGACTGAGTAATATTTCACTGTACGGATATACCACATTTGGTTTATCCATTCATCAATTGATGAACATTTGGTTTTTTCCTACTTTTTGGTTATGCATATTGATGCTCTGAACATTCATGTTTAAGTCTATATGTGGACTTACGTTTTCTTTTCTCTTGGAGTGAAACCAAGGAGTGGAACTGCTAGGGCGTACAGTAAATTTGTTTAGCTTTTCAAAGAAAATGCCAAACTGTTTTCCAAAATGCCTGTGCTGTTTTACAGCTCCATCAGTAGTGTTGTGAGAATTTCCATTTCTCTACATCCTTGCCAACCATTGTTACCATCTTTGAATATAGATATACTAATGAATATGAAGGGGTATTTCATTGTGATTTTAATTTATGTTTTCCTAACAAATAATGATGTTGAGCATCTGTTCGTTCATGATTACTTTTTAAAATAATGTGCAATAAAAATGAATTATAGGAAAAAAGAAATGAAAGAACATGTACAAGATATAAGCCCCAATATTTTTTATTAGAATCAACAAAGTTATATTTCCATAAATATGATCAGAACAAACATAACACAGGAAAAAAGAAAATTATAGAAACTGTGTACATTTTTCATTGAAAGTGTACACACAGGCAATTAAAATAGAAAGTCACTTAGACTCAAGTTTTTTGTCCCACAGAATCATAACAAATAGTGAAGAGGGAAATAGCAATTCCAGATCGACTTTGAAAAGACCACGTCGTATATCAGTATTTAGAATTTTTAATGTGACATACGAGCTTGTTTCTTGTTGTTAATAACTTGGTCTGTGTTGGATTGATGAACATGCTAATGATGAGAGATGTTTCTCATGTTTTCCTTTTAATAACATGCATAGTAGAGATATCATTCTCACGAAGATATGTTGATGGGAGTCGAAGTAGAGATTTGAAAAAATGTTTAGCAAGTTCAGGATGTTTATTTTTAACTTTTTTCGAAATGAAGCAAGTGGTGGTATATTTTCAAAATGTATCCTCATTCCTTCATCAGTAACCAGTTCTTGCATTTGATCCTATAAAGTTGTAGTTAAATTTTGTCTTTCAATGAAAAAAATGAAATGGTTTCTAGAACAGTTGGCAAACTACCCTTAAAATGTTATATATTACAACATGGTTTTACTGCATATGACTGGTATATGTACCACATGCAAGTTGCCACACAAATTATCAGCCCCCAAACTGATCTCTGCCCTAATTCATCAAGGCAAGTCTGCTGATCATGAGCTGGGATGTTGTGGCATTGTTACGCTGCTGTGAAAATTTTTATTTTCTGTAGTTTTCATTATGCATCAATGGAGTTTGTGAACCAGCCATTTTATCCCTTTTTTACATATTATATGGTATCCTAGCTTCAAGGATAGCTAATCAGATAAAAGGAATGAGAGGAGTACTATACTAAAAACATCAGCGAAATCTGGCAGCTTACCTGAAAGGGACATGGTAGCAAAGTTAATACTGCTGGCACCTGCTAGGTATACTACACACTTCACATATACACAATTTAAAAACTGTGCTATATAAAGCATGTTGAGATTAGTTGGTACTGTCTTTAAACTATAGGAAATCCATCATTCCTTATAATCAACTAACATAGTATCTCATCCTCATAGTTAATTCTATCTTGTGACTAACATCATTCACATTGCAGTTTAAACTTCTTAAATTAAAACTAGAATTGACAGTATAATGCAAAACTATGAAGAAAGGATTTGTCATTATGGTCACGTGTCCTTTAGTTAAATTTCAATTAATTGTTTTTTCAATTAATTGTTTTTTTAAATTGTTTTTTTAAAGTCTCTAATCACTTGTAAATCGATAGCACACAGATGAAAAGTCTATGATTTTATGTGGATTATAACTTTTAAATTCAGGTTTTGGCTTGGACAACAGCGTTGCAAGCAGTCAATAAAACATTTGCCTACGATATGCAGTGAAACATTGCAGCTTTCCAATTACTCAACTCATCCTATTGGAAACCTTTCTAAGAATAAGCTGTTCATTAAACTTACCCGCCTTCCACAATACTACATTGTAAGTATGCAAAGGAGTGATTTGGTGTGATAAGCTTAGTAATTCTATTGGTATCTTGAATTATTTATTGTTTAAGTTGCAAATGAATTTTATTGAATACTTGACTTTCATATAGTGATTCTCAACCCAGGGGGTTAAAATGGGGTTGGGGGGGGTGTGGGGAGAGGAACATCATGTCTCAGTTGGGGAACATAAGGTATAACCCCATCCCTCACTGTAGAGTCTGTCCTATCATGAGGCCTAGTCTTTGATTGGAATGAAATATCTCTGTAAGAATAAAAAATTTGAGAGCAACTACTATAAGAGTCTGGTGATGTTTTGATGTCAGATAAACTTGTTTCACTAGAATATTAACTTGTATAATGAAACCTTTCAAATATGGACTGGCTGAAATAGCTTTATTTTTTTATCCTTCATTGATTGAAGGCATATTTCATTTTATTGAGTATGTGTTCCTTTTAGTGCACAGTAAGGTGCTCTCTTATTCCTTTTTCACTCTTTCTGTATGTTTTCTAGTTTATTTTTGAATTTGTTAAAATTTGCAAGAATTTAAAATGTGAACTCATCCTGAATGTATTTTCCTGCTTGTTGAAATTTCTGTGTACACCAAATGATATGTTGGCTAAAAATCTATGTTTTACAATTTTTAATTCAGGCCAGATGTGGTGGCTCACACCTATAAAACTAACACTTTGGGAGGCTGAGGCGGGAGGATCACTTGAGCCCAGAAGTTTGAGGTCAGCTTAAGCAATATAGTGAGACCTTATCTCTTATAAAAGTAAAATAAAAATAAAAGTTTTAATTCAAGATTGTTGGTTGAAAGTAATGGGAGTGAACTTTTTAAGGTTTTGACCTATACTTTTAAAAGATACTATTTTAAAAGAGCAACGTGTATAGGCTGACATATTTTAAGCTAGGGATGCTTATGTAGACGAATGAGTCTGTCATTGACATGAATTTTACTTTTTTCTGAGTTTTAAAACTGCAACTGTAGAACTAGATTTGGCCCACAACAAAAGGCTATTGTTTTAGTTCTCAGTGAGCTTGCTTGGTCTACATGTGAAATGATAATTCAGAATACATGCATCTTGGAAAAACCCATGAACATACAAAGACCTCTTATACTCATCCATGCACAAAATAAAATAAAAATGGTTGTAATTTATTATTTTCTGACATTTAGCATCAGTGAACAACCAGGCTTTAGTGTCAATGACCAGTGATTTATTGTAAAGTCATAATTTGTTTCACATGGTTTAGAGTAGGCGTCCCCAAACTTTTTACACAGGGGGCCAGTTCACTGTCCCTCAGACCGTTGGAGGGCTGCCACATACTGTGCTCCTGTCACTGACCACCAGTGAAGGAGGTGCCCCTTCCTGAAGTGCGGCAGGGGGCCGGATAAATGGCCTCAGGAGGCCACATGTGGCCCGCGGGCCGTAGTTTGGGGATGCCTGGTTTAGACCAAAACTGAATGTAGGTTACTCCTTGTCCTCTAGATTTTATCACTTAGGGGTGATATGTTCATGGAAGTGGAAAGAACTACTACCATGGACATTAAGAAGAACAGAGGAAAGTCTTGCTACAGTTGATCTCCCTTTAAATGTCTTTCTTCCATTTTGCCTTTCTTTTTTGGTTAGCTTTATTGCAATATAATTGGCAAAAAGTAAAAATTCAGACTTTTAAGCATGAGTTCTGATAAATGCATACAGTTGTGTAGCCTCCATCTGAGGACACAGAACAGATCCATCATACCCCAAAGTTCCCTCAGAATACCCCTTATAAACAATCAGCCCCCTCCAACTGGTAATCACAGGCCTATTTTCTGACTCTATAGTTTTGCTTTCTCAGTTCAGTTTCTTTGACTCAATGCAATGCCTTTGACGTTCACCTGTGTTGTTGTGTGTATAATAGTTCCTTCCTTTTGTTGCAGAGTAGCATTCCATGGTGTGGGCGTGCCACAGTTTGTGTTTAATCAGTCACTCATTGAGGGACATTGGGGTTGTTTCTAGTTTGGGGCAATTGTGACTAAAGCTGTTACAAACATTTACATATAGGTTTTTATGTGTGCATAAGTTGTCATTTTTTATTTCATTTTGGATAAGTAACTGGGAGTGGGATTATTGGGTCATACGGTAAATGTGTATTTAACTATGTAGAAAACTGCCAAACTGTTTTCCAAAGTGATGTACTATTTTGCATTCCTGCCAGCAATGTATGAGAGTTCTCATTGCTTTTCATTTTTGACAACAGTTGGTCTTTACAATTAAAAAATATATATTAACAATTCTGATAGGTATTTAGTGGTGTCTTATTGTAGGCTTACTTTATACTGCCCTAATGGCTGATGATGTTGAGCATATTTTCATGTGTTCATCCTTATATCTTCTTTGGTGAAATGGCCATTTGACTTTTAATTTTAACATTTCCTGAGGTACATCATCTGTGTGATGCTTTCCTGAAGAGTATGTGTGGGGAGGAGTGGGGGAGCAAGGGCGAAAGGAAGCAGGAAGAGAGATAGGAAAGAATATGTGTTGGTTAGGAGCCTTTCCTAATGGCATTTATTTTCGTCACTAAAGTATTTAGGGGACTTTTCTTAAATTTTAGCTAGACCTTGGAAACAGTAAGCAGGTATAATAGGAAAAGCAAGGTCTCTGGAGCCAAACTTCCGTAATCAAAGCATGAGTCTATCACTTACTAGATGTGTGTCTGGAGCCAAACTTCTGGAATCAAAGCATGAGTCTGTCACTTACTAGACGTGTGACCTTGGGCAAGTAACTTGCTTTTTTATGCCTCAGTTTCTTCATCACAAAAATATAGGCTGGGCATGGTGGCTTATGCCTGTAATCCTAGTACTCTGGGAGGCCGAGGTGGGCAGATTACCTGGGATCAGCAGTTAGAGACCAGCTTGGGCAACATGGCGAAACTCCACCTTTAATAAAAATACAAAAAATTAGCTGAGTGTAGTGGCACACGCCTGTAATCCCAGCTACTTGAGAGGCTGAGGCACGAGAATTGCTTGAACCTGGGAGGCAGAGATTGCAGTGAGCTGACATTGTGCCGCTGTACTCCATCCTGGTGACAGAGTGACACTCTGTCTCAAAAAAAAGGAAAAACTTACTTCACAGGATTATTAAAAAGATTAAATGTGTTAGCATCTGTAAAGTATTAGGACAGTACTTGGCACATAGTAAGCTTTGTATCAGTGTTAGCTGTCAATGTTGTTACCCTCACTGTGACCATAATGTTCAGTTAAAAAATTATGGTTTGTGGCCGGGCGCGGTGGCTCAAGCCTGTAATCCCAGCACTTTGGGAGGCCGAGGCGGGTGGATCACGAGGTCAAGAGATTGAGACCATCCTGGTCAACATGGTGAAACCCCGTCTCTACTCAAAATACAAAAAAATTAGCTGGGCATGGTGGCGCGTGCCTGTAATCCCAGCTAGTCAGGAGGCTGAGGCAGGAGAATTGCCTGAACCCAGGAGGCGGAGGTTGCGGTGAGCCGAGATCGCGCCATTGCACTCCAGCCTGGGTAACAAGAGAGAAACTCTGTTCCAAAAAAAAAAAAAAGAAAAATTATGGTTTATTTTTACATGTTTCCAAGTATGAGGGATGGTTGTCATTTTTCTCTGCCTTAATAATGGAATATTTAGGGTGTTTGAGTGGTTAAGGGTGGCAGCAGAACAATTTAAAATAGATACCATTCTAGAAAATCTAGCAGACTGTATTAGTCCATTTTCACGCTGCTGATAAAGACATACTTGAGACTGGACAATTTACAAAAGAAAGAGGTTTAATTAGACTCACAGTTCCACGTGTCTGGGGAAGCCTCACAATCATGATGGAAGGCAAAGAGGAGCGAGTCATATCTTATGTGGATGATGGCAGACAAAGAGAGAGCTTGTACAAAGAAACTCCCATTTTAAAAACCATCAGATGTCATGAAACCCATTAACTATCATGAGAACATCACAAAACCTGCCCCCGTGATTCAGTCATCTCCCACTGGGTGCCTCCCACAACACATGGGAATTATGGGAGCTATAAGATGAGATTTGGGTGGGGACACAGAGCCAAAGCATATCACAGACCTTTTGTATTTAGGCATAATTTTTTTTTCAATTTATAAGCTGAGGTACGAATATCAAGAACACCTAACACATAATAGTTTAAATGTCCCATTTGTTGCAGTTTATGGTTGCTTTTGCTTTTATCATTCTTCTTTGGTCTCATCTACTTTTTGGAAAACAAATTATGTATTTACTAAGAATGCTTTGATATGATTGATTTGACCTTTTTTTTTTTTAAGACGTCTACATTAGATTTATAATTCTGAGACTTACTTGGTGAAGTACAGAGGAAAATATCTGACACTTCTTATTTCTTTTGAGTCTTATTTCTTTTTGGGATTTTTAGGTTGTGGAGATGTTGGAGGTTCCCAATAAACCCACGCAACTGTCGTACAAGTACTACTTTATGTCGGTGAATGCTTCAGATCGTGAAGACAGCCCTGCAATGGCACTGCTGCTGCAGCAGTTCAAGGAAAACATCCAGGACTTGGTTTTTCGTACAAAAACCGGGAAACAGACCAGAACCAATGCTAAGCGCAAGGTATGATTCCATATGGAAATGAGAACAGAATTTGTGTGTGTTAACTTGGTTGTGTTCTTTACTCATTTTTAATATGAGAACTAACATACGGTTTTTAAGAGACGAGGCAGCAATAAGGCTTAAATAACAATTGTCTACATTTTCTTGAAAATGCTTTTGTTTTAATTGAAGAATTATCCACCATTTTCCACGAGAGAACTTGTTAAACACAAAATATTTACTAATGAATTACCATTGTTTAGGTCAGTATTTACTCAATAAATACAATGACATTTGTTTTGGTTAACCCTTAGCTTTCTTCCAGTATTTTAACTATCTTAATGAATTGCATCACATGTACGTTTTTTTACCTGTTTGTGTTCTTTACTTAAATTCTAGTTGTCTGATGATCCGTGTCCAGTAGAATCCAAGAAAACGAAACGATCAGGAGAAATGTGTGCCTTCAATAAAGTTTTAGCTCACTTTGTCGCTATGTGTGATACAAATATGCCATTTGTAGGACTTCGGTTGGAGGTAATTTTTTTTGGAACAGTTCTGGATATTCCAAATGAAGGAGTAATTTTTAAAATGTGTTGCTCAAAGTGTATAGGTTCCATTAGGAAAAGCAGGATATTTGTGATCCTGTTCATTTTGGGAGGAGTGGTAGGGTCACAATCATAGCATCTCATGGTAGACATATAAAACATGACTTAAATTATTTCATTTCTCTGATTCCAGATTCTGGGCTTTCTGCTCTTTATGGAAATTGAATGTAAATTTTTCCCAGTTAAAAAAAGTGGACAGGGCTGGGCGTGGTGGCTCATGCCTGTAATCCCAGCACTTTGGGAGGCTGAGGCAGGTGGATCACCTGAGGTCAGGAGTTTGAGTCCAGCCTGGCCAACATGGTGCAACCCTGTCTCTACTAAAAATACAAAAATTAGCTGGGAGTGGTGGCACATGCCTGTAGTCCCAGCTGTTCAGGAGGCTGAAGCAGGATAATTGCTTGAACCCAGGAGGTATACGTTGCAGTGAGCTGAGATCCCCTGACTGAACTCCAGCCTGGGTGACAGAGTAAGACTCTTGTCTCAAAACAAAAAAGATAAAAGAAAAAAAAAGTGGACAGGCTGAGTGCAGTGGCTGAAGCCTATAATCCCAGCTCTTTGGGAGGCCATGGTGGAAGGATTGATTGAGCTCAGGAGTTCAAGACCAGCCTGGGCAACATAGCAAGACCTCATCTCTATTAAAAAAAGAAATTTAAAAAATGAAAGAAAAACAAGTGGACAGTTTTTAAGAATCAACATTTTACTTTCATACCTCTTGGTAGGAGCGTCGTTTAAGCCTATTAGAGACGGTTAGTTGATAATCGGGTGGCTTATTTTTGAGTTGGTAAAGCCATGTATATTGTTTAAGCACTAGTAAAACTGGGATCCTTTCTAAGAAGCAGATCAGAAAGAATAGTAAATTAAATTTTTACTTTTGTCACATGGGAGAAGCAATAGATTTATGCAGAATTAGTGTCTTTCAAGAATACAAAGTTGTGATATCCAGTATAATCCTCTTAAAACATGAAAGGGAGGTAAAATAACCTGTATTTTTTGTGTTTCCCAAAAGGGGTTTGGCCAAGGATGGGTAGCCCCTCAAAAGTGTTACACTAAAACCCCAGTTATTTCTGTAGTATAAAGTTGTTTTTTTTTTTTTTTTGCACCCCCACCCCGAGACGAGGTTTCATCATATTGGTCAGACTAGTCTCGAACTCCTGACCTCAGGTGATCCACCCACCTCAGCCTCCCAAAGTGCTGGGATTACAGGTGTGAGCCACTGTGCCCGGCCTAAAGTTTTATGTTTTGTAAGAATCCCCTCCTCTGTAAGTTATTGTGAATGAAGGAGAGACCTGGAAAGGTGGAAAAGGACTTTTTCAGTTGGACTGATGGTGATGGCCTTGGGAAAATTTGTTGAAAATAGCTTTTATGCTTTAGAACAGGGATTGACAAACTTTTTCTATAAAGAGCCAAATAGTAAATATTTTAGACTTTGTGGGTCAGGTGCTCTCTGTTATAGCTACTCAAATCTGCTGTTGTAGTGTGAACCAGCCAGAGCTGATATTTAAACAAATGAGCATGACTGTCTTACGATACAACTTGGTTTCCAAAAACAGGCAGTGGGCTGGGCATGGTGGCTCATGCCTGTCCTCCTAGCACTTTGGGAGGCTGAGGCAGGCACATCACCTGAGGTCTGGAATTCGAGACCAACATGGTGAAACCCCATCTCTACTAAAAATATAAAAATTAGTTGGGCATGGTGGCAGGCACCTGTAATCCCAGCTACCCAGGAGGCTGAGGCAGGAGAATTGCTTGAACCTGACAGGCAGAGGTTGCAGTGAGCCGAGATCATGCCACTGTACTCCAGCCTGGGCAACAGAGTGAGAAAAAACAAAACAAACAAACAAACAGACAAAACAGGCCATGGCCTGGGCTTGGCTCATGAGCTGTGTTTGCCAACCCCTGATTTACAGGTCTTTGGGATCTGCAGGCAGAGGATAAGGTGTGAAATTGAAAAGAGCCCAGAGAGAAACCCAAGCCCAGAAACAGGCACCTAAAATAAATACTCATGTCCTTGATGACCCAGCTCCTAGAACTGTGAGCTTGAAGACTGTCCTCTTATCTGGATACTGGCCTTAGCTCCTAAACTGTGGAGTGTGTCCATGTTTCCTATGTACCTGACTGTATTCTTGGACTCTTTTATTGTGTTATTTGGCTTTATTATATGAAAGCCATTCAGTTACTACCTTTGCAGTGGGAAGGGAAGATGGATATATGGTGCTGGGGCAAAGCAATGTGTTTATATCCTCTCTTCCTCTACCCACAGGCCAGAATTTGCAAAAATGTGTGTCTTTGTAGGCCTACATAGGTTAATGACTGTAGACATATGTCCTCTGTGTCCACCTTCTCTGTATTCCTATACCTGCTGCACGTAGGGGACACAGATGAACATTCTGCAGTGCTCTGTTGAACTCAGTTAAGCTCTTAAAAACTTACCTACTTTTTATTCTCAGTGAACATTCTAGCTATGTTAAAGATAAAAGCAAGTATGTTTTCTGCTTAAAGTAGTTTAGGCTGAGATGTGAGTAAAACTAAATCGAATTTTACAAGGGATGTTTCTATCTGTTTTTTTTTGGCGGGGGGAGGGGGATGGAGTTTCACTCCTGTTGCCCAGGCTGGAATGCAATGGTGAGACTCAGCTCACTGCAACCTCCGCCTCCTGGGATCAAGCAATTCCCCTGCCACAGCCTCTCAAGTAGCTTGGATTACAGGCGTGCACCACCACGCCTGGCTAATTTTTGTATGATTAGTAGACATGGGGTTTCACCATGTTGGCTAGGCTCATCTTAAACTCCTGACCTCAGGTGATCTGACCGCCTAGGCCTCCCAAAGTGCTAGGATTACAGGTGTGAGCCACTGCGCCTGGCTGGATGTTTATATATCTGATTGATAGAATAGCAGCAACGTTTTTGAGCTGGCCCACACTTCATTTCCTTTTGAATCTGAACCCCTACCTCCTATTTGGTCACCAGCTATTTTTCTAAAACTTTCTTTTTCCCAGGCCCAAAGAAGAGGGCTCATTGAAATACTTGGAACTTCCTTAAATCCTTTCCAGAACATGGTAGATATAAATAAATAGTCTGTCATGTAAGACCTGGGAATGTCTGCCAAAGGCAAGCGTTTCTTTAGATCAGATGACTTTCTGGCATACCATAATTATTTGCAGTCCCATGGAAAAGGTTTCAGGGACTATCTCTACATTAATCTTTTTAATTTGCTTTCTGAATCCTTTAATTGGGAAAGAGATGTCATTGGGTAAATGGACAAATTGGAAATCTTTTCTTGGGTTTCACTTAGGAAGTAGCTTATTTATTTTTATTTTTTATTTTAGAGATGGGGTTTCTCCATGTTGGCCAGGCTGGTCTCAAACTCCTGACCTCAGGTGATCCACCCACCTCAGCCTCCCAGAGTGCTGGGATTACAGGCGTGAGCCATCACGCCCAGCTATGTTTATTTTTTTGAGATGCAGTTTCACTCTCGTTACCCAGGCTAGAGTGCAATGGCGTGATCTCAGCTTTCCACAACCTCTGCCTCCCTGGTTCAAGCAATTCTCCTGCCTCAGCCTCCCAAGTAGCTAGGATTACAGGCACGCACCACCACCTCCGGCTAATTTTGTATTTTTGGTAGAGATGGGTTTTCTTCATGTTTGTCAGGCTGGTCTCAAACTCCCAGACCTCAGGAGATCTGCCCACCTTGGCCTCCCAAAGTGATGAGGCCACAGGCATGAGCCATCATGCCCAGCCCGGAAGTAGTTTAATTGTTAAGAATATATTTCAGAAAATTTATGAACTAAAAAATATTATTTAGAAATAAGCTATGACAGTGACTCAAACATTGTTTTAAACAAACAGAGTAGAATTACACAAGAAAACCGTTCTTATTTTGTAGTTGCCTCTTTTGGAACTACTAAAATTGGTTCTAGATTACTTTTGGCTCACTGCAAAAATTAGATTGATTTCCTGAATTTTGAACATTTGCCACTCGTGGAGGTGTTTCTTAAACTAGATAGATGTGCCGGGGCAGCTTTGAGTTCCACTGGACTTTGTGTCATTTCCCAGAAATCTAATGATGGGGATAATACTCAGGCCTAATGTGTTGTAACTTGGGGAAAGTATGGCCCTAGAACAGGTGCCACAGAATAGAGACCATAGTACTTAGAAATGGTAGTCGTTTTGGTAAAATTGGTGGTCTGATATCATTCTATTTTTCTATTTCTAGTTGTCCAATCTGGAGATTCCACATCAAGGAGTGCAAGTCGAAGGTGATGGCTTCAGTCATGCAATTCGCTTATTAAAGTAAGCCCCTGTCATATGTCTCACTTGGTGCCACATGTTGCAGTCATACTCTGAAAGCTGCTTCTTTTCCATGAGACAACATAAAATAGTGTTCAGAACCTGTGGGTGTTGTGGATTTCTGCATAGAGTTATTAGGGTCTGGGGGAGGATTCCCTTTAATCTATGGAGTGGCAATCCAGCATCATTTGTGGTTTTTTGTTTTGTTTTGTTTTTTGTTTTTTTTGGACAGTCTCATTCTATTGCTCAGGTTGGCTGGAGTGCAGTGGCATGATCTTGGCTCACTGCAACCTCCCAACCTCTGCCTTCTAGGTTCAAGCAATTCTCGTGCCTCAGCCTCCTGAGTAGCTGGGACTACGGGTGTGCACCACTATGCCCGGCTAGTTTTTATGTATTTTTACACAAAGAGACAAGGTTTCACCATGTTGCCCAGGCTGGTCTCAAACTCCTGGCCTCAAGTGATATGGCCTCAAGTGATCTACCCTCTTTGGCCTCCCAAAGTGCTGGGATTATAGGCATGAGCCACCACGCCCAGCCTCACTTGATGTTTTTGGATGTCTTTTCTCTGCATTTCTTTGATTCATTCAGCAGATATATATTGAGTGTGACTGTGTGTCAGGCTTGAATTCTGACATCTGCTCAGAATGCTGTGGGTTCATAAAGCAGAGGAATATGGGCTAGTTCAGAAGTCAGGAAGGGTATCCCTGAGGAAGTACCAGTTGTGCATCGACTGAAGGAGAGGTGAGAATTAGTCAGAGGAAGGTGGGGCAGAGGGAGTGAGAGGTCCTAACCAGAGGGTTAACTGCTAATGTGAAGGCTTGGAGGGAAGGGAGAGCTCTGCGTTTTTGTGCTGAAAGGAGTTCGGCATGGCCGGAGACAGGAGAAATGAGGCTGGAAATGTAAGCAGGCAGGGATCAGATCCTTTAGGCCTGTTTAAGTGTCCTTCAACAATTTAGGCTTTATCCTAATGGCACTAAGAAGCTATTCAGGTGATTTTAAACTAAAACTGACATCATTAGATAGATAGGTGTTTTTGAAAGCCCAACCTGATAGGAATATGGAGAATAAATTGAAGGGGAACGTGACTAAAGTAATGAAACCAGTTGGTGAAATGGTTCACACTAGAGTTGTTGGTAGCTCAGAGCAGGGTACATCCCACAAGGACTTAGGAGAGAAAAAGTCCCAAGTTATGATTAGACTGGTATTGAAGGGAAGAAAGATGGCAAAGTGGTAAAGATGATTCTTGGTTTTATCTTGGGCAAATAATGGATGGTGGCACTGTTTTCTGAGATAAGGGACACCAAAGATGTGAGTTTGAACAGACTTTGCTAAGTGTAAGGTGACTGAACACCCTTTGGGCAGGCAGAGATGTGTCTCAAGCTCAGGTAACAGATCTGGGAAGGAGAAGTAGATAAAGTCATCACCATAGTAATAGTAATTGAGATGGGGTAGTAAATTAGATCACCAGGAAAGAGTATACAAAAGGAGATGGGCAGAGGGCTTTGTTCTAAATGGACAAAGGACGAGAAGCCAAAGGATGCTTAGAAGTAAAGCTAATGTGATACATGTGCTTTATAAAATGACCCAGTATGGACTTGCAAAGCCAGAGTACCATATAAGAGATCAACCTTTTTTGTCCAGGAAATAGGTTCCTTTGCAAAGGAGGTGTACACTTTATTGTTTCTCAGATATTGCTTAATGATATAAATTATATAAGCAATGTTTATTTATCGAATTCCTCTGTCTGCCAAGATATAGCAGCTCTGCAATTTGAGAAATGAGGCTTTACCATTTGTTATATAGGAATCTGTTTCTGTGGAAGGTGGGTACAGCTATCAAATAGTGTCACATAACTCATGTGTAGTCATTAGTGCTCACTTTAGATACTACGGAATTGAAGAACTAAAATAGTTCCTCATCCTGGCTATCTTAACACCATTTCTATAAAAAAGTTTTCAGGAGAGGGCCGGGCGCGGTGGCTCAAGCCTGTAATCCCAGCACTTTGGGAGGACGAGGCGGGTGGATCATGAGGTCAAGAGATCGAGACCATCCTGGTCAACATGGTGAAACCCCGTCTCTACTCAAAATACAAAAAAATTAGCTGGGCATGGTGGCGCATGCCTGTAATCCCAGCTACTCGGGAGGCTGAGGCAGGAGAATTGCCTGAACCCAGGAGGCGGAGGCTGCGTTGAGCCGAGATCGTGCCATTGCACTCCAGCCTGGGTAACAAGAGCGAAACTCTGTCTCAAAAAAAAAAAAAAAAAAGTTTTCAGGAGAGAGAACTAGTCTTATAGTGGAAATCAGTAGGAAAATGCAATGTTTTCAATTGCGTTTGGTTTAGAATTGCTTTGCCTCAAATATACGTTATTTATTTCTTTTTACTCTTCTTGGCATCTAGATAAGTTGATAATGTTCATTAACATTTGCATTCTATTCTGTTGTATTTTTCATGGTTTGCGAGATTTTAAAAATATCTTGTTCTCGGCATTTTTTCTAGAGAAATTCAGTCTCCTTTACTTCTTGAACTCAAGAAAATGCATAAAACTTCTACCTAGGAAGGAAGTACTTCATACTTTTTAGCTTCGTTTTATAACAGTTTTAAAGTTTTTAACCCTGGCTTTTGTTTTCTGTATTTTAAAATGTAAAGGAAAAGATACATAAATGGATACGTTAAAGATGTCTGTTTCTCCAGTAAGTGTTGTCCATTATTGGGGTACGGTATAGAAGTGAAGAAGGAAAAAGTAAATAATAGATGTCTCAACATGATTTTGTTAGAATTCTGTATAGACCTAATTAGTATGGAATTGGACTTATGCGTTTAATCTTTAGAAACTCTTGTAAGCTTTTAGTCCTGGATATATTAATATTAAATATGAATATGAATATGAGTTGATACTTAGAAGCTTTACACTTGGCACACTTTCCTTCTCTTTGCCAAAAATACATTATGTTCTTGTTCTGCTTTATCTCCTTGAAAATTTGTTGAGCAGGCCTCCTTGATGCATCTCTGCAATCAGAGTATCAAATGTATCACAGTAAACTTCGATTGCCATGGTTCATGGACCTGCTGCCTTGTGCAAATTCAAGAGCCTTGATCCTATAACCCAAATGAGGCTTGGGACACAAGTTTTGAGAGAGCAGCATGCTCATGGTGCCTAGTTTAGAGCTCTTCAGCAAACCTCCCACCTTCTTGTTGAACTCATGTTACAGTCATGCTCAGTCATAAAGGTCCTCCGGCCATACCCACAAGGGTTTTTCATTTCCTCCCTTGTGTTTCTTTGCTTCCTGTAGCTTATGCTGATAATGCACAGGCACAGCAATTTTTTTTTTTTTTTTTTTTTTTTTTTGCAAATTTTGTGGTTCAGCTTGTCCTTCGTGCAAGTGTGCAATCTCTATAAAAAGCTCTTCACTTCCCTTTTAGGCACACTCATGCTGCTTTTGCTAGCACTTTCAGTGTTCTCCCTGCTTTTGCACTGCAGGGCTATGGTGAGGTTAATGATGTTTGTAAAACCCCTCACAACAAAGCTGACACACATCTGCCAGACCGTAAAAGACCATAGCCTGGTTCCTCAATTTGCTTAGTACTGAGAAGTACGGGAGGAAAATTGGTTAGGAGCAGCTGTGTAAATCAGAAATTTTTGAATTGGTAGAAGTTTTCAGATAGGTTAATTCATTGTCCAGAAAACACCTTCATGGGTTCTTAGTTTTTGGCTACTATAATAGCATTTTGCAGTATTTTAAGTTTGTAACTATTTTGTCAGATTTCCTTTTGAGGAACCTGGCTTTGGGTTGTTTTTGTTTTCCCCTCACATGATCATGCTGAGAAGATTAAAGTTACAGTTTATTTTTATTCATTCTGTTTCATTCATAACCTTAAAAGCAAGTAACTATTATATGGGTTCCTTGAGGTAGAGCTTACTGTATCTGCATCACAGTTAAAGTGATACACAATGCACTTTCAGCGTTCCACTGTCCCTAAGAACTTAATTTGAAAGGAGGCTTACACTGATGTTAGTTCTCACTTGAACACATGTCCTTTTCTAACTAGATAGATTTTATTAAAAAACTGCTTTATTTGAAAGGAAGATAATGTACTGCATTTATATTTTCAAACTTGAGATTTAAAAATCTATCTGAATTGGCTACTTTATAATTCCTGTGAGAAGGGCTGTGTTGTGAGGGGTAAGGTTAGACAAGTCCTCCGTATACCTGTCGAGTTGAGGAACAGATAGGTAGTGTATGCAATTTCTGTAATAACTACCCAGAATATAGTTGCAAAAAATCGTTCTGGTAGTGATAAAAAGTATGTAGTGTGAAAGATTAACTTTTGAAAAACTTCAAAAGCTGTGTATCAAAGAGGAGCTGTGATAGAAGTTTAAATTACCACATGCAATCTATTTTTTGCTCTCTTAAGTTGTTTATTCTAGGTCAGTGGTTCTCAACTTCAGGGCTGTTTTGCCCTGCAGGGGACTTCTAGCAATGTCTGCAGATGTTTTGATTATCATTAACTGAGAAGAGGGACTTGGAAGTGCTGCTGGCACTTAGTAGTAAGTAGAGGCCAGGGCTGCACAAGACAGCCCCTCACCCCGCAACAAAGGATTTTCCAGCCCCAAATGCCAGTATTGTCAAGACTCAGAAACTGTTCTAGGTGTTATATTCTGAATTAAAGGGTCTGAACCAAGATTCCACAATTTCAATTATATTTGTTAGTCTTTTTGCCTCAATATAGATATTCATTATACCAAATCTGAGAATTAACCACCTTCTGTATGAGTTAAAGGTTACGTATAATTAAATAATATCTCATTATTTCCTCTTATTACTGAAACAACTCATTAATAGCTAAAATATATTACCTCATAATGTTTTATGACCAATGAGATAGTTTGTAAAGCTCTAGAAGGAAAATGGATAGGTAGGTATTTTAAGATATTAGGCTACTACATTCTTCTTGTATATGTGACATATGTGTGACAATATGTATATTAAATGAGTTAATACATGTAAAACTCTTATCAAAATAGGAGTTGCCTCTAGAGGAGGAGTTGCCTCTAGAGGAGGTGGTAGCAAAGTGGGGATAACGAACCTGGAATTTTATCGTGGTTATTCAGTCAGTGAACAAGATTTCGTTTCACTGCAAGGGAGAATTAACATACATGGGGCCAGGCTTGGTGTGCACCTGTAATTCCAGCTACTCGGGAAGCTGAGGTGGGAGGATCGCTCAGGAGTTCAAGGCCAGCCTGGGCAACACAGCAAGACTCCATCTCTTAAAAAACCAAAACATACGAATACCTGCTATGTCAGCCACATAAGCACTTTCATTTTCTTTGTCAATGACACATAAAGTAATTCTTCATCTCTGTTTTATAGTTGGGAAATTCAGAGACACTAAATGTGGCTGAGTCAGAGTTAGAATGAAGGTCTCTGACTCCAAGGCCCTTATTCTTTGTACAGTATTATCCCGTCTTCAAAGAGTGGTTTTATAAGGGTTTGTTCTGGTTAGCTTTTCCTTGAAGATCTTCTAGATATATTTGTAGAAAACCAGTATTCTTAATTTTCATTCTGTAGAATTGTAGTCTTTTTTAAAGAACAAAATTATGAATAAAGACAAACATCACTAAAATGAGAGTTCTCATCCATATTGATGTGAATGGAAATGGATTAAGTACTATTGATTACTGTGAACTGTTTGCAGAAGGTATCTATATGTGGAGTTTGAACTGAAGCTCTGATGTCATACCCTGCCTGTCCTTGTGTACATTGTGCTTTGTCTATGTAAAGTATACTTCATATGCTGTGTTTTATCACCAGAATTCCTCCCTGTAAGGGTATAACTGAGGAAACCCAAAAGGCTCTGGACCGCTCTCTTCTCGATTGCACTTTCCGATTACAAGGTAGAAATAACCGCACGTGGGTAGCAGAGTTAGTGTTTGCGAATTGCCCGCTTAATGGCACTTCTACTAGGGAGCAAGGTGAGATGTTTCATACATTTTGTCTTTGCAGATTTCTGGATTTTTAAAGTATCGATTACTATTAATATTCTCTTAATCTTACAGGACCATCCCGGCACGTTTACCTGACATATGAAAATCTGTTGTCTGAGCCTGTTGGTGGTAGAAAAGTGGTTGAAATGTTTCTTAATGACTGGAATAGTATTGCACGATTATATGAGTGTGTGTTGGAATTTGCACGTTCTCTACCAGGTACATGTAATAATCTCCTTTTTAAATAAGAAGAAAAGCCCACCCCTCCCCCTTTTTTTAACCAAAGAAGTAAAACATATACAGTGTTAAAGACAAAAAAAATCAAAATTATATCTAATAAAACTTAAGTGTTCCTTTCACTTCAGACTTCAGTTTCCTTTCCCTAAACACAACCACTGTTAACTTTCTTTTGTTTGCAGAAATTATACACACAGGTATACTGTCTCGTAATAATAGTGCCTATTTACTGTGTGCCATACGATATAATAAACTGTTTGTGTTAACTCATTTAATCTTCACAATCACAATTATGAGGTGGGTATTATTCCTCATTTTACAGAATAAAACAAGTTGCAGAGACTAAGAACTTTGCATAAAGTCCCATAGCTAGTGAGTGGTAGAGTTGGAATTGGAACCCTCCCACCGCTATGCCACATGCTTCAGTATGTCTCACCTGCCCTTGCCCACTTTTGTAGAAATGGAAGCATATTACCTATTTATGCTGTTGCTTTTTTTTTTTTTTTTTAACTAAATTACTTAACTAGAGACCTGTCTTGGCATATAATATTGCCAAAATGCCCTCTTAATCAAATTTGTATTTTAAAATTTTGCATGTATAATATTAATCTTCTTTTTATTTTCTTCTGTTTAGACATACCTGCTCATCTAAATATTTTCTCAGAAGTTCGAGTTTATAATTACCGAAAACTTATCCTGTGTTATGGAACCACCAAGGGAAGCTCAGTAAGTCTATTAATTAAAATGCTGAACTTCCTGTCTTATGAATATTTTAAAAATCAAGATTTCAAAAAACATGAAAATTACCTTAATATAAGTAAGAGCTCAAGTAAAAGGGATAAAATGGTAAATTTTAAATGTTTCGTGGCTATAAATATAGTATACTACAATGCTTAACTTCTTAAATTGATAAGAAAAATAATACTCTGTGATGGGGTATGTGATCTTGAAGCATTTTGGACAAGGTAATATACTGTTGGTATTTGTATTTCTTCACTGATTCCAAATTTGCTTGGCAATGTGATTATTATAAGGAAAATTATGTATGAGTGGTTATAACAATGTGGTATGGTTTTGCTTTTGGTCACATGAATGTTAACATTGTTTCATCTTATTTTAATCTTGAAGTATTTCCTGTAATCTATAGTTCTTTATTTTTTCCCCACCTCATATGTAAAGTCCTAGAAATGTAGTATAAAAATACAGCCAGCAGGCTTCTCTCTAGACTTCTGCATCAAGTAATGTCAGGTTACTTGAGTGTTTTAAAATCTATTAACCACGTGTATCTGTGTTCGGAGTGGCTTCCTTCCCCTTTATGACAGTGCTTTTTAGTTGGTGGTACCAAGAGTGTGACTCTTCTTCAGTTCAAGAGAAAAACGAAAAGAAACACTAATGATAGTTTTCAAATAAAGTTTAGTAAAGAAAGTTATTTTAATGCCTTTCTGTTTTATTTAGTAAAAGAGGGCTAACACTGGTCAGGAAGTGTACTGTTCCATATTAATAGCACATCTGGAGTTCGAATCCAGTCTTATTTTATTGCTTGTTTAAAAAAAAACCTCATTTAGATTTTTGGCATTTTGCCTTACTTTTAACATTTTTTTCTCCTACTTGAATCTGTTACTTTCTCAGTTTCTGAAACATGTGATGTTTTTGCTTTAGATTAGTATCCAATGGAATTCAATCCATCAGAAATTCCATATTTCTTTGGGAACTGTTGGCCCAAACTCAGGTTGCAGTAACTGTCACAATACCATCCTCCATCAGCTTCAAGAAATGTTCAACAAAACACCAAATGTGGTTCAGTTATTACAGGTAATGAAGTTTATTTTCTGTCTAAAACTAAGACTTAGTATGCCAGGTATGGTGGCTCACACCTATAATCCTAACACTTTGGGAGGCCGAGGCAGAAGGGTTGCTTGTGCTCAGGAATTCAAGACCAGCTTGAGCAATGTGGTAACACCCTGTCTCTACAAAAATACAAAAATTAGCCAGGTGTGGTGATGCATGCCTGTAGTCCCGGCTACTTGGAAGGCTGAAGTGAGAGGATCACCTGAGCCTGGGGAGGTCAGGGCTGCAGTGAGCCATGATTGTGCCAGTGCGGTCCAGTCTGGGTGTCAGAGTGAGACCCTTTCTCAAAAAACAAAGAAAAAAAAACCCCCAGCACTTACTGTCTCAGGCAAAACTCTTCAAAAGATCATGGGGACTTAACTTGTCTTTAATGACTAAGGCTGATAACTTTTGTCTTTTTTATCTTGAACACTTTTTTGAGAATCTTTTTTGATTCAATGTGGACTCAGTGATCTAGTTCGCATTCTCTTCAAGGGGAAGTTTTATAGAATGTGCTAGAAGGATGTTGTCTCATTTGTGACAGTTATATACTGAAAATTCTGACGTTTTAACATCTGTACAGAAACTGGCTCCTCTCACTGTGTTTTTGTTCCTTATAGGTACTGTTTGATACTCAGGCTCCATTAAATGCCATCAACAAACTCCCCACTGTGCCAATGTTGGGCTTGACCCAGAGAACCAACACTGCATACCAGTGCTTCTCCATTCTGCCACAGTCGTCCACCCACATCAGACTGGCCTTCAGGAACATGTATTGCATTGATATATACTGCCGGAGTCGAGGTGTTGTGGCAATACGGGATGGTGCCTATAGTCTTTTTGATAACAGCAAATTAGTTGAAGGTTTTTATCCTGCACCAGGACTAAAGGTAATAGACTTTAGTGTTATAACATGAGTAAACATAAAAATCATCTCTAAAATAATTTCTTTGAGGGGGAAATAATGGGGAAAAGCAACAAATTCCTGTTTAAATTTAACAAGTAGCAATGTTAATTCATCATCTCTGCAATTTCATTCTGAAGGTGCTGGTACTTCTGATAAAGTGCCGTGCTTATGTGTGTGAGATGATTAAAAGTCCTTTTCTTTATATTCATACCTTTTGATCAGTAGGGTAAAGATACTAAAAAGAGTTATATTTGCTCTTTGAACTTTAGGGAACTTTAAAAGTAGTTTTTATCATTGATTTTTAAAAAGGTTTGGTTACTGATTCTACTGTGATGCTTATTTATTTATTTATTTATTTTTGAGACAGAGTGTCACCGTGTCACCCAGGCTGGAGTGCAACAGCATGATTTTGGCTCACTCGTGCCTCAGCCTCCTCAGTAGCTGAGATTATAGGCATCTGCCACCATGCCTGGCTAATTTTTATATTTTTAGTAGAGATAGGGTTTCATCATGTGGGCCAGGCTGGTCTCGAACTCCTGACCTCAGGTGATCCACCTGCCTCAGCCTCCCAAAGTGCTAGGATTACAGGCGTGAGACCCTGTGCCTGGCCTGATGCTTTTTTTTTTTTTTTTGAGACGGAGTTTCGCTCTTGTTACCCAGGCTGGAGTGCAATGGCGCAATCTCGGCTCACCGCAACCTCCACCTCATGGGTTCAGGCAATTCTCCTGCCTCAGCCTCCTGAGTAGCTCGGATTACAAGCACGCGCCACCATGCCCAGCTAATTTTTTGTATTTGTAGTAGAGATGGGGTTTCACCATGTGGACCAGGATGGTCTCGATCTCTTGACCTCGTGATCCGCCTGCCTCGGCCTCCCAAAGTGCTGGGATTACAGGCTTGAGCCATCGTGCCTGGCTCCTGATGCTTTTTAAAAATGTAAGATCGTGGACCACAACTGTCAGAGTGGTTAACTGATGTGATAGCTCAGTTGTATGTATTTATAGTTTAGAATCAAATAAATTGAAAAGGCTTGATTTGAAAAATAGTCTCCGGCAACCTACTCTTGTCATTTTCTTGCTCCCCAGATGCCCTGTTTTGAATTCTTATATAGCTGATTCTCTTGGTATTTATATCTTTATCTCTAACTAGAATGCCCACATTGCCATTTGTTTACTTTTTGGTTGATGGCATTGTCTGATTCTCATAATGGAAGATTAATATTCTTTTTTTTGTTTTGTTTTGTTTTGGAGACAAAGTTTTGTTCTGTCCTTCAGACTGGAGTGCAGTGATATGATCATGGCTCACTGCAGCCTCAACCCATCCTCCCACCTCAGTTTCCCCAGTAGCTGGGACCACACCCAGATAATTTTTTTTTTTTTTTTTTTTTTTTTTTTTTGAGACGGAGTTTCGCTCTTGTTACCCAGGCTGGAGTGCAATGGCGCGATCTCGGCTCACTGCAACTTCCGCCTCCTGGGCTCAGGCAATTCTCCTGCCTCAGCCTCCTGAGTAGCTGGGATTACAGGCACACACCACCATGCCCAGCTAATTTTTTTTGTATTTTTAGTAGAGACGGGGTTTCACCATGTTGACCAGGATGGTCTCGATCTCTTGACCTCGTGATCCACCCGCCTCGGCCTCCCAAAGTGCTGGGATTACAGGCTTGAGCCACCGCGCCCGGCCGGCCACACCCAGATAACTTTTATGTTTTTTTTGTAGAGATGGGGTTTTGTTGTGTTGCCCATGCTTTAATTCTTATTAAATTCTTCTTTATATGTGCCTTCCCCCTTCCAGGCTGCACTCAGTACATAAACACATTTGTCTTTCCTCCTATCTTTGTAACATGGTTAGGTAGCAATTTTGATTAGATCATTTTTCAGTGTTTGCACTGTTATGAATATGTAAGCACTGCTGTAACCAAGCTTACTATGATTATTTTTCCTGTCTTGCTCAACATTGTATTTTATTGGTAATTATTAATTGGGTCTTTTTTTTTTTTTTGGTTTTGCTTTCTCTGTACCTATTGCTAATTAACCTTAAACTATCTCCTACTTATGTAACTCCTTTTGGTATGTTCAGACATATCAGATGCCTTACTGATTTCATCTTGAAGAAATCTCTTCAATAGGCCTCCAACCTGCTCTAATTTGGACTGATAGCAGTCTGGGCCTTTTACACAGTGTTGGCTTAGGTATCTGCAAAAGGATGAACGGGGAGACTCCTTTAGCTCTCTTTTATGTTGCACATTTCATGCCTTGTGTTGCAGGCCCCTTGGTTTTTTTTCTCTTGGTTTACTTCATTGTTTTGATTATTGGGATAAGGTACATAGAGGGTGGGGAGTTAATTTGAGATCTTGTACGTCTGAAAGCATCTTTAGTTTACCCTCATCTAACTGAAGTGGCTAGAAATAGAATTCTAGGTTGCAGTCATTTTCTGTAAAGTTTGAAGATACTGCTTCATTGCCTCCTAGCTTCCATTGTGATTATTGAGATGTGTAATGCTGTTTTAATTCTTAAACATTATGTGACTTGAGTGGGCTCTTTCAGTCTGAAAACTTACATCCTTTTGCTTTGGGAAATCTTACAGTATTTATTGATTCATCTCTGTTGTTTTCTGTGGTAGCTCGGTCAGGTACTCCTAATGTTCTGATGCTAGGCATTGTGGACTTATCCTCCAATTTTCTTGTCTCTTCTGGTTTTTTTGTCTCTTTGTTTCTGGGAGATACCTCACTTTTTCCTCTAATCCCTCTAATTTTCATTTCTACCAACGTTTTATTTTGGCCATCCTTTAAACATTTTTTCAGAAGGTCTTTCTTGTTTCTAAACGTTTATTTTAAACATTCTATTATATGGCGACATTACTTTTTCTTCTTTTTATCTTATATAATCTCTATTCACCTTGCTTTTGTCGGGTGGGGGTGTGGTATTGATCTCTTTTATGTTAGTGTCTTTCCTCAAATGTTAAGTGATTCTTAACTGTCTGCTCTTATTTAAAAGTAAGACTTATTGACTGTGGTCTTCATTGCAGGATGATCTCCTTAGGGCATTTCTTTGGGAAACTTCCAATATCAGTAGCTTTAGGTCTTTTTGTTAGGCTGGTGTGAGTACCAAGAGAAGAGTATCCAAATCTTCTGCATAGATGGTATGCATCTGGCTCTCAATTTCGGGAAAGTCAAATGAGAATACGAGTATTCTCAACTTTATATAGACTTTGATCCCCATTTTTTTATATGGTAGTCCTCTCAGTTGATCTTTGGTGTCCCCCAAGTCAGAGATCCTCCTCCAGGGTGGAAGAGATCAAACGAGCTAAATGAGAGTAGCAGAGGGTCTGGGAGGGTCTAAGCGTCTCTTAGACTTTCACTTAGTCCTTCTGTTGTTAGTCCAACTTTTATCCCCACTTCCAAAGGTACCCATATTAGTCTATTTTCACATTGCTATAAAGATATTACCCGAGCCTGGATAATTTATAAAGGAAAGAGGTTTAATTGACTCACAGTTTCACAGGCTTAACAGTAAGCATGGCTAGGAGACCTCAGGAAATTTACAATCATGGTGGAAGGTAAAGGGAAGCAAGCATGTCTTATATGGTGGCAGGCAAGAGGCACGAGAGCAGAGGAGACTTCTTATAAAACCATCAGAGCTCATGAGAACTCACTATCACGAGAACATCATGAGGGGAACTGTCCCCATAATCCAATCAATTGGTCCCTCTCTCAACACGTGGAGATTACAATTTGGGTTAAAATTCAAGATGAGATTTGGGTGGGGACACAGAGCCAAACCATATTAGTGCCTGATACTGCCCATTCCAAAGTGTCTTGGGGATCTGGATGGAAATAGCTTGCTTCTTGGCTTTTCCCACAGTTTACTTAGGATACAACTTTCTCACATTGGGTCATTCTAGTTGCTACTTAGCCATCTGCTTTGCAGCCTCCAGGATATATTGCTATTTTTTCTCTTCTATTTTTTTTGTCTTTGTTACTTATTGCTTCAAAAAATTTTTTCCAGTAGTTTTAGTGGGGAGAGAATGCAATGTGTGTTGTGGGCCCATCATCTTTAATTAAAAGTAGACTGTGGACTTTTTTTTTTTGAGACAGGGTCTTGCTCTGTCGCCCAGGCTGGAGTGCAGTGGTGGGATCACAGCTCACTGCAGCCTCAACTTCCCGGGCTCAAACAGTCTTCCTATCTCATCCTCCCTGGTAGCTGGATCCACAGGTGTGCACCACCATTCCTGGCTGATGTTGTATTTTTTATAGAGATGAGGTTTTGCCATTGTTGCCCAGATTGGTCTTGCAAGGGATCTTCCCACCTCGGCCTCCCAAAGTGCTGAGATTATAGGCATGAGTCACCATGCTCAGCCCACTGTGGACTTTTAATAGCTCTCTAGTGATTCTGATAAGCTTATGATACACACACATACACACACACTTGAATACTGGGGATGTGAGGAATGTTAAAGAGAATCTGTGTTTGAAACACAAGCTCTGGTAACCTTACTCAGTTTTGACAATATGTAAAACAAGGCTGTCCTACTCTTAATGATTCAAGATTAAATCATATAATATAAAAAAGAAAAAATTAGATTGTTACTCAATTTTCCTTTCATATTTTCTAGTTTAAGAAGTGAGAGTGCTCACTAGCTGGTATATTTTCCAAGTCATTGAAGCTATGGCCAATATTTTTTTCATTTTTTACCCCCATTTCTGGATTAGAAGTTAGTAAGAAAATATGTAATCTGGTGGTAAGAGGTGCCAGGATGCACTTTTTTCTTCAACTTTTTGCTCAAACAATATTTCTTAGTTGATATGACTTTTTTCTTAGATTCTGTTTTTGTTAACTGTTTTCCTCAGTTTCCTCCTTCAAAATTAACAAAATTTATTCTAGGTTATCCTACTAATGGTTTTCAAGGATCAGCATACTATGTTTCTGTTGAAATATTCTAAATAATTTAAAATATTTTACTAATAATGTTAGGCAAAATAATCTAAATGTAACCTGTTTCTATCCGTAGACGTTCCTGAATATGTTTGTGGACAGCAATCAGGATGCTCGAAGAAGGTCTGTAAATGAGGACGATAATCCCCCTTCTCCCATAGGAGGAGATATGATGGATTCTTTAATATCGCAGCTCCAGCCACCACCCCAGCAACAGGTAAAATCTAGCCAAAATTCTAAATGGTACCACATTTCTGTAACTTCACAGGTTCTACAGGCGTCAGGGCTTCATTGAAAGACAAGGAGGTCATTGGTGGGCCTGAGATGCCCAAGAAATCCTTATGAAATAAAGAGTTGCAGAAGGAGGTAAGGAGGAGACTTCCAGTGACAGGAAATGAATACTGTTAGAAACAGCATTAATCTCAGATCATTCATGCACTTAAAATGATGTTATATGATTCCATGGGTGGAAATATCATCTGCAGGATCCGAGGTCTTTGAGAGAGTTTCCTCACCTGGTCTTGAAAGACAGATGCTGTTAAAGTAGAACACAGTGGACCAAATGTCTAGTGATGTTCAGCGGAGACTCCTACAGAGAACAGGTGGACAAATTTCCAGGGTTCTGTCCTCAGACCATTTGGATAAAAGCCACATTATAGAAACATAAGAGCTTTCAGTTCTGTCCTGTCACCTTTACATGTCTGAGAGTTGAACAGGTCCCAGGCCAGCCATTGTTCTCTCACTGAGCCTCCTGAAATAGAAGGTGAACAGTGATCGTTTAGCCCTTTAACAGTCCTGTGTGACTCCCTAGACTGGGAAATACCCATTGGGGCTGTAGACTCTGGGCTGGAGTCTTCAGTGGCTCCATTTTTAGTTGTATATGAGCACACACCCTGTAGGCAAGGCTCTTTGGTACAGCCTTTAGTTTTGTTTCACAAAATAGCTCACTGCTTTTCACCCAGAAACTTTCATGAATAGCATTGCTTGAAACCAGCACTGTGCAGAGAGTCCTCTTAGCTTATTTTATTGCTTAGCTTCTGATCTGACTACTTAGTGACTACAACTTCCCAGTGCTTACATCTTTGAAAAAGTACTAGGTTCTTACTAGAAGGAGAGTTTTGTGGAAGGTGTATTATTCCTGGCAGCTATTTAGGGTTACTCGTCTTCTCACTGTTTCCCATCTTGGCCTTCATTTGGAACAGGGAAGCTCAGTAAAGGTCTATGCCAATGTCTCTATGTAGCCAAGGCACGGGGCTCTTGTGACAGACATTGACTCAGATGAGATACTAGCCCTCTAAAGATGCTGGGCCACCATGGAAGAAAAGTACCTTGGCTCAGCAGATACCAGACCAGCTTTTTTCTTGTGGAAGCGACTTCATTGCATTTTCGATGGAGCAGGGGATCAGCCACATCCTTTGGGGGAAAGATGTAACTGAGATGGGCTGCTGATGACCATGGCTGTAGCAGGGCCAGTGTTATAGAGGGAATGGAGGGAGAATGTGGTCCATTACTCTCTTCCTCTCCCAAAATAAATTGTTCGTTGGCCCCTCTATAATTATTTTATTTTATTTATTTATTTATTTTTGAGACGGAGTTTCGCTCTCGTTGCCCAGGCTGGAGTGCAATGGTGCGATCTCGGCTCACCACAACTTCTGCCTCCCGGGTTCAAGAGAGTCTCCTGCCTCAGCCTCCCGAGTAGCTGGGACTACAGGCATGCGCCACCATGCCCGGCTAATTTTGTATTTTTATTAAGAGACAGGGTTTCTCCATGTTGGTCAGGCTGGTCTCGAACTCCCGATCTCAGGTGATCCGCCTGCCTCAGCTTCCCAAAGTGCTTTTGTTACTGAAAAAATCATAATTTGACACAGTGAGCACCTGCAGTGCTAGTTTATTAGATATTCTGATTTGGCTAAGAGCTCTGTACACCCGGTAGCATTTCATACTGAACATGAGATTTCTGACTAGGAAAACAGTTACAGGCTAAGTCAGAAGGATTAGAAGTGGGTAGATTGGCAAAAGGTTAGGATATTCTAGAAACAGAATTATTTGTCTTTGGGAAAACTTGAGGAATTTTCTGCTTTTTCTTGCTTGGCATTCAACCTACAGGTAGAGCTTTTTTTTATTTGTTTTGTTTTTAAGTTAAAAAGTTTGACAATACCAAGTCAGAATTATTTTAAAAGAATATTCATCTGCCATGGTTAAATGTCTTCTGTTGGTGGCTTTGACTTTACATACCTCCTAAAGAGTGAGTCTTTTATTGAGCAGTTTCAGTTTTCAGCTTTTTTGTGTTTATCAGATATCTGGGCTATACTTCTATTTGTAAACTATTCATCTCCCTGATAAGACGGTTGTGAGCAAAAAATGTTCATAAAGGGATTCAGGTACATTTTACTTGATGTTAGCAGGTAGCTTTTCTTCTTTTATATGCATAAGCTAGTCCATGAGAAAGGAAAGGAAGAAAAATATAAAAGTTTGTGACTATCATAGTTTTAATTAACAAGTTAGTGTGGCTTACGTCTCCAAACATAAAGGTACATTCTACGTTATTGGATAAAACAGTACTGGCAAATGTGTGATTTTGTAGCTTATGAGTTAGAAAGCCTGAATGCTATAATTTCTTTAAGATAGCATAGAAAGAATCAATTTTAAAAAAAGTAGACAATCTGGTTTTAAAAATAGGTAAAAGATTCAAGTCATTTCACATACTAGGATGTCCAAGTGGCCAGTAAGCACAGAAAAGGTATTCAAACACCATTTGCCATTGCAGAAATACAAATTAAAGCTACAATGAGATAATACTCCACACCTACAAAAATGGCTTTAAAAAAATAGATAATTATTTCCAACATTTGATATTAGGAACAACTGAAACCCTTATTTGCCACTAGAAAATGTATAAAATGTTACAACTACCTTGTGATAGTGATAAAGATGAGTAAAGCTCAGGCTGAACTACCATATTTCATTGATACTAAAGATGCACCAGTTTTTATCTACTGCTCAGAAAGAGAAAACACTGCCAGTTAAACTAACATTCCATAAATGGAAAGACATACCCTGATCTTAGAGATGTTGAAGTGTGGGGGAAAAATGTCTTAGAATCAATGAAATGGTAGATAAATGATAGAGATAAATCAGTGATATGCTAGATATAAAATGAGCAAAAAAAACATCTTGTGAGATAGAAAGCAATAGCATTGCAAGATCAGAAATGAGGATGTTGCTATTTTAAAACATTTTGGAAGTCAGGGTTTATAAAGACTTGTGTTGTTGATGTGTATTTACTTTGCACACTTTTATACCTCCTGTTTTCTCTTTGGTAACCAACAAAGTATGTAAATGTTAACACTGTAGCTATAATTAGGGAATGCCACACTCTTACGCTCCATGCAGTTGGCCATTTTACCAACGTTTAATTTTCTTTTCAGCCATTTCCAAAGCAGCCAGGAACATCAGGCGCTTATCCTCTTACTTCACCCCCTACATCTTATCACAGCACAGTCAATCAGTCTCCCTCTATGATGCACACACAGTCTCCAGGTAAGATACTACTTACTCTCTTGTCATGTTCAACTTTCAAATCCAAAACACACACACACACCCCACTTTGAGAAGCACTGTGCATCTAGCCTCAGGCTTCAGAGAGAATTCCCTTTCTGGTCTGTGGCTAGATAGTTGTCACTCATTTATTATGGAAGGTTTGTGAAGTCTGTGTCCAGGCTCAGGAGTACGTTAAAAGGCTTACATTAAGTGGAGGTGTCACCCAGAGCCACACTCACAGCACAGCTCCAGGGGGGTTCTAATCACAACATGGTCTATGTTACAGGTTGACAGACTCTGCTATGAGCCAAATCCTGCCTGCCACTTGTTTTTGTAAATAAAGTTTCACTGGAATGAAGCCACACTTGTCTATGTAGTGTCTATGGCTGCTTTCCCACCACAACAGCCCTTTACAGAAAAAGTTTACTAAGCCATGGAATAGGTGAAGGGTGGCCTGCCCCCAAGCTCCAGAGTTAGGCAGTGCATAGCCTGCTTGTCCAGACATAATGGCTTTGTTGGCAGCCCCATGAAGTGCACTGTAAAAGTGCTTGATAATGCCAAATGTTTGCTTTTAATTGAATGATTCAGTGGTATCTCTTGAGCACTTGGTCTGTGCCAACTGCTGCCTGGTGCTGGTGATTCAGCAGTGAACCAGATACCAGCCTTGCTCTTGAGCTTATCATCTAGCAAGGAAGATAGGTCATCAGATTTCTTGGGGAGAATGACCCTTGCCTACTAGGTCCTAGTAATATTTCCAGAGCATAATGATGGGTTTTTCAAAGAAAGTTTTAGCATAAAAGATGTGATATGTAATATAGGATAAAAAATGTGAGAAATTAAATGATTTTTAAAAGCATGCATAATAAAACCTTTTATCTACTGTAAATATATCAGTCCAATCAACTAAAGAATGCAGTAAAGTAGTTTTGTACTAACTGAGGGCATTCAGGCTTATCAGAAAACAGGACAAAACCAAATTGAATCCTGATTTTTAAGTAATAAACCCAACAAATACATCTGCTTTTAAGTTCTCACTGTGAAAAGCAGAATTTGCAGTGCATACTTTCCTCCTTTAGAAAATGCAAAAGAGGTTCTTTTTTTTTTTTTTTTTGACATGGAGTTTCGCTCTTGTTACCCAGGCTGGAGTGCAATGGCGCGATCTCGGCTCACCGCAACCTCCGCCTCCTGGGTTCAGGCAATTCTCCCGCCTCAGCCTCCTAAGAGGTTCTTTTATATATGTATATGTGTGTCTGTATATGAGAAATTTGTATTGACCGGTAGAATCTGTTAACCTGCAGGTGGGAGATATAATGACATCACTTATTCAGTAGCTAATTCCATTTGTAAAATGAGAATAATATAAAACCTTTTCCATAGAGATGTTGTGAGAATTGAATGAAATAGTTCATATAAAGTGTTTAGCCTGGGACATGGCACATGACAAATGCCTCATTGACCAGCCCATCGTAATCTGTCTTGTTGCCCAAATTCGGCCGCTTGACGTCCCGCACTGCCTAGGCACTCACACCCTGGCAGATCCCACCCCTACCACATCTCATACTTAGACAGTCATACTGCTCTTTACATTACTCTTCACATTACTTCAGTGATGTCGTTTTAAAAAAAAACAGATCCTCATTTTTAAAGTCTTTAAATTCGCTTTTATTTAGGGAGTGGGGTGTGTTTCCTCTGCTTAGATTCCTAGATAAACACTCTTCATCTGTAATGCCAAGTATGGTAAGTGTTACAAAAAGGGTCACTTAGGCTTTTGAAAGAGCATTCGATAAGGGGGTTTCGATTGTTTCTTTCCTGGGGATGCCTTGTTTGCCTCCCTCCTTTCGACACTGCTTAAGCTGAGACTTGAAGGGTGAGTAAGAGTTTCCCAGATGGAGGGACATGGACGAGGAAGATCTCGCAGGCAGACTGTGCAGGGTGTGTGGAGTCTGAACTCCCAGAAGATGGTAGACTGTTCCAAATGGCTGGTGTGTGGAGAGACAGAACTCTGTTCAAGATTTTGACCTCTATTGTATGGGTAAATAGGAAGCCATTGTTGGATTTTAGTCTGGGTTAAATTTGTACAACTGAAAGTGACAAGAGTGGTGGATGGGCAGATTTCACAGAGAAAGGAGCAAGTAGTTCTCCTGAACCTGGTGATTTTACAAGTTCCCAGAGATTCCTAAGTCAAGATGTTCAGTAGGCAGTTGGCTGTATGAGCCTGTGGCCCATCAGAGATGGTTGGACTACAGATGAAGGCTTGGAAGTTGTTGTTGTTGTGTCTAGGGTCATTGAACCCCAAGTGGGTTGTTGAGTCAGCCCCTAGGAATACCAGTGGTCAGTGAGTGGGGAAGCAGCAGCTAGGGAGGAAGTAGGCGAAACAGGAGAAACAGGGTTGTAGAACTCCATGGGAGTGTGTCTTTAGGATATGAGTCGACATTGTTTTTGTATAGTAGGAAGGGAAAAATATTTTGAAATAATTATAGTAGTAGACAAGCATATAGTACTATGTGCCAAGCTCTATTCTAAGCACTTTATCCATTTAATCCTCACAGCAAACCTGTGGTGTAGGTCCTATTGTTATTCCCATTTTATGAAGGAAAACTGAGACATGGAGAAGTTAGGTCACTCGTCCAGATACACAGCTAAATAAGTAAACATAAACGCTTAAAGCAGGCGTCCCCAAACTTTTTACACAGGGGGCCAGTTCACTGTCCCTCAGACCGTTGGAGGGCCGCCACATACTGTGCTCCTCTCACTGACCACCAATGAAAGAGGTGCCCCTTCCTGAAGTGTGGCGGGGGGCCGGATAAATGGCCTCAGGGAGCTGCATGCGGCCCGCGGGCCGTAGTTTGGGGACGCCTGACTTAAAGGTTAGTCAAGTTGATCAACATACTGATCGAAAGTAAGGCAGTGATTTAGGTATTACAGAACACAAAAATATGAAATTATCTCACATAGTACAGCCCCCCACCTTATTGCTCTCCGAGATTTTAGTTGCCTGAGGTGAACTGTAGACCAAAAATGAGCAAGTGTAGTACAATAAGATATTTAGAGACAGAGAGATACCATATTCACATAACTTTTATTACAACCTACTGCTAAGAGTGTTCTATTTTACTGTTATTGTTAATTTCTTACAATGCTTAATTTGTAAATTAAACTTTGTCATCTGTGTATATAGGGAAAAAAACAGGTTTCAATACTATCTGAGGTTTCAAGCATCCACTGGGGGGTCTTGGAACATCTCCTGTGGATAAGGCGGGGACTGCTCTAGTAGAGAATTTAAAACATGCTGATGTTAAAGATAATTATGATAATGTAGCAAGTGTTTAAATGTTGCATTTACTCATTGTTTTGGTAGCCATAGTTTGCCCTTTCATAATCATAAATTGAAATTCGTCCTGTGGCTTTAAATAAGTTAACGTTTCCCTGTTTTTTATATCTCCAATCTCAGTTTCTCCCTAAGCCTAGCATTTTTTTTTTTTTTTTTTTTTTTTTTTTTGAGACATAGTCTTGCTCTGTCACTCAGGCTAGAGTGCAATGACGCGATTTCAGCTCACTGCAACGTCCACCTCCCGGGTTCAAGCGATTCTCCTGCCTCAGCCTCCTGAATAGCTGGGATTACAGGCATGTGCCGCTGTGCCTGGCTAATTTTTGTATTTTTGGTAGAGACAGGATTTCATCATGTTGGCCAGGCTGGTCTCTAGTCCTGGCCTTAGTATTGTATTTTCTAGCTGCCTATTCTGCATCGTTTCCATGTAATGTCTGGTAGACACCTGAAACTCAGCATGGCCGAAACTAAACTCCGGATCTCTTCACTGCCCCAGTGGTCCTCTTCCCACAGACACCCCAGCTCAGTAAATGGCAGGCCCTTCCTTCCTGCGACTTGGGTCAAAGCTCTTTGAGTCATGCTGGATGTCCCTTTCTTTCATACCCATATTTGGTCATTTACAAAATACTGTCAGCTTGATTTTCAGAATTTACCCAGAATCCAACCACTTTTCACTACCATAGTCTGCCACCTTTACCCAAGCTACTCGTCCTCTCTCAGCTGAATTATTGCAGTCGTTTCTAACTGGTTTTCCTGTCCCTACCCCTACCCTTGCTCTGTAGTCTGTCCCACAGCAGCTAGAGTGATCCTTCTGAGACAGAAGTTCGTCCATGATTTCCGCTCCAAACTCTGCATTGGATTCCCATTCATTCAGGGTAAACCCTAAGTCCTTAGAGTGGCCCACAAGTCCCCATGTGATCTGGGATCCACCCCTTTTCCTCCAGCCTCCCTGGTGTCCTCTCTTCCCACTGCCCTGCTTGTTCACTCTGTTCTTGCCACACTGGCTTCCTCCCTGTTATTTATAACTGCTTCCACCTTTGGGACATTTGCACATCTGTTTGGCTGGAATAGCTCATCCCCTGGGTATCCTCATGTCTTGTCCTTCACTTTCTTCACATCTCAGTTCACATGCCCCTTCCTTAGAGAGGTCTTTTCTGATTGCTTTATATAAAGAACAGTCTTCACCTTCTTCACTACACGATATTGTCCCCTTACCCTGCTGTATTTTTTTCCATAGTGCTTACCTGACAGATACTTGTCTTTCTCATTCTATTAGAGTATAAGCTTTGTGAGGGCAGGAATTTTTGTCTCTTTTGTTAACTGCTGCATCCCCAATGCCTAGAACAGTGCTTGCCATGAAGTCGGCATTCAGGCCTTCTTGATGAATGAGTGCGTAACTGAATAAAAAGTACACTGGATTTTTTTTTTAATCAGTCAATATAAGAGCTAGAATTTGGGTCCATAGAATTGAACACTCTCTTTCGATAATGAAATCTTGCCAGTTTTTCTCTGTGTTATGTATATGGGAGCTTTACTACTTGTTTCTTTAGATTGTAGGAAGATTTTTAACTTGGAGTCCTTGGACAGGACATACAGTGTGTCCTGCAAGATTATCTATAATTATTTTCCTTTATTAGGAAATCTGCATGCTGCCAGCTCCCCCAGTGGGGCTTTGAGAGCCCCATCACCAGCGTCATTTGTTCCAACTCCTCCCCCATCCTCGCATGGAATCTCAATAGGACCAGGGGCCAGTTTTGCTAGTCCACATGGTGAGTCCATACATGGAAATTGATATAGCATAAGAGCTTGATGTGAAAATAATTTTTATTGAGTAAATTTTCTCCTTGCAAAATTAATACTTGTTTGTTGTTGAGGAATTAGCAAAAATATTGCTTAAGCAAAAAGAAAAATCAAATTTATCTAATCCCACTACACAGAGGTAATGACCAGTGAGTTCGTCTCTGCCTTGGACTCTCCCTTGCTGTCTCCATTGCTCTGCCTTGCCCTTCCTGTCACACGTGTCCTGCTTGCCTGCCTTCTCACGTTTCTGTTACTCTTGCTTGCCCTCTACCCAGCTGCTTGTCTCCCCACTCAACTACCTGCCCTTGCCCCCCTCAAATGGATACCCTAACATATGAATTGTTTTGAGACTTGGATTTTTTTAACTCAAAAATTTTATTTTGAATTGATTCAAATAGATAAAGAATAGAACAAGTAGTCGGTGAAATGTTTCCTTTTTATTCCACCAACCACCTAGTTCCTCTTCCCAGAAACATTTATATATTGTTGCAGAGCTGTTTTATGCATACATAAGCAAATACATGCATGTGTTCTTTCCTCTCTCGTTTACACACATGACAGCATACTGTACAGTGTTCAGTGCCATTTTCCCCTTAATATATCAGGAGTATCATGCCATAGAACATACATAGGGTCCTTAGTTTTTAAGCCGTGTAGCACCTGGGATTTTACTTTTTACTATTAATATTTGCAGGAACATTTCTGTCAGTAAAAACTCCACATCATTATACCATATGGCTTCGTAATATTCCCTTGTCTGGGCATACCATGACTTAACTGCTTTCCTCTTGTTATACATTTAGAACATTTCCATTTTTTTCACAATTAAAAATGGTGCCATCTGTGCTCACATCCATGATTATTTCCTTAAGTAAGTTCCAGAAGTGGAATTGTTGTCTCAAGGGGTTTGAGAACTTCTAAAGCTCTTGAAACATATTGCAAACTGTATCTGAGAGGCTGTACCAATTCCCCATACCAGAATGTCTGTTATCCTGCATCATTGCCAGCAGGGCCTGTTACATATTTTTTAAAATATGGCCATTTCGATAGGTGAAAAATGGTATCTCATTGTTTAATATGTTTCTTTGTTAGTGAAGTTAATTGAATCCTTTTTGGTTGGTCTTTGTTTTTTGGTGACGGTGGGGCGGGGAGGGTTGGCTGTTTTTTTTGAGACAGGGTCTCGGGCTGGGTGCGGTGACTCACGCCTGTAATCCCAGGACTGTGGGATGCCAAGACGGGTGAATCATGAGGTCAGGAGTTCGAGACCAGCCTGACCAACATAGTGAAAGCTCGTCTGTATTCAAAATACAAAAATTAGCCAGTCGTGGTGGTGCGCGCCTGTAATCCCAGCTACTCAGGAGGCTGAGGCAGCAGAATCACTTGAACCCAGGTGGCCGAGGTTGCAGTGAACTGAGATCACACCACTGGACTCTAGCCTGGGTGACAGAGCAAGAGACTCCGTCTCAAAAAAAAAAAAAAAAAAAAAAGACAGGGTCTCACTCTGTTACGCAATCTGGAGTGCAGTGGCACAAGTTTCAAATGATCCTCTTGCCTCAACCCCCTCCCCGGCAAAGTAGCTGGGACTGCAGGTGTGCACCATCACGCCTGGCTAGTTTTTGTGTTTTTTTGTTTGTTTGTTTGTTTGTTTGTTTGTTTTTTGTAGAGATGGGGTTTTGCTATGTTGCCCAGGCTGGTCTTGAACTCCTGGGCTCAAGCAGTCCAACAATCTCAGCCTCCCAAAGTACTGGGATTACAAGTGGGAGCCACCATGCCTGGCTGGTCCTTGGTGTTTCTTATTTTATTCCTCCCAGTTATATATGTTTTGCCTATGTTCTTGTGTTTTTTCTTACCCATTTATAAGACTTAAGTAAAGACCATTTACTCTCTGATATATACATGGTAAAAGTATTTTTTCAGTTTGTCATTTGGCTACAAAGATATATCAATAATATGTTGAAGGTATCTGGAGGATGAAATTTTTTAAAATTTTTGAATATCTTCATGGATACCAATGGAGGATTAAATTTAAATATCAAATTGTTCTGGAAGTTGCTGCTTTCAAAACTTGAGTCTTGGTTCATTTCTTAGTTGACGTAGCCTATATAAAGAATATGGAACATTTCCTTCTCATTCTACTTTGAGTAAAATGAAAATTTAGCTTGTCGAAGTTGGTTTAAAAGTATAATAATTCTGCCTTTAAGGGAACTCTTGAGATTGTTTGCTTAATATTTTCTTGCATATAGTAGCATACTTTGTTACATTTTACATACATTGAAGCTTTTGTGAAGGTTAATTTTATCCTCTCTCAGTCTTTTTATTTTTCTAATTTTTGTATTATGTTAAAAAGTAACTTACACAAAATAGAGATTCAGGCATGACATGTTAACACACATCAAGCAAGCTATGCTGTCAAATAATTTTCAGTTATTAAAATACAGGTTTTGAGAAACATTTGTTTACTTTTTTATAGGAACTCTTGACCCTAGTTCCCCATACACTATGGTGTCACCAAGTGGACGAGCAGGGAACTGGCCAGGATCTCCTCAAGTGTCTGGCCCCTCACCAGCAACACGCATGCCTGGAATGTCACCAGCCAACCCCTCATTACATTCTCCGGTTCCAGATGCTTCTCATTCCCCTCGAGCTGGAGCAAGTGAGTATCATCAACATTTTTATGTCCTTTTTTAGTATAGCCCAAATTGTCCTATTTTGTTCCATCCTCACATTTGAAAGTCATGACCTACTTTTTGAGAGGTGATACTTAAAGGATATTACAAAGGATGCAGATGAAGAGATGCATAAGGGGAGTGGAGTTTCCTTGCCCTCTGTGAACCCCCACATGTTTGGCTATCTGGAAGTTGTCCGAACTCTGTCCTGTTAGGTTTTTATGGAAGCTTCATCATATAGGCATTATTGATTAAATCACTGGGCACTGGTGATCAGCTTTGGGGATGGGGCTGAAACTACCAGCCCTCTAATTGTGCCTTGTCTTTCTTGTGATCGACCCCCTTCCTGAAGCTACCTAGGGGCTGCCAGCCATCAGCCATCTCATTAGAATACAAAAGGATACTTAACCACTTTGAAGATTCCAAAAATTTTAGAATTTGTATGCTAGGAGCTGGACCAAAGATCAAATATGTATTTCACAGTATCACACACATTAACACAGAAGAGAATTCTACCTATTTATTGGTTAGCTTTTGCTACATAACATTTAGTGGCTTAAAACAATATATGATCATTATATATTGGTTCACAATTCTGCAGATTGACAGTTTAGGCTGAGCACAGCTGAGTGATTCTTTCGGGCTCTGCTGGGCAGCTCACTCATGTGTCTGTAGTCAGCTGCCAGGTTGGTTTGGGACTAGCTCATCTAAGATGGCTTCAGATGGCAAGGTTTCTCTCTGCTTTGTGTGTTTTCACACTTGATCTGAGGCTTGCTCACATGGTGGCTCAACAGGGTTTTAAGGCAGGGAGTAGAAGCCTAGGCTTACAACTAGCCCAGTGTCACTTCCATCACATTTTGTTGGCCAGAAGCAAGTCACTAGACCTGCCAGGTTTCAGGTGGAGAAATAGAGTCCACTCATTAAAGGAGTTGCTGCAAAGTCACATTGCAAGGGGCCTGGATACAAGAAGGAGAAAAATAGTGGCCGTTTTGGCTAACAGATTGTTAATATATGATTGTTATACCACAAGGAGTAACTAAAACAGTACAGGTTGATTTAGAACACCAAAGATTTGTGATGAAAGCGAAACAGGAAGCAATGAGATAGTATGTGTTTGTAAATGACATAACATGTTTTCCTTCCCAAAAGGTTCCCAAACAATGCCAACGAACATGCCTCCACCTCGTAAACTACCTCAGCGCTCTTGGGCGGCATCCATACCTACCATCCTCACTCACAGTGCCTTGAACATTTTGCTGCTGCCCTCTCCAACGCCAGGCCTCGTGCCCGGCCTGGCAGGTAGTTACCTTTGTTCTCCACTTGAGAGATTCCTTGGATCAGTCATCATGAGACGGCATCTTCAAAGAATTATTCAACAAGAAACGGTATGGGTACCTAGTGACCTTCTGCGTGGTGACTGTTAAGAGTAAAATGCTCACTTGTCCTACAGGATAGGATCTGAACTAATGTGACATTCTTTTACTTCCTTCCTTTAACAAGCTTGTTAGAAATGTGTTTTTCACCCTACCCTGGCAATAAAAATGGACTCCATTACTTTCTTTTCCATTCTTATGTTAACATACTTCTGCATTAAACAGTTTGCTATGCTGTGGCTTCTATGTGATGTGGCAAACATGGACCTTGAGGTAGGTCTCTGCAGCACATACAACTGGCGTGCACAGGATCCGGCCTTGCAGAGAACAGCATACCAGTAATTATTTGCCTTCTGAAGTGCCTGTGCAGGCAGGCTGATTTTGAGTCTGAGTCTTTATTGAAATAAGATAATTGGGCATGGTGGTTCACACCTGTAATCCCAGCACTTTGGAAGGCTGAGGCAGGAGGCTCACTTGAGCCCAAGAGTTCCAGACCACCCTAGGCAACATAGCAAGACCCTCTTTCTACAAATTTAAAAAATTAGCAGGCATGCACCTGTAGTCCTAGCTACTTGGGAGGTTGAGACAGGAGGATTGCTTGAGACCAGAAGTTCCAGGTTACGGCGAGCTGTGATCATGCTGCTACACTCTGTCCTGTGTGATCAGGTGAGACTCTGTCTCTAAAATAATACAAATAAAAATAGAAAAAATTTTTTAAAGAAAATTATTTATGGTTACAAGGATGAAAGCTGCTTTTTAGATATGCGAACAGGATGAGCGCGGTGGCTTACACCTGTAATCCCCAACACTTTGGAGACTGAGGTGGACAGATCACTTGAGGTCAGGAGTTCAAGACCAGCCTGGGCAACATGATGAAACCCTGTCTCTACTAAAAAATACAAAAATTAGCCAGGCATGGTGGTACACGCCTGTAATCCCAGCTACTCGGGAGGGTGAGGCAGGAGAATTTCTTGAATCTGGGAGGTGGAGTTTGCAGTGAGCTGAGATCGTGCCACTGCATTCCAGCCTGGGCAACAGAGTGCGACTCTGTCTCAAAAATAAATAAGTAAATACATGAACAATTGAATTTTTAAAAACTCAATATAGACAAAAATCTTCTACCTTATCCTATGGTGATAGCCTTAGGAGATAGTTTATAGTTGAAAGCACCAGTTCTAGAGTCAGGCTGCCTGGGTTTGTAGCCAGCAATACTACCTGTTAATGTGGGCTTGGGCATATTTCTTCAGATAATACTGTTTACCTAACTGATGATACCAGTTGTGGGAATTCGAGATATTTCATGTAAAGCCCTTAATATAATGTCTTGGCATTCAATAGCTATTCATTATTTGTAATTACTGTTATTATTGGTAGATGCATGTATTAATGAGGTAGTCAAAATGGTGAATGTTTAGGCCGGGCATGGTGGCTCACGCCTGTAATCCCAGCACTTTTGGAGACCCGAGGTGGGTGGATCACTTGAGGTCAGAGGTTTGAAACCAGCCTGGCCAACATGGTGAAACCCCATCTCTACTGAAAAATGCAAGGGCCAGGCATGGTGGTAGCTCATGCAAGGCCAGGCATGGTGGCTCACTCCTGTAATCCCAGCACTTTGGGAGGCTGAGGCAGGTGGATCGCTTGAACCCGGGAGTTCGAGACCAGCCTGGCCAACATGGTGAAACCCCATCTCTACTAGAAATAAAAAAATTAGCCCAGCATGGTGGCACGTGCCTATAATCCCAGCTACTTGGGTGGCTGAGGCATGAGAATTGTTTGAACCTGGGAGGCAGAGGTTGCAGTGAGCCGAGATCGTGCCACTGCACTCCAGCCTGAGCAGACAAAGTGAGACTCTGTCTCAAAAAAACAAAAACAAAAATTAGCTGGGCATAGTGGCACATGCCTGTAATTCCAGCGACTCAGGAGACCGAGGCAGGAGAGTCACTTGAACCGAAGAGGCAGAGGTTGCAGTGAGCCGAGATCGTGACACTGCACTTCAGCCTGGGCAACAGAGAGAAGGATCTAGAAATAGAAATTCCATTTGACCCAGCAATCCCATTACTGGGTGTATACCCAAAGGATTATAATTTGTTCTATTATAAAGACACATGCACATGTATGTTCATTGTGGCACTGTTTACAATAGCAAAGACCTGGAACCAACCCAAATGCCCATCAATGATAGACTGGACAAAGAAAACATAGCACATATACACCATGGAATACTATGCAACCATAAAAAATGATGAGTTCATGTCCTTTGTAGGGACATGGATGAATTCTGGAAACCATCATTCTCAGCAAACTGACACAAGAACAGAAAATCAAACACCACATGTTCTCACTCATAGGTGGATGTTGAACGATGAGAACACATGGACACAGGGAGGGGAGCATCACACACTGGGGTCTGTTGGGGGGTGGCTAGGGAAGGGACAGCAGAGGGTGGGGATGGTGGGGAGGGATAACATGGGGAGAAATGCCAGATATAGGTGATGGGGGATGGAGGCAGTAATCCACCTTGCCATGTATATACCTATGCAACAATCCTGCATAATCTGCACATGTTCCTCAGAACCTAACGTACAATAAAATAAAGAAAGAAAGAACTAAAAATGGTGAATGTTTAAAATATTCCATGATTAGTGCGAAGCCATTTTGCAACCTTCACATTAAGATTTGGTGGGGAAATGTTTTTTAATAAATTAGCATTCAAAAGAAAAAAAAGAAAAATAATAAACTAAAATTAGCATTCAAAATGGTAATAATCAGACCTGGGATCTAGCCTCAGCTATGCCACTTACCATCTATGTAAGCTTTCAGCTCTTTGGCTTCATTTTGCTCAGGTGCATAATCAACATACGCTGCTAAAACAGGGGTCAGTAAACTTTGGCCCCTGGTGCTATGTCCTCACCACCTGTTTTTGTAAATAAAGTTTTATTGGAACGCAGCCATACCTGTTCATTTATGTATGGTCTATAGCTGCTTTCAGCTATGGTGGCAACATTGAATAGTTGTGACAGAGACCATATAGTGCATAAAACCTGCAGCTTTTTCTACATAGCACTTTACAGAAAATGTTTGTCAACCCCTGGGCTAGAATAAGAGCCTAATCCAGATCTAACCTTTTGTAATTGTACTCTGTATCCTTTTTTTCTAATGTGCCACTTAAAAAAAATATTGTGGAAAATGTTCAGCATATACAGAAGTAGAATAGTATAATGAACTTCTGTGCTCTCATCACCCACCTCTAGCTGTTAACTCATATCAGTGTTGTTTCATCTGTAACTCCTCCCCCTAGATTGTTTCACAGCAAATCTCAGACATAATTTCCTCAATAAAAATTTTTGCATGTGTCTCTAAAAGATATGGACTCTTAAAAAAAAAAAAAAAAAAAAAAACTACACCATTCTCATACCTAAAGAAAACATTTCTTTATCATCACATATCTAGTTAATATCCAGATTTCCCAGGTTGTCTCATTTGTTACACTTTGAATCAGAACCCAAATAAGTTTTTCTAAATCCCCTTCAAACTTTTGGTTCCCCCCTCTAGTTCTTTTTCTTTATCCTTATACAATTTGGAATCATTGAATTTTTTTTGATCTCTGTGTTTTCTATCACATTGCTCAGTCCTCTGGATCAAGCTACTGAATGAATTCAGACTCAAGTTTTTTGATGCTGTTTTACAAGAATACTTCATAGGTAGTGTTATGTTCTTCCATCAAGAGGCACATAATGTCTGATCGTATCTGTTTTTGCAGTGTTGCTAGCAGTTGATGGTCAATGCTGTAGCTGCCTTTGTTTTGGAATAGGTATCAACTTAGTGGTTTTTCTTTTGGAACAGTTCTCTCAGTAACATCATTTTCTTTTTGACTTACATGTTAATTTGATGTGTCCTTGTTTTGCAGCTGCAGCTGATCAATTCCAACGAACCCGGAGTGATCATGTTTAAGACCGATGCACTGAAATGCAGAGTAGCCCTTAGTCCCAAAACCAACCAGACACTTCAGCTAAAAGTGACACCTGAAAATGCAGGACAGTGGAAACCTGATGAACTTCAAGTTTTGGAGAAATTCTTTGAAACAAGAGTATGTGTTTAATAATGCATAATTTGAATATAATTAATGAAACAGAATAGTTAAGGTAAAATGAAGAGTAACTTGCTTTATTTTCCCTGTAGGTTGCAGGACCACCATTTAAAGCTAATACGTTAATAGCCTTCACCAAGCTATTAGGAGCTCCTACACACATCCTGAGGGATTGTGTGCACATTATGAAGCTGGAGCTGGTAAGTTACAGAGATAACACATTTCTAGCAAGATTTGTTTGAGGAGGTTAGAGTTTATTGGTTTTCACCCATCTATGTAGTTTCTTCTATTTTTCTCTTAAATTCTTTTTTTTTTTTTTTTTTTGAGATGGAGTCTTGCTCTCTTTCCTATGCCGGAGTGCAATGACACGATCTCAGCTCACCGCAACCTCCACCTCCAGGATTCAAGCGATTCTCCTGCCTCAGCCTCCCAAGTAGCTGGGACTACAGGCGCATGCCACCATGCCCAGCTAATTTTTTCTACCTTTAGTAGAGACAGGGTTTCGCTATGTTAGCCAGGATGGTCTCAATCTCCTGACCTTGTGATCTGCCCACCTCAGCCTCCCAAAGTGCTGAGATTACAGGCGTAACCATCGCGCCTGGCCTTAAATTCTTAATTTTTAACTTAAATTTTACTTACCTTTGAATAGGTAACACAATTCTGTTGTATCTTTTGAATTTAAAACAAAATAATATAGTGAGAAATTTCCCATCAGTTCCTGTCTAGCTAACCCTGTCCCTTCCATCCCTGTCCAACTGTCTTCTGGCCAACCAGAGTTGCTATGGCTTGCCTCTCCTTCTAGAGATGGTCTATTCATAAAAGCAAATAACATTGCTCTCATAAACTTTTGATTGATTGAGACAGGGTCTCACTCCGATGCCCAGGCTGGAGTGCAGTGATACCATCTTGGCTCACTGCAGCCTCGACCTTTGGTCCTCAGGTGATTCTTCCACCTCAGCCTCCTGAGTAGCTGGGACTGCAGGTACACGCCACCATGCCTGGCTAATTTTTTCTATTTTTTTTTTTCTCTTTCTATAGAGATGGGGTTTTGCCATGTTGCTTAGGCTGGTCTCAGACTTCAGGGCTCAAGTGATCCACCCACCTTGGCCTCCTAAAGTGCTGGGATTACAGGCATGAGCCACTGTGCCCGGCCTTCTCATAAATATTTTTAATGAAATAGTATCATTTACACATCCTGTTTTGTACTTTTTCCCATTTTTATTATGAGATGGTTCATGTATAAATTTATAACACATAATTTTAAAAAATCTGACTCCCCATCTTTAATGGTCCTAGACTTTGTGTCCTGAATTGCTATTAAAACTGAAGTGCAGGCTGGGTGCACAATTCAATCCATAACAGCATTTTAAAAGATGCCTTCTGGCTGGGCATGGTATCTCATGCCTGTAATCCCAGTACTTTGGGAGGCCAAGGCAGGCAGATCACGTGAGGTCGGGAGTTCAAGACCAGCCTGGCCAACATGGTGAAACTCCATCTTTACTAAAAATACAAAAAATTAGCCAGACATGGTAACAGACAACTGTAATCCCAGCTACTTGGGAGGCTGAGGCAGAAAAATCGCTTGAACCCGGGAGGCAGAGGTTGCAGTGAGCCGAGATCACGCCATTGCACTCCAGCTTGGGTAACAGAGTGAGATTGTCTCAAAAAAAAAAAAAAAAAAAAAAAAAAAAGGCTGGGCACGGTGGTTCATGCCTGTAATCCTAGCACTTTGGGAGGCCAAGGCGGGCAGATTGCCTGAGCTCAGGAGTTCCAGACCAGCTTGGACAATATGGTGAAACCCCTTCTCTACTAAAAACACAAAAAAATTAACCAGGTGTGGTGGTGCATGCCTCTAGTCCCAGCTACTTGGGAGGCTGAGGCAGGAATTGCTTGAACCCAGGAGGGAGGTTGCAGTGAGCCGAGATCGTGCCACTGCACTCCAACCTGGCTGACAGAGTGAGATTCCGTCTCCAAAAAAATCAAGTCTATCAATCTGAAGTGCAAAGAGACAGCAGGGTGCTCCATGGGCAGCAGCTGCCTTCAGTGCACTGAGTATCTGTTTTTGGTTTGTTTTTGGCCCTTTGGGGATTTCCCTTAGTTTCTGCATAGCACAATCTGCATTTGTATTCGTTTTCTAGGGCTGCTACCACAAATTACCACAAGCTGAGTGGCTTAAAATAATAGGAATGTATTCTCTCACAGTTCTAGAGGCCTGAAATCCTAAATCAAGGGCCATACTCTTTAAAGACCCTAGGGGTGGATCTATTCCATGCGTTTCTCTTAGCTTCAGGTGGTTCCAGTGATCTTTGGTATTCCTTAGCTATAGACTCATCACTGCAACCTCTGCCTCTGTCATCACATGGTGTTCTGTCCGTGTGTGTCTCTGGCTGTGTCTCTTCTCTTCTTATAAAAGGACAGCAGTCATATTGCAGTCATATTGGATTAGGGACCATTCTGATTACCTCATCTTAATTTGATTGCATCTGCAAAGACCTGGTTTTCAGATAAGATCATATTCATGGGTGCTGGTGGTTAGGACTTAACGTCTTTTTCAGGTGCATAATTCAATCCATAACAGCATTTAAAAAGATGCCTTTTGGCTGGGTGTGGTAGCTCATGCCTGTAATCCCAGTACTTTGGGAGGCCAAAGCAGGCCTGGGGTCAGGAGTTCAAGACCAGCCTGGCCAACATGGTGAAACTCCAGCTCTTCTAAAAATACAAAAAAATTAGCCAGGCGTGGTGACAGGCACTTATAATCCCAGCTACTCAGGAGGCTGAGTCAGGAGAATCACTTGAACCTGGGAGGCAGGGTTGCAGTCAGCTGAGATCACACCATTGCACTCCAGCATGGGTGACAGAGCAAGACTCTGTCTCAAAAAATAAAAAATAAAAATATGGCTTTCCGTCTCCAGTATTTTTCGTGTTTGAGGTGGAAGTGATTTCCAGGATATCTAGCCTGGCATATTGCTTGAAATGGAGGAGCAACTTGCTTTATTCACTGAACAAATCTTGGAGATCTTTCCCTATCAGTGTATAAAGGATGTCTTTGTTTTGTTTTGTTTAGTTTAACAGAGCTTAGTACTTCATTAGATGAATGTATTAAAATTGCTAAGTCGTCCCCATTTGATGGCCATTTTGGTTTCTTCTGATATTTTGCTGTTACAAACAGTGCCACAATAAAGAGCCTTTTTATGGATGTGCCAGTATACCTGTAGCATTGCTGGGTCGAAGGATATATATATATGTATATATATATAGTTTTAATTTTGGTAGATTTTGCCAAATTGTTCTCCATAGAGGTTATGCCAGTTTATATTCCCACCAGCAATGAGAGTATCAGCTGTTTCCCACATCTTTGTTAACAGTTTTATTAGTCTTTAAAAGACTTTGGGTCTTTCTGGTTTACAGGATTTTTAGGTCTTTTGATTTGTAGGAATTCAGTATATACATTAGGGAAGTTAGTCCCTTGGGATATTCATTGTACATATTTTTTCCTAGTTTGTCATTTGTGTTTTGACTTGACTTTTGGTAGGTTTAGCTATGTAAAATTTTCCTTTAAATAAATAATGAAATGTATCAATATTGGTTTTTAAGTTTTCCTGGTTTTGTATGATTGTTAGACCTTCTCACTCCCAGATTTTGAAATAATCCTCCCAAAGTTTTTTTTTTTCTAATACTGATATGGATTCATTTTTTAAATTACTTAAATTTTTGATCTATTTTTATTTATTTTGAGACAGGGTCTCATTTTGTTTTGGTGTCAAATGTGAGGAGGTATGGATCCAACTTTTTCGGATGCCCATTTATCAAATAATCTATCTTCTCTGAATGGGAGATTTTGAATTCTTCTTTCTTGTGAAAGTATGCAGTTATATAGATGGAATCCAGATGGCAGCAGATACGTTTTTCAGTCTTACAGTGGTCTTTTCATTTTAATGTTTCTAGTGTTGATTTGAGTAACTTCAGTTACCTCACTCCTTTTTCTAGTTAGCGTTTTACTATAAATATTGGGGCAACAGTGTTCTTTTGCTAATAGTCTCAACATTTGGCCTCTTATCTAAGAGGCTATAGGAAACTATCTATGTCAAAAAGAAATCTATTTGAATTTTTAAAGGTGTAAATATTTTTGTGGCTAAAAAAGCACCAGTGGATATAATTTTAAAATGTTTCACACAGTTTGACTAGTCTGTTAAGGGAAAGAGTTGGAAACAGGACTGCAAAGTTGAGATTGGCACAGTTAAGAAGGACATTGAATGCTAGGTGTTGGTCCTTAGTTGTGGGTGGGGGGGGGACAGCATGTGTCACCAAATGGCACTGAACATTTGTGAGCTTCAGTAGAACCATGTTGTAGGACATATGTCTGATGGTGGTATAGGTGGACTGGACGAGGCAGCCACTGGAAAGAGCTGTTGGGGGAGCACAGGAGAAGCAGTAAAGCCCTGCATGTGGTGGCCTCAATAAATACAGAGAGGAGGAAATAGATGTCAGAGACACTGCAGAAGCCAAATCCATAGTCCTTAGGAATAAACGAAGTGGGAGGGAAGCAAGGGGAAAATCCTACATAAATCCACAGTTGATTTTTCAGTTAGCAACTTCATGTATATATTTGTTTTGAGAAAGTGCAGGTTATCAACTTTTATGTTCTGTTAATAATTGGGTATCAAATAAAATTCTAACCTCTCAGACTCCCGTATTAGAATATGATTTTAAATGTTTATATGCCTTTCTCTTGATTTTTTTTTTTCCCCCCTCAAAACAGTTCCCTGACCAGGCAACACAGCTAAAATGGAATGTTCAGTTTTGCCTGACCATCCCTCCCAGTGCACCGCCGATTGCACCTCCTGGGACACCTGCTGTGGTGCTGAAATCCAAAATGTTATTTTTTGTAAGTATACCATCCAGCATTTGTGCATGTACAGAGCTTCTGTGGAAAAAGCCACGTGAGGATAATAGAGCAACTTTTGGATAACTCTATAAATTATCTCTTGCTGCCAAATAGAGGCCAGGATTCCTTAATTGTCAGCACAGATGTCATGAGATCCTGGTTCCTTTAGTAATAAACAGAAGTTTATTGAACCAGGTGATTGTGTAGCACAGTTGCATCTTAACCATAACATTCAGTTGTTTGTCACTTTTCTTGTCATGTGTAATTTTCTTTTGTTTGCTTATCTTAATCTGAAAGTATAGTAAATGATAGTACCTTTGATACATTTAGACAGATGCTTTATGATGTTTTTATTCTCTTTGTGTGTGTTGTGTCTATACAGCTTCAACTAACTCAGAAAACATCGGTCCCTCCCCAAGAACCCGTTAGTATTATAGTTCCAATCATTTATGACATGGCTTCAGGTACAACCCAGCAGGCAGACATTCCCAGACAGCAGAACTCTTCTGTTGCTGCTCCCATGATGGTCAGCAACATTCTGAAGAGGTTTGCAGAGATGAATCCTCCACGACAAGGTACATGACCAGTAGACAATATTTTCTTGCATATATGTTGGAAAAGTGCTTCTGAGAGACCCCCTTTTCTCCTCTTCTCTTCTCCCTCCTTACCTACTCCACCACCCATTTCCTAGTAGTAGAGCTCTCGTTGCCGTGGCCCTTCTAATGTCTGCCTGTCGCTTTCTTCCTTTCTCACTGGCTTTCAGTTTCGTCCATTTCTCTGCTGCCTGGACTTTATTTTTGTTAGTGATTTACTATTGGGACTGACCCAGTTGCTAATGCCAGAAGCTTGTATTTATAGCACACATTGCCACAAAGCCCTAGGTTAGGATGATAGAATTTTCCATGGCTGTGAATTCCTGCCCTACCATCAATACCTGCCACTCTGTACATCACAAAGTTGAAATGCATGTTGGTTTCTCATATTTCATGCTTCAATCATGAATAGACTAATATCATTAAAAGTTCTGTATCTTCTAAATGTTTTGTGAGAATAAAAGCTGATACAAATGGCATCACTGCTTTTTTGGGCTTCTTATCTAAGTGTCAGGTGGGTGCAAGTGAACCTTTTCACCATGTGCACAATGAAGCTCTCAAACTGAACATTTCTGAGGAAACCAGAATGCTTCTAGAAAGATAAACAAGGTCCCTGCTATAATGGAGTAGCCTACACTTAACATGTAACTCCTGGCAGTGCTAAATTTGGGGTTACAAAATACAGAGCTCAGCAAAGAGAACTTTTCTTCCACTTTGCTCATTTCTAATATTCAGGAAATTTAAATTTAAAATTTGCTGATTTCTAATATTAAGGAAGTTCTCTGTATCTCTCTGTTTAGAACAGTTAAATAACAATTATGTTTTTAAATGAGGGAAAGTTGTTCTCTGAAACATTTTTAGGTACTACAGCGTCCAAAGTTTTCTAGAACTAGGAATCAGAAGAGAAATGATATGTTGAGCTGTTTGTTTCCCCACATTGGATAGGTAGGCGAGTTCTCACTTTAGTGTATAAGGAATACACTGGGCACACTGGGCAGTAGAGAAGGGTGTGCTGCTTTTGTTGTAATATTTCTACTTCTTAAAATTTTCTGCTTTCATCCTTTGACTTCTCTCTTCTTTCAGCTAAAAATAGATCCTCAAGAATCAAAGTTTAAAGCTATCAGAATTCTCAAAGTAACAGTCCAATAGAACCTTGATAATAAACACCCTTCCTTCACAAGCAGATGGCTATCATTATCTTATGTGTTTTTATGTATTCTGTCTTGTGGAATTTAAAATTAAAAGAAAAATGTTTTGATCCTATTGGGATCAAGCAAGTTTTCCTGCCTATCAGTAATGAAAATGTGCTTTTTAAAAAACAGTATCACTTCTCCTTTTAAGAAATTGTTGAGATATTTTGGAAGTCTTTTCCTCCCCCCACCCCGCTTGGACTGGGCAGACCTTTGAATTTCCTTTTCTTTCTGTACCTTCTCAAGTGCACAGGATCACTGCACACCCTGCCCTTTGCTGAAAGGCCATGGTTCACATGAGGTCTTCAGTTCTCCCACTTTCAGCCACAGTATACAGTGTTAGACCATGCTCTAGAGGAAGGGATCCAGCTTTTGGTTTATAATATTTAAATACCCGTAATATTTACAAGAAGCAGAGTATTTGGTTTCTTTGAGCAAAGGGGGAAGTTGAGAGGATGAATTGCCAGCACCTTCCCCACCCACAAATCTTGTTTCTGGATTGTTGGTGCACCAGACTTCAGTCTCCCACCCCACCTCCCACACCCATCACTTCTCTTCTGGTGAAGTGCTTTTAAGAAAAATTATTTTTGTATTTAATTGATTTTAATGTTGAACTCTGGAAGTTGACCATTTCCTTGAATTTTGAGAGAAAACTCCAATAGATGTCAGAGACTTGCACTGTCCAGTATAACTGCCACTAGCCAGCATGTGGCTACTTAAATTTAAGTTAATTAAAATCAAATAAAGCTTTAAAGTAAGTTCCTCAGTCACACTAGCTGTATTACAAGTTCTTGGTAGCCACAGCACACTTACACAAAATTTCCATCATTACAAAAAGTTCTATTGGACAGTGCTGTCGCAGACATTTTTATCTGGGCTTTAATGCAATGTTTGAAAGATACCACGAAAGTTGTAACTAATGCCTAAATATAAACTAGATATTTTTATGAGATCCAAAATGCCCATAAGCACTCAGTAGCCTTAAAGCCCAACTTCAAAGGCTTATCTAATGCTACAGTGTTTCTAAACAGGAACTCTAGGCATATCTTCCTAAATTCAAACCTAACTGGGACTTGCTCCAAGTTTCCTCCTGAGGAAAAAAAACCCAAACCAAATATAATCTGATACTTAACACCACAGCTTAATCCCCAATAATCTGGGCAGTTAAAATTCTTTTATTTTGATAGTTCAAGTTCTTACTAATTTTAGATTTAATTACCCCTTCCCCCACCGGTGTGTTATCATCATCTTTCCTGTATTGCGAATAGCTAATGACCATTTTTCTCTGTTGCAGGTGAATGCACAATATTTGCAGCTGTTCGTGATTTAATGGCTAATCTTACACTGCCCCCTGGTGGGCGTCCATAGACACTATTGTTTTTAAACCAGGAAGGCTGACAGATGAGACAAAACAACAAAAATAAATCTGAATTCAGCCTTCAGTTTAAAAAAGGAAAAGGACTTTTTTAAAAAAAAGAGCTAATTATTCTAAACTGGCAAAAATTTTCAGGGTGCACTTCTTTCATCAAAATGATCATCAGTCTTTTGTATAATGAACTTGTATAGTGTGTTTAAATGGGACACATTTCAAAGTAGGAAATAAATCAGTGTCCGTTTGCCAGTAATAGATTTAATATTCTGTTTTATACTATAAAGTTATGAAATGCCAAACTTGTTTATTTAATTGTTTTCTTATGTTTTGGGTGTAATAGTCCATTTTTGGTTTTTGTTTTGTTTTTTAAGGCAGGTCTGTCATTTTTGAATACTGTAAAACTGTGATCAACTTTATATTGAAGCTGTATTTTAATATGACCGCTTTGAATCCTCACATGAATTTGTTCTGGGAGTTGTTATAAACACACCCCAAGGAAGCAATATTTATTAAAACTAGGTAAAAAAACAAAACAAAACAGTGACACTCACTTGTGTGTATATGAATTCTAGAGACAGCTTAGGCCCTCCCTTCATCTTTAACCTGGTGAATGGAGCCAGTAATTAATTTCTAATAATACATGTCTGAAATTTGACCAAAAACATCTTCTTTATGTCAAGGTTAATTTATTTTCTTCAGACATTCCTAGCTTGACTAGTGGTTAACATTTAGCACCTCAGTTGTCTTTGAGTACATAGGATTTGGTGAAAAATAAGGAACTTAGTACGTGGTTCATATTGATATAGGATCCCACATGCAATCATTCTCATCTGAAGAGGATGTGGGAACTTTTCTGTCAGGCAAATTTAGTTTACAGAATACTTCTGCATACAACATGAATTAGGAAACAAAGAATTTTAATGCTGTACTCCTGCATGAAGTTTCTGTGAGCTTTCTTTATCTTGCTTGACTTCTCCTCCTTGCCTTCCCCACCAAAATTGGGATTTTTCTAAACAATCTCAATTTAATTCATTGTCAACAAAATGATAGAATGTTTTGCTTGGAAGAAACCTGGTCCATTCTCCTCATTTTGAAGAATCCAGGATTCTGGGCCTGTCCAGTGTCAGATGGAGTTTTTGGTACTGATGCATCTCTGCAGAGTTTCTTTGGAGCACTGTGCTGTCTTCCTAGTCAGTCAGGGACTTTTTTAAGCTTCAAAGAACATGATCTGATGCAAAGGTCTTTTACCAACTTCATGTTATTTAGGAAAGTTTTTTAAATGATACCATGCCGAGTTATCTGGTCACTGTAATACTGTTTCTCCATTAAAATGTATATGCTTTGTCTAATTCCACTTTAAGATGATTTAATTGAGCTTCTATAACTATCAGCTACCAAATTCTAGTTTCAAGCATCTGACTGCAACTGTATCATTTCTGTTCTCAACTTTGCTTGGTTCTCCACTCATTTTCAATCAGAGTTGAGGCCTTCTTTGCCTTTCTTCTTTGTCTTGTTTCTGCCTTCATCTCCCACTTCTCACCCAACTCTGCCACTGTTCAGGAGCAGTTGACTAAACTTTTATCCTTCCTTTAACTGAACCTTTTTATCTTTCTGTTTTTAGTTCTTAACAGTGGTAATCACATCAGTTTGGCAATCTAAGATGTCTTTTATCAAGGGTCAGCCCTTTTCTATTTGGAGCTGAATCTTTTCTTTCATGTAGAAATCTACATGTATATATAAGAAATGTATTTTTATCTGCAGGATAATATTGTTTCAAATAATTTTATTAAGAGTTAACTTTTTAGGTATTTTCCCTTTTAATGTGGTTTTGAAATGTTAATTGCATTTTTACACATGATGCATTCAATGGACTCTCTTTTTTCCTAATTATAACTCATCTCTGAATGCATTGTGTCAATCAAGAGGAAGATAGGATTCAGTGAACAGAATTTGCTTTTGATGCTTACTAAGAGTAAACTCATGAATTTGAATTTTTATATTATGCTTGGTACTTGGAATTGATATATACCTTATTAAAGCTTGAAAACATTTAGCATTTGAATAGTAAGTTTCATCACAATTCATGTCTTTTGCCTCTTTTGTTACGCAGGTTCAATCAAAGGGACTGGATGCCCGTAGTGATTTTCTCTAATAATTGGGTTGGGACTTAACTTTAAGGTGTTTTCAATGTGATTTTAGTATTTACAGTAATAAATAAACTTTATACAAAGTTTCAGAGAACTACCAACTCTCTCTAGTTAATTTTCATGAAGACGTTTTCGTTAATAGTCTGGTTTAGTATTAATTTAACCTGGAAATAAGAAATTGGTCCTGATTTGCCACCTTCATTTTTTCATCTGCTGAAATGCCATTTCAGAATGTATACAAGTACTGGAATTAGAAGAAAAGTGGGAGCTTCAACAGAACATGTCAAGTTGTTAATAACAGGAGCCACATCTTATGCTTGAAAATTAACTGAGTGAGCTAAGTGCAAGCATAAGCTAAAATATATATGACTTTGAATGTAAGAACCACTAATAACTATGTTCTAATTAACACAGTATCTGTTCAGCCAAAGGATACTGACAGCCATTCTTTGGACTGTGGTTAATTTGATGAAACTTCAAGAAGTTGCAACTTTGCTACCCTGGATTCTGATCCAATTTCAGTTTAAAAAGTTGTTCCTTTCATAGTTTTCCCCCCCCAAAAGAAATGCCTATTACATTTTACCTTAATATTTATTTATCATCCAAGTGTTCTTGATATAAAATCAGTATACAGAAAATTTTAAGAGAACTTACATTCAAGGGACACAGGGAAAATGTTAACATATATTTCATTGTTTCTTGTGGAATTTTTTTCATTTGGTTTGAGAATGGACAGTGTGTCTAAAGATGTGATTTGAATTTACGTAGGATGGATTTAGCATTGAGATTATTAAAACAGAATTAGCAGAGGGCAGCCAGCACTGTGCTGCACAACTCCAGGAGGTGCACCATGGTACGCTCCCCATTTTCTGTAACTTGCCTCCACTTCCAAGTGGCCAGCGATTTGTTAAAATACCTTGTCCAGAAATATAACTGATTGATGAAAGGGCACATTTAGGTCAATATAAAATAATAGCAAGTATTTACTGAGAGCTATGTGCTAGGCATTTTCTTAGTATTTCAATGTGTATTTAATCCTCACAACAACCCAATGAGGTAGGTTATTAATATCCTCCTCTTGAAAATGAGTAAATGGAGGCCCAGAGAAATGTCATTTGCCTGAGATCAAATTAAGGTTGTTAAGATCAAACTGCTAAGAACGGGCAGTTTGACTGTGAGCTAGTGCTCCTAAACACTGGGTATTTTTTGCTGTGAACCACAGTCAGGGGAAGGTTTAACGTTTAGACTCTTTCCTCAGGCTTTTAACTACACACAATTTTGACATGTTTTCCAAGCTTAGAAAGCTCACTAAAAACAACTAAAACTGACCTGACTTGTCACTTGGAGTTGACAATCCAATGCCTTCTGACCTTTGTGGCACTTCTTTGGAACTTAAATCAGACTTCCATGTGCAAGGAGCACTAATGATCATATAACCAAAATTACTAGGTAATTATCGTCTGACCTTTGCTGGGGGCTTCAGGATGCCCTTATCTAAGCTCAGGTGTGCAACCCTCTAGAACCCAAGTGGTGTCTTGCCCTAAACAGGCAAACGCCCCCTTCTAGGTGATCCGGTGGCTGGCTAGGGGTTTTGAGCTTGGGGTCAGCTTGGCACACCGCAGGCAGCCTGCAGTCACGTTTCACTAATACCGCAATTTGCTACAGCTGGTGCGTGGGCTTAGGAACCAGTAACTATAGAATTGTGTAATGCAAAGAACATACACGATTAAAGCAATGTGCCCTGAGCACCGTGTACATCTGTACAATTAAAAAAAAGTGCCCGTACATTGCGAGAGGAAGTCGAATCGGATGCTGGCAGGGTCTCAGTCTGGGGGACAAAGACGGCCTAATGGTTTCAGAGTGGCTGCTTCCGCAAGCACCGAAGTTCTTAGACCTCAGACGTCACCTAAGTAGGGTGGAGCCGACGTGCCCCGGATGTCAAGATGCTCCGCCCCGGGGCCGGCGTCACGCACCGCGATCTCTGCAAACCCCGCCTCCTGGTGGGGCCGCGCAGGCGCAGGGGCCGCTGCCACGGGCAGTGCCCAGGCTCCGCGCCTGCGCACTGCCGTCCGCCACTCCCCGCAGCGTCCTGGCTGGGAGTGTGACATGGTGCTGTCGGAGCTGGCGGCGCGCCTTAACTGCGCCGAGTACAAGAACTGGGTGAAGGCGGGCCACTGCCTGCTGCTGCTGCGCAGCTGCCTGCAGGGTTTCGTTGGCCGCGAGGTACTCTCCTTCCACCGCGGCCTACTCGCCGCAGTTTCTGGTCTGGGGCCGCGCGCCGCTTGCCGCGGCGGCTCACGGTGCAGTCCGCGCGCCCGCCAGGTGAGCACCTGGCTCCGGGCCTTGACCTCTGCCCCCACCCTGCCCCTCCTCATCCCCGTTCCTGTCCCAGACCCAGAGCGCGAGTGTCCAGTTCCCTCCGGGAGGCGGGGCCAACCGCGACGCCCCTCCCTCCTGGGCCCCTCCTCACCGCCGCCCCCTGTAGTTTCAGCCACAGTGTGAGGTGTGCGCTGTGTGGAAACGGGAGATTTTGAGACATCACGTCAACAGAAATGGAGACGTGCACTGGGGAAACTGCCGGCCCGGCCTCTGGCCGGTGGACGCCTGGGAGGTGGCCAAGGTAAGCGCCTGAGGCCGGGATGGAAGGAGGAGGTGGCGGGTCACCCAGCACTTAGGGTGGCTATCTGGTCTTGTGGACGCCGGGGCTTCGTAAACAAATGCAGAGAGAGAGATTGATCAAGGGTCTAGGAGGTTCGGGGCTGGTATGGGGGACCCAACCCAGCTTAGTGAAGTAGAAGCTTTCTTCTACCCATCTGCTTCCTGAAGGCATTTGAGTTTGTTGCCCCTGCTTGGAAAGTTATAGGAAAGATTTCTAGAAGAGATACTGGGCAAGATGTAGAGCGAGCATTATGAGCACAGGCAGGGAGGGAGACTCTTGTGTGGTCTCTTTGAGGGTAGGCTCGCTGAACAGCTCATCGGCTATTTTTGGCTAAAGGATGCCATAAGGCAGAGTAAGCCAAGGGAAGTTAGGGCTAAAATAGAAAGGACCTTAAGTGCCCAGCTAAAGGCACTTTGGGGAGCTGGGAATGGGGTAGGCAGCCGGATCTGTCTTCAGATCTTGGCAATGTCACTTACTAAGTGGACCGAGTGGGAAATTTTTTTGCTCAGTAAGGGATGGAGAGGGACAGCCGGAAGTGGCTTCCTAACACGCATTGACTTTAGCAGTCAATCTACATGCCAGTAGTTATCAGCAGGCACAGAGTGGGCACTGGGAAGGAGCAGTGCCTGAGAAGCAGGTGATTGAGTCCTGGCTCAGCTGTTGTGTGTGACACAGGGCCAGCCTATGCTCCCCAATCTCAAAAATGAAAGGAATTGGGGCCGGGTGCAGTGGCTCGTGCCTGTATTCCCAGCACTTTGGGAGGCCAAGGTGGGAGGATGACTTGAGCTCAGGAGTTCAAGACCACCCTGGGCAACATGGCAAAACCCCTTCCCTACAAAAAAATACAAAAATCAGCTGGGCTTGGTGGTGCGTGCCTGTAGTCCCAGTTAGGAGGCTGAGGTGAGAGGATCGCTGGAGCCCCGGAAGTTGAGGCTGCAGGGAGCCGTGATCACGCCACTGCATTCCAGCCTGGGTGACAGAGCAAGACCCTGTCTTAAAAAATGAAACTGTATCGGGGTCCTCAGACTTTTGGGTATCACGAGCCAGTAAACCCACCACACCTACACCTTATTCCCCATTTTTTTCCACTGTAGCCATAGCATTGCTGACTTCTACTTTTACCTAGAAAAGAGAAAAAACGGAAAGAAAGAAAACTCTGCCCTTTACAATGCCTGTCCCTCATCTGGTCTCCGTTGCTGCGTTTACACCATTGGCATCCTTATACCACTCTTTGCTCCTCTTGGTTGCTGTCACCTGCAGACTTCAAGTCCAACCCCATCCTCTCTGTTTCTGGGCTCCTGATTCTAATCCTCTGCTCCACTCCCCCTTAGCCTCCCACTTGCATGCCCACACCCTGGACCTTGTCAGCACAGGAAGTCTCAGTGTCTAACATCCTGCTAGCCTTTGGCACACTTATTCACACGCTCCTGCCCCCAGCCCTGGGCCCCATACTACGTCCGCCTCTTTGAGGCTTCTACTGCTTCCTCGGTACCCAGCAACCTCTGCCCTTCTGCCTGCCTTTGTCACCTCAGCTAGCCCAGATTCCATGGCCCATCATTATAATCACACCCTTGCTGTTATCTCAGCTTTTTTTCCTCCTTTCTCTGAACTTGCCTGGCCCAACTCCAGTCCTGATGACAACATTGTCTGCTTCTGCTTAGTGGGAAAGAATCTCACAAGGGAGCTGACTGGTTTCACTTTCTTTCTTGATCATGAGCCCCAGTGGTCTGATCACATCTCTCACTAGGCTTCTGTTTCTGGAGACTACTACTTTTCCCGTTCCCGTTCCTCTGCCCTTGCTCATGCTTCACAGAGTTGATGGAGGCCCCTGGACATACATAGTTGTCGCTCCTTATCCATGGGGTATTGTGTCCAGGACCCCCAAGGATACCAAAATCTATAGATGCTCAAGTCCCTGATACGAAATGATGTATGTGGTATTTGCATGTTACTTACATTCTCCTATATACTTTAAATCATCTCTAGATATACTACCTCATACAATGCAAGTGTTATGTAAATGGTTGTTATGCTGTATTTTAAAAAAATCTCTATTTTTACTTTTGTATTTTTTTTCCTGAGAATTTTTCATACACAGTTGGTTGATTCTATGAGAGTGGAACCCATGGATAGTGGAGGGCTGACTATACTTCCTCCTTTTGCCAACACCAACTTATCTCCATGTGCATCATCTGTTTCCTTCTGCTACAAAGGAGGAAGGGTGTCTCTCCTCTTCTTATACCTCCACTCTTCTGTTGGCTCTTATCCCTTTTCTCCTGCTCAAGGCCTTTGATACTTCACTTGTCCAGTCTTTCTCTCTTGCAGCTTATTCCCATCACTATAGAAAAAGTTGTAATAGAGCCATGGTTTATTTAAATTTTTTTAAAAGAAAGAAACAGTTACCACATGACCCAGCAATTCCCCTCTTAGGTATATTCCCAAGAGAAATGAAAGCATAAATTCATACAAAAAAGTGTACACACATGTTCATAGCAGCTCCATTCATGATAGCCAAAAGGTGGAAACAACCCAAATACCCAGCAGCTGATGCATGGAATTTTTAAAACTTAGTGTCTCTGTACAATGGAATATTGTTTTCCTGTAGCAATGTAACAAAGCAATGAAGTACTGATTCATGTTACAATATGTTTCAATAAATGTTTCAATAAATCTTGAAAACAGTATGCTGAATGAAAGAAGCCAGTCACATATTTATGTGATATGTCCATTTTATAAATTCCATTTTGATTCCATTTATGAGAAATGTCCAGAATAGGCAAATCTGCAGAAGCAGAAGTATATTAGTGGTTGCCAGGACTTTGAGGAATGAGGGATGGTAGCTAATGGGTATGGGGTTTCTTTTTGAGGCAATGAAAATGTTCTAAAATTGACTGTAGTGATGGTTGCACAGCTCTGTAAATATGCTGGAAACCACTGAATTGTAATGTATAGATGGGTGAATTATATCTCAAGAAAGCTGTTTTTTAAAAACACTTGAATAAATACTTGGAAGATAAGATTTTAAAAGAGGCTGAATAATGGTGGCTCATGCCTGTTATCACAACACTTTGAGGGGCAGAGGTGAGAAGATTGCTTAAGCTCAGGAGTTCAAGACCAGCCTGGGCAATGTGACGAAACCATAAGGCAGAGTAACTGTCTCCACAAAAAAATAACAAAAATTAGCCGGGTGTGGCTGGGTGTGGTGGCTCATGCAGTAATCCCAGTACTTTGGGAGGACAAGGTGAGTGGATCACTTGAGGTCAGGAGTTTAAAACCAGCCTGGCCAGCATGGTGAAACCTGATCTCTACTAAAAATACCAAAAAAAAAATTACCCAGCTGTGGTGGTGTGTGCCTATAATCCCAGGTACTTGGGAGGCTGAGATGGGTGGATTGCTTGATCCCAGGAGGTTGAGGCTGCAGTGAACTGTGGTAGCACCACTATATTCCAGCCTGGGTGACAGAGTAAGACCCTGTCTCAGAAAAAAAAAAAAAGAAAGAAAAATGTCCCTTGATCTATTCTCTCCTGCTATCTCCCCACTTCTCTAACTGCCTCCCATATACAAACCCAGAAGAACATCTCAAAAAAGAGGTTTCACACCTGTTCTCTTCTCTGCTCCCACTTCCTCTTCAACCCACTCCATCTCGGCTTCCGCCTCTGCCACTCCTTCAGTTCTCTGGCCTCATCTCTCTTACCTCCCAGAGGCATTTGGCACTACTGGCTGCTTTTCTTGAAACCCTCTTGGCTTTCCTCCCATCTCCCTGGCTTTTCCAGCTCAGCCTCCTTCTGAATGTCTTTTGGCTTTCCTCGGGACTCAGGGCTGGGTCTCTTCTGTTCCCCTCTTCTCTGGTGACATTGCCCAGGCCTGTGGAGTTAAATGATAACTGGCTCCCAAATTGGTGGCTCTAGCCCTGCTCTGTCTCCTGAGTTCTAGATGTACACATCCAACTGCTTACTTGCCCCTCCACTCCATCACCTATGGAGCACATTGTATTTAGTTCTAAAGTAGAACCGTTTGTCTTTACCCCGCACCCTCTGCCCATTCCCCATTACCAACTTTCCAGAATCACTCGTTTCATCTCTTTCCCTCTCGGTAGCCCCTCTCCCCTTGTTTGTGCCTGCAAAATACTTTTGGAATCCTCTTTTCCATCTCCGCATCACAACTCTCACCTTCTCCTACCGGGCCTCTGCTGCTCTGAGCATCTGTGGTCGGTCCTTCACACAGCAGGATGTGCAGTCTTCACATGGGAATTAGGTTGTTCTATAACCCTTGCCTAAAACCTTTGGATGGCTTCTTGATAGCCTTAGAATAAACCTCACACCTTTCCAGAGCCAATAAGGCCCAGCACAATCGGGCCTCTGTTTATTTTCCAAATGCATCTCCTACCCAGCGAAGAGACAGTGGAGGATAGGGAGAGGCAATAACACGTTTCTCACTGCTGTGCATTTGGCATGTGGAACACGGTGGTATGCAATACAATTTTAAGGCCCTGCTTTCACTGCAGGGAAGCAGCAGAGCCTCGCTGTTGGCTTCCAGTTCTGAAGAAAGGGAATAATTACTAAAATAACATTTTAACAAGGCCAGGCACAGTGGCTTACACCTGTAATCCCAGCATTTTGGGAGGCTGAAGCAGGCAGATCACTTGACTCCAGGAGTTTAAGGTCAGCCTGGGCAACATGGCAAACCTCATGTCTACAAAAAATACAAAAAAATTAGCCAAGCATGGTGGTGCATGTCTATAATCCTCCCAGGTACTTAGGAGGATGAAGTGGGAGGATTGTTTGAGCCTGGGAGGTTGACGCTGCAGTGAGCTGTGATTGTGCCACTGTACTCTAGTCTAGGTAACAGAGGAAGACCCTGTCTCTCCAAAACAAAACAAAAACTTTAACATGGAATAGATTGGCTTATATTGGTGAGAAAATGCCAGACAGGACCTACCTGATAATGAAAAAGAAAAAACTACACCTGATTTGGAGGTAACTAAGACCGTACTAACTTTGCATTTTCTTCCCAGCAATAGCTGAATTCAGCAGTTCCTTTTATTTTTTATTTTAATTTTTCCTTTTTGAGACAGGGTCTTGCACTGCAGCCCAGGCTTGAGTGCAGTGGTACAATCTTGGCTCACTGCAGCTTCCAGCTTCTGGGCTTAAGCAATCTTCCCATTTCAGCCTCTGAAGTAGCTGGTACTATGATAGACGGTTTTTTTTTTTGTTTGTTTTTTTGTTTTTTTTTTTAGTCAGAATCTCTCTCTGTCGCCCAGGCTGGAGTGGAGTGGAGTGATCTCAGGTCGCTGCAACCTCCGCCTCCCGGGTTCAAGTGATTCTCCTGCCTTAGCTTCCCAAGTAGCTGGGATTACAGGCACGTGCCACCACGCCCAGTTGATTTTTGTATTTTTAGTAGAGATGGGGTTTCACTGTGTTGACCAGGCTGGTCTCAAACTCCTGACCTCAGGTGATCTGCCAGCCTTAGCCTCCCAAAGTGCTGGGATTACAGATGTGAGCCACAGCACCTGGCCCATAAGAGACTTCTTTCAGAGGGTCAGCATGCCTGTGGCTATTAAGGCACAGAAAGATAGTGATGGGACTGACTACTGTACTTGTTGATAGGGGCCAGCCAGGCTTTACAAAATTCTGAATTATGTGAGGCTCAGGAATGTAGCCACCATCAGGAATGTAGCCCTGACTCTCCTTGGCATACATGAGCACTTACCCAGCCTTTTCATAATGCTTTCATGAGCAGTCCTGTAGGAGGCATTGTAGTTGCCTATTGAGATGTGTTTTCGATGGAACAGGTCTCTTAAAGACTTTTTTTTAAAAAATAGGGTCTTGCTCCTTTGTCCAGGCTGGAGCGCAGTGGTGTAAAAACCTTGAACTCCTGGGGTCAAGCAAGCCTTCTGCCTCAGCCTCTTGAGTACCTGGGACTACAGCACACACCACCATGCATGGCTAATTTTTTACTTTTATTTATTTAATTTTTTGAATCAGAGTTTTGCTCTTCTTGCCCAGGCTGGAGTGCAATAGCACAATCTTGACTCACTGCAGCCTCCACCTCTGGTTCAAGCAGTTCTGCCTCAGTCTCCCGAGTAGCTGGGATTACAGGCACGCACCATCACATCTGGCTAATTTTTATATTTTTAGTAGAGATGGGGTTTCACCATGTCAGCCAGGCTGGTCTTGAACTTCTGACCTCAGTTGATTAATCTACCTCAGCCTCCCAAAGTGCTGGGATTACAGGAATGAGCCACTGCACCCAGCCTTTTTTTTTTAAATGGAGATGGGGGTCTCGCTTTGTTGCTCAGGCTGTCCTCAAACTCCTGGGCTCAAGTGATCCTCCCACTTTTGCCTCCCAAAGTGCTAGGATTACAGGCATGAGCCACTATGCCCAGCCTATGTAGAATTCTTATTGCGAGTAACTTTTTGTTCTGGTCCCTTGGCAGGAGTGTATCCTTGAGATTCTTAGCCTAGTAAAGTTGTTGTATCCTGATATAAATTGAGAAAATTTCAGTAAAGAAATACGCCCAAGCTTTCCCATAATACCATTTTGGGGGTCTGTGCCATAAAATCCTACTAAAGGCAAGATCCTGCTAGCTTGAGGCCCTTCTGGTGTATCTAGTATCTCATCCTGGGATTCCATCTGTAACTCCTTTGTGGTCCTACTCACCTTGCACCATCTACGTAATAATTCCCAACATTCATGTTCTGGTTACTAGCATGTGCCCAACACTGTGCTGTACCTGCATTCCCTTATTTCATTCTCACAATATCCTTTGAAGTAGGTAAGGACAGTTATCTCCCATTTACTGATGAGGAATCTGAGAGTAACTTAACCACGGTCACAGTTGGCAAATGGCAAGAGCTGGCATTTGAACCCAGTTTGCACTCCAAAGCCCAGACTCTTAATGTAATACTTGCATACTGAACTTACTCAGGTCATTCAGAAAGTGTCCAGTTTTATTTTATTTAACAACTCAGCCACTGAAATTTCAGTAAGGAAAAGAAAAAAAGGTGCCTTCTACTCATGCTTTCTGTTTATATGCCATTAAGACAGGATGGAAAGCCAGTTACGTCGTGTGTCTCGAATAACAGGAATAGTACAGCCCTTCAGTTATTGCCTTTGGCCAAGGCTTAGCTGTGACACTGTTTTCCTACTTGCATTTTGGGCACATGAGGCTCTAAGTTGAAACCTCAGTGCGTAAGAGAATTTCAGTCATCATTTGGAAAGTAGAAGTAACCATTGCCCTTCCAGCTTCTAGAGTTGGAAGAGGCTCAGGTCCCCTTCCTCCCTCCCTTGCTATAGGCCTTCATGCCCCGAGGACTAGCAGACAAACGAGGACCTGAGGAATGTGATGCGGTTGCGCTTTTAAGTCTCATCAACTCCTGCGATCACTTCGTGGTTGATCGAAAGAAAGTCACAGAGGTAAGAGCTGTCAGATTGAAAACCATACCCCAGTCAGTTGGGTCTATGCTGTGAGAGTTGGCCAGGAGACACGCCCTGTGATGCTAAGCCAGCCATGCAGGTGGAACACACGGTAGCTCCCCAGAACAGTGGTGTATAAAGTAACTTAGACTTGTGTTCAAAGTTGGCATTGCTAAGCAAGCTAGTGGGGCTCATATCATGTGCACCTTCTGTGATGTCCAAGAACTCCAGTGCAAATGCAATCAAGACACTCATCCTTCAGTTCTCTCGAATTAGTTTCCTGACAACTCACTGTGCCATTTGCCACTGAAGTAGATGAACCCAAAAATCTCTTCCCTGTTCTGCAATAAACAGAACAGGGAAGTAATTTTTCTTGTTTAAAAAACAAAATACAGAACATTGACATTCTGCCTGTTGTATGCTAACATCTGAATCCTACCTTTTTGAATCTCATTGGCTAAGCAGCGGCAAGACCAAATGATATGGAACGGAAGAAAATGTGAACATTGATGGATAACGGTGAGAATAGATCACTGTGCTTGATAGATTTCCTCTGGGAAATTCAGATTTTTCTCTAGTTCACCAAAGAACAACTCATAAATTTATTACCCTGAAGATCATTGGAAAGAGTATATAGCTATAGCTGGATTATTTATAATAGGTAGAGAAAATGCATGTATCTTTTGTCAGCATGCCAGCAACTACCAGGATTGAGAACCCTTTATGATGTCAGCAGAAACAAAGGACTGTCACAGTAGTTGTCCCCTTTGGTATCTTTTAACCAAACTGTGGAGGCTCTATATGAATTATATATTAATACATTATTAGACAGGACCATTTTGCTAAAGATAGAGGCCAAAGTTTATTTTCTTTTCATCATGATTTCCACATCGGGAAACTCCCTTGACCTAGCTTCCTGGTGCTCCACCAGTATTTAAAAGATGTTTGTATTGTCTGCTTCATCCTGTGAGTATACCCAGAGCCGATGAGCTTGCTCTTTGGCAGGTTGTTTTAAATTAAGAGATTTTGGGGGATGGTGTAATATCCAGCTGGCCATAAGACTTCAAGGGCTAAGGATAGTTGTAGGTTTGTTTGTATTCCTTACCCTGACTAATGTATTATTCACGTGGCAGGGGACTGAACATCCCCTCAAGCCTCAACAACACCAACAGGTACCTACAGGTTATGTTAGGAACTTCTGGATTGCTTGGAAATCTGCTCCAGAGACTCAGTGAGGAAGAAAAGGCTCAGCTGTTGCCCAGGAGCCATCTTTTTATTCCTTGAATCCTGTGGCCAAAATCTGGCTTATTGTCGTGTCTTATTTGTCCTGCATGATTTTTTAGAGTTTCAAATTAGTTGTCAGAAAAATCTAAATTTCCAGTTTCTCATGAAAAATCAGAAGATCTGGGAACACAGGGCTCATTTAACTCCCATGGCAATAAGCCACGCGTTAAGTAGAGGCTGCCCCTCATATAGGGCCTCTACTCTCCAGTTTGTCCCAAACCAGTCTTTTAGTAGGGAGATCACCCCTTACTATTACACATAGCCACCTTCCCTCAGGCTACCTGCCTGACCGTTGAAGGCATTTCAGTTTGTGACGCAAGGAGAATGTCACTTCTTAAGGTATATGTCCTCTAGACAGGATGAAACTAAATACGGATCTGACTTGGGCAGCTAGAGGGGTGAAATGTCCTCTACTCTGATACAAGTACATGCCAGATTATGCCCATGATCCCAAGAAAGTTCCAGCCCTTCTCATCTGAAGACCGCTCTTGTTGATTTTGTAATTAACAAAGCCTTTCTGTGATTTTTTTGAGGGGTCAGAGATCTCAGTTTATCCCATTGTTTGATTTTGAAGCCTTTTATGTTTTTGTCTTTCTGCAGGTAATTAAATGTCGTAATGAGATCATGCACTCTTCCGAGATGAAAGTATCTTCTGCGTGGCTTCGCGATTTTCAGATGAAGATCCAAAATTTTCTGGATGAATTCAAGAACATTCCAGACATTGTGGCAGTATATTCCAGAATAGAACAGGTAAAAATCATGTTTAATAGTTTGGCATACAGAATGAAGGGAGAGAAAAGAACAACAGCCACACATTTAAAATTTGAAGTTTATTAGATTTAACCTAAATGTTAAAATGTAAGCAGGGGGAAAGAATACTCATAAGAAATCTGCAGTTATGCTGGGCTGAGAAGCTTTTCTGTGGTCACAGTGCACTATTAATGTGGATCCAGTTCATTATGTTTAACTATAAATTATTTGAGTAATTCAGTGGAATGCCTTTTTCATGAAATGAGTTCATATATTTGTATGGCAATCCTCTCAGTTGTTGACATCTGATTGGGCTGTTCACGTCCCCGAGGAAGATCAGCGAGATGGGTGTGAATGTGAAATGGGAACTTACCTGAGTGAGAGCCAAGTCAATGAAATAGAAATGCAGTTACTAAAGGAGAAACTTCAAGAGATATATCTTCAAGCAGAAGAGCAAGAGCTGTTGCCTGAAGAGGTAAAAGAAAAGTATTATATCCTCTGTGAGTAAACAACACAAAGAAAGATGCTGGGGAGGAAGAGTAGCTCATCTTAACACATAACCAATTGTGTTTTTGATTTATAAGTCCAGTAATTTCCAGAAGTGTGAATATGCTTTGGGCACAGATTAATATTATTTCTTAACAAATATTTTCATTTAATCAGCAAACAGCAAACATTTGAGTGCCTAATCTGTGCCACAAAGTGGAAAAATGTAGTAAGAGCTACAATAAAGTTCTGAAAAAAAAAATAATGCTCCAGACACTGGCTGCTGGTCAGGGGGATTGCCAAAAGATTTTGCCGAGAAGGTGCTGTTGAGCTGTGGCTCACAGAATCAAATAAGAGTGACAAATTGGCAAGGAAAAAGGTTCTTCTTGGCAGAGGGTACAGTACTTGCAAAGGCGGGAAACGATAGTCTGAGCCTAGGCAAGGACAGGTGAGCACAGGAGCTGTGGGCAGATTTGAGGGTGGTAAAGTGGGCTGAAGCGACATGCCGAAAGGTTTCCTATGCCATGCCAAAGGATTTGACCTTCATTCCCAAAAAGCAGTCAAGAAAGAGTGATAGGATCAGATATAGCTTTTAGAAAGTTAACTCTTGTGGTAGCTGGAGGTTGGTTGAGTGGCTAGCAACTACCCAGAAGGCTCTTGGAGTCATGTGAAGGTGAGAGAGAACAAAAACTAGGGGGTGTGAAGGAGCTGGATTCTGGAGGCAGTGCCTGGGCAGAGCTGATGGTTCTTGGTGGCCAGGGAGATTACTTGGAGCATGGCATGGGGCTGGAAAAGGGTAGAGAAGGAGGGGAGGAGAATGTTTGTAGGATCATCAATGTTTTTAGTTTAAGACCTGCAGGCTAATGATGGTCTAAACTCCCAAGTACAGGAGGAATGAATCTCCATGTCACATCCAAGGTATAAAAGAAATTAACAATGGTAGAATTATATTCCAGTAAGGTTCAGAAATATTCCAGCACTGGCTGGATTAGATTTCTAGATCACCAGGAGATCTTGGAAAAATCATTTCACCTCTCCTTTCCTCCTTGTCCAAGGAAAGTAGTTTTGCTGGTTACCTCATTAAACGTAGGGAGGGTTTATTAAATAAAAATTCACGGAGCCGTGCTCCTTGCTGGTAAATATGCCTGTATTAACTATTCCAGCATTGATCCAGGTGCTTTATTCAGCGTGGTGAGCCCCTTTAGCAGAAGGACTTGGTACCCCTGGTTTTTTGGGTGTGCCCACCATGGTATACCCCATAGGTATTTAAAATGATGAATTCGAACGTTAAATCTGTTGTTTTCTAAATCCATGTGTTTCAGTTCATCTGGTTTTATTTTATAATGCCATTAGAGCCCCAGTTTTCTCTCTGCTGCTGCTTTCAGAAGCTAGAGCCAGGAGTTTGTGTCAGTTGAGAGCTAGAAGGAAACCTGGCAGTCATCTTATCGTATCCCCTGCTTTGCATGTGAGGCAAGGGCCCCATGGAGCTTGCACTGAGGCTGAGGGCTGGCCTGCAGGTCTCTTCGTTCTGATCCTGTGGCTTCCCGTCTGCTGTGCTGCAGATCTTGTATCTCTGAGGAGCTAGCAGCTATACGTTTTGAACCCCCGTTATCTCTGTTTTACTGAAAGGAAATAGGGATTAGTTGGCTTGTCCTCTGGGTCACAAAGTCTCTAGGTAGAGTTGATAAATTCTCATTTTTCATGCTTTCTCTTCAGCAGACCATGGCATTTCTTATAATATTTCAATTGATCAAAATGCGATGATTGATTTACATGTTATCTTAAAAAAGTTGGAGGTCAGGTTTTTACATATATTAAATTTGACGTCTTCTGCAAGTTCATACCCTATATGATTATCCATGTTTAGCGTTAGTTGCCAAAGTCAGAGGATTTATTAAGACCCGATTTCAGTGAATCTAAAATGCTGTCAATTGTAAAACATACCAGTATTTTAGTTACTTCTAAGAAAGAAAAAAAATGCTGCCCATTTAGTACAAGACACTACCAATGGTATGCCTTCTCATTTGAGATGTTAGAATAGGGAAAAATGTGCATCTGGGATCAGGAAAAACAGTGATTGTATTATGACCCCAGGACTTTTGTTGTAAATGTTATCAAGACCTCTGTCTTGTTTTTGGTTAAAACAGCAGGGGTGGAAAGAGGACTAACTTTTTATCTTACACCTTTGTGTTGATTTTGAGATTTGAACCTGTATATTTGTTACTATTAAATATATATACATGCGGCCGGGCACGGTGGCTCATGCCTGTAATCCCAGCTCTTTGGGAGGCTGAGGCGGGCGGATCACCTGAGGTCAGGAGTTTGACACCAGCCTGGCCAACATGGCAAAAACCTGTCTCTACTAAAAACACAAAAATTAGCCGGGTGTGGTGGCACATTCCTGTAATCACAGTTACTCTGGAGGCTGAGGCAGGAGAGTTGCTTGAACCCGGGAAGCAAAGGTTGAAGTGTGCTGAGATCACACCATTGCCCTCCAGCCTGGGCAATAGAGCAAGACTCTGTCTCAAAACAAAACAACACACACAGACACACACACACACACACACACACACACACACACACACTTTTATATATCCATGTATTTATATGAACATATGTATATATCCATGTATATGTTTAATAATTCAGGTACAGAATTCAAAAGAAAAGGGCATTTTATTTATTTGTACACATACACGTGTGAATGTATAAAATGAAGCCCTTTCATGTAAAGGCAGGAAGTTTTAAAGCACAAAAAAATGGAAGGAGACAAGCAAATACCCACTTGCGTACCCCCAGAACCGGTTATCCTGGGTCGCTATTTTTTGAGTGGAGGATGCTTTGTTTTAAAGGGTTTGTTTTGTTTTTGTTTTTCAAACTTTAACTTGTGGACAGATGCCTATAGCCAGGATTTCTGTCTCTTGGGCACATGAGTAGGAGCCAGACTGGGAGCTAGTAGGTTTTTCATTTGAGTTACAAATCTGCTACAAAACTGTCTAAGCTGTACATTGCATGGTTTCCTCTTGCAGCTCTCAAATCGACTAGAAGTGGTGAAGGAATTTCTGAGAAGCAATGAGGATCTTAGAAATGGCCTTACAGAAGAGATGCAGAAGCTAGACAGCCTCTGTCTACATCAAAAGCTGGATTCAAAGGAACCTGGGAGCCAGACACCTGACAGGAAGGCCTGAGGTGAGTTCAGGCAGATGATAGTGTTAAAGAAGGACAGAATCGCCTCATCTTTTTCATGTCTGTTCTCTCATGTGAGGCTGTCATGAACACACAACAGTCTAATAGGAAGTTTGCCTTTGTCCTTACCGTTTCGAAGAAAGGATCCTGAGGTTTGTGTTCTTTCTCTAATTAATGGACGTCTGTGAAGTAATTCAACATCAGTTCCCTGGGAGCTTTGTTTAGCCAAATACACCAAGTCATTGGTCTAGAATTAAATGAATCAGCTTTATAACATAATCAAAAAGCATTTCTGCCTTAAAATGATGCCACTGATGTCCAGCTTTTACTGTGGCATTAATAGCAATTGATTAGTTTCCATAAGGAGAACTTGTTAAAATGAGTTCACTGTCTTGAGCATTTGTATTTTTTTCCCCCTCAATTAAAAAAAAAAATTAAAGCATTCTCTTTCATTTTAGGTTGTTCGTCAACAAAAATCAGGCATGTTCTGTGAAAGTCAGCATGGCTTCTGTCTCAGATATCCTTTTCTGTGCAAAAGGAAAAAGTTACCAGAGTATTGTACCCGAACAAAAAGGAATTTTTGCTGTTTTGTCCTGGACTTTGCTCTGACTCTTTGGAACTTTCTCAATATTCATAAACTTGGGGTTATATAATCTATCACAGTCAAAAAATATTAGATACTCTTATGCCAAAACTTGCTACTAGGCCAGGCGTAGTGGCTCACGCCTGTAATCCCAGCATTTTGGGAGGCCGAGGTGGGCGGATCACCTGAGGTCAGAAGTTCGAGACCAGCCTGGCCAACATGGTGAAACCCCCATCTCTAGTAAAAAAAAAAAAAAAAAAAAAAAAATACAAAAATTAGCCAGGTATGGTGGCGTGTGCCTATAATCTCAGCTACTCAGGAGGCTGAGGCAGGAGAATCACTTGAACCTGGGAGGCAGAGGTTGCAGAGAGCTGAGACTGTGCCACTATACTACAGCCTGGGCAACAGAGCAAGACTCTGTCTCCCAAAAAAAAAAAAGAAAAAAGAAAAACGCAAAAAAACAACTTGCTACCATCCAGGGATTTTTTGCTATTTAAAAGGTGAATTTCTTTTCTGGTCCTAAGCTGTAGCTGCTTAACTTAGTAAAGACTGTGTTTGGCCAGGCCTGTGCCAGAGGCTCACCCAGAGTGCTCCACCCACTGGCAGGCAAGTCCTATTCCTGTTCACCCAGGATGCCAAGGCTGTGCTGGGATATAAATGTTGGGATAGAAATCTTTCCTTTTCAGAAGAAAGCAAAAAGAAACATTGCCTGAAAGCCGATTTTCTAGCTATTTCCAATTAGTACAGAAATGTTACTGCCACTGGGTGCAGTGGCTCAGGCCTGTAATCCCAGCACTGTGGGTGGATCACTTGAGCCCAGGAGTTTGAGACCAACCTGAGCAAGATAGCGCAATCCTGTTTCTACCAAAAATTTAAAAATTAGCTGGGTGTGGTAGCATACACCTTTAGTCTCAGCTACTCAGGTGGCTGAGGTGGGAGGATCCCTTGAGCCCAGGTGGTCAAGGCTGTGGTGAGCTATAATCATGCCACTGCACTTCAGCCTGGGTGACGGAACAAGACCGTCTCTCAAGAAAACCCCGCAGAATTGTTACTGCCAGGTTGGAGTAGCCTAAGGCAGTAGGGCAAGGAGGTGGGCCTAGGCTGGTCCGTGGGGAGCTGAAGAATGGTGACTCGAGTGACCAGTGAACAGGCAGGACCCAGGCCAGCATCACAAGCAGGGATGTCGGGCGGGAGTGGGGAGCTTCTCGCTTGGCAGCTTGTTTATGGTACACTTTTGAAAAGGACACTCCCAGGGCCTGGCTGTCACATGCTCAGTGAATATTTCACGGAAGGGTCCTCTCTCAGCGTGGAAGTATTCGCAGACCTAAATGTTAATTATACTATTAACTAAGCCTGGTCCTTTGTTGAGAAATTTAAGAAGGAAATTGCAACATTCTTGCGGAAATTCAAAGACAACATTTTCTTTTCAACAAATTCACACATTAATTCATGCTTCTTCTATACCTTTTACCCATGAAGTCATCCACTCCTGACTTCCTCCTGCTTGTTTCCCAAACTGCGCAATGAATGCCACTTTGTAGGCAGTGGTCTGTGGAGTCAGCCTCACTTTCACCTTCTCCTGCATGTGCTTGTTTCCGAGGCCAGTGGTACTTCACTGGGTCAAGTTGCCTGTGGACCTTCAGGAACAGAATTGCCATGTGCCTCACTGCCTGCAGGAAGGGCTCCATTTTAAGCCCAGTGAAGCTGTGCTCCAGTGCCTTTCCACCCACCCACCAAGGCTATCCTCTGTAGAATGGGTGGAGGCCCAGGGCATATTTGGTCCATATTTTATGTTAAAGTGCACTTATATAACTCTGTAAGCCCAGATGAATGCAAATGTGCCTGTAACTTCCTGCTTTAATCTGTCAGGTAGTATTTAGTCTTTGTCTCAGATTTTCTTTCCTCATTTCATGAAATTCCTTGAGAAGACTTCAACAGTAAAGAAAGAAGAAATTTCGTTCATCTCACAACTCTTCCAAACTCAGAAACTTAGTGAAATATTTCCGAGCTTCTAGATGTGAGATACAAAACTTGGGATCAAATGGAATCTTGATTCACTAACCAATTTAAGATCTGATTTCCAATTTTAGGAACTTTGGGTTATGAACACTTTCATTTTCTATATGTGTCTAGCTAGTTTCTCCTTATCTAACCAACAAGCTTTTGTCAAGGGTCCACCATGTGCCAGCCACTGAAGTAGTTATAAATACAAGGATGTGTAAGGTATGGATGACGGTGTACGAGCTGTCATCTTACTGGATTTGTCCGCTCTGATAAAGATATGGTTCTGAAAACTTTCTAAAGCCCCAGAGAGGGCTTTAAGGCAATGTAGCCTATATAGAGACATCAACCTGTTCATGTCCTATTTAACAGAACCGTGCACCTTGGCACAAGGGTGTGCACAGCAGGATGTGTATAGCAGCGCTGTTCAAGTGTAGCATGTTCATTACCACAGGATCTTATGCAACTGTTGGAAAGAAGGAAGCGTGGCTGCACTGCAGCCATGCAGTGATCCAGAGGTTTAACAGTGCATAGCAGCTGGGGGTGGCGGCTATGCCTGTAATCCTGGCACTGTGGGAGGCCAAGTGGGGTGGATTACCTGAGGTCATGAGACCAACCCAGCCAACGTGGCAAAACCCTGTCTCTACTAAAACTGCAAAAATTAGCTGGGCATGGTGGTATGCACCTGTGGTCCCAGCTACTCGGCAGGCTCTGGCAGGAGAATCGCTTGAACTGGGGAGGCGGAGGTTGCATTGAGCTGAGATCGTGGCACTGCACTCTGGCCTGGGCGATGGAGGGATAATCCATCTCAAAAACAAAAACAAAAACAAAAACAAAACATGGCATGCTGTAATGCTCTTTGTGTTTTAGAATAGTAGAGGTCTAGAAAGTTGTTTGCTTTTTTTTTTTTTTTTTTTTTTTTTGCTGTATTGTGAAGGGAATTGAGGTAGAGGGGAGAGTTAGAAGGAATTTGGCTTCTCTATTTTATATCCTCAATTTTTACAACAAATGTAGTGGTGTATTTTGAAATCTTTTTAAAATTTTGAATTTCAAAATAATAAAATATAAATTCAAACTGCAAGCTGGCTGTGTCGCGTTTCCTGAGATAAAGTATGAATGACTTATTTGTCTTTAAACACTAATATCCTAGGCAACATAGGGTTAGCTCTCTTAGTTGGGTGGGCAGATAATGAATTAGATGTGGTAAGTGGAGCACTGCATTATTGTGGAGGTGTTGCAATCTTTTGGATATTTTCTCGAATCGTTTTGACCTCTAAATTATAAGTATAGGGCAATAGGAAACTATCAGTAGAGATTACCTCCTTTTCCCTCACCAGGTTAATTAGAAACCTTCCTACTCTGAAGTGTCTTCAGACAGTGGCCTTTCATTGAAATGTACTCAAATTACAAAATGCATATTGTAAAGCAACCTAAAAATATATTAATTTCTACTCATGAAATCAGTGAAGTGGATATAAAGTTATTTCATAACTTTAAGAACTGGTTTTTAATACTTCATTGTAGTCTGGATTATCTAAAACATTTAGATCAACTATTATCTTCCAGAGATTTCTGCTTCTCAAACCCATGCTCTATGATATATGCATGTTAGTAATGACCACAACACTGTAAACAGCATTTTGTGACCTCTCTTTGGGAAGGTAGGCAACAAACTTACATGCTTTACCTTCTTCTGACTCCCAGAAAGGCATGAGAATTCTTTAGCACCACGTGTGGTAGCCAGCATCCAAGATGGCCCCTAACAGTGCCTGCTTCTCATCCTCATACTGTCCTCCCACAGTGTACCAGATTTTTTTTTTTTTATGTGAACACAGCAGAAGTGATGGTAATGTGACTTCCAAGATGGCGCTGTAAAAGACCAGAACTTCCATATTGGGCTGTCTGTTGGAACACCACTCTGGGGGAAGCCACATCACAAGCAGCCCTATGAAGAGGCCCAGATGATGAGGAACTGAAGCCTGTTAAAAACAAGTATGAGTGCGCTTGGAAGTGGATCTTCCAGCTCCCCTCAAATCTTCAGAGACTGCAGCCCCAGCTGACAGCTGAGAGTCCCTGAGCCCAAAGCCCCCCACTGAATCACTCCCAGATTGTTGGCATTCAGAAATTACATCAGATAACTGTTTTAAACTACGTGTTGGAGTGATTACAGGGCTATAGATAACCAATACACGACTTCCCCATAGTTTGTTTCCCTCCGCTCCCACAGGCAGAATGCCGTGAAACAGAGACTGCCCACAAAGAGGACTTCTGCTTAAATGCCAGAGACAAAGGGGAATCTTCAGAATTACACTAATGAGTCTGTTTTGTCCAAGAACTGATGTCTTCAGAATCTTTGATAGTGCTTTTAAATTTCTTTGTATTTGAAACCTTTAGCTAAATCAGGGTTCAAACACTTCTGAACACCTACTCTGGGGTTCACCAGTAAACATTTTCTGCATCCTCCAGAGGCAGGGGCAGGGGGAAATTTGGGGTCAAATCGTAGAGGGCAGCCTCTGCCATGTGGGTAATGGCCTTACCCTATTGCCCCACCACCCTACCCTTCTCGTTTCCCTTTTCTCAACTGTCCTTAATCCGTAGGAACCCCCAGGATTCCTAGTGGAATACTCCGAGCTGCCGCTGTTGGCCACTGACCTTCACCCCCAGCTCTAGCTAGCATTCAACAGAGTGACAGGTAACCAGTTTTAGAAACTGCCATTTCCCGTTTTTAAGGATAAGAAATGGAGGAAAGAATGATTTTGTCATTTTTACCTATTTGCCTAGAATCCAGGGTTGACGGCAATTGTCCCCAGAGTTGTTTATCCTGTTTCCATGGCTGATTCCATAATCGCTCTCCGTCACCAAGGGAACCTAGGTTCTCTTACGGACTCCTTAAGTCTACACTGTACCTCACGACATTCATTTAAAACCCACTTCAAAACATTTCCCGCAGTAGAAATAGCCCCCAGACTTTTTTTGATGTACGGGTTTGGGACTGCACCGAGTTCTGAGTCGTGTGTGATACTAAGCAACCCTATTTGCCCTGGATACCCAAAGCAAGTAAGAAAAACATGATCCTAAGAGAGCTTTAAAAAAAAACAAACAAAAAAAGCTACGAGTTAGTGAATAGTGTGAGGTGCTTTCCATTCAAAGTCTTCCTCCCCCATATAAACTATCCTGAGTTGTGGGTCCTGCGAAGAGAAAGACTAGCTAATCCACCCTCCCCTTCTAAAAAACATTTCCAGTTCACGAAAGAGGCAACACTCAACTTCAGTTCAATGCAATCTTGTATTTGTTTATCAACCAAACTGCAGGTTTAAGTCAGATTTGCACTGTTAAGAGAGTCAAAACCGAAGTTTTCATTGGTCTTTTTTCAGGAAGAATAACAGTTCAGTGCTTGTGACCTGCAGAAATGCGATCAGTCCTTAAGAAGCTTGTTTCGGGGGCCGGGAACTGCGGCTGGTGGCAGCGGCGGCGGTGGGAGCCGGACGGTCGCGGGCTTCGGCCTTGGCGCCGCCGCTGAAGCGGTAGTGTAGGTAGCGACTGGCCTGCACACTCTGAGCCACCACGTTGGTGCCGTGGCACGCCATCAGCAGCAGGTTTCGAGGCTGTACGCGGTAGGCGAAGCGTATGAAGATCGAAGAGTAGAAGATGAGCGCAGTCGTCATGCGGCCACTGATGAGCTCCGGCGACTCCTTCATGTCCTTAAAGGCAGCCAGCGGAAGGCCCCAGTTGGCCATGGGACCCCAGAAGTGAGTGCTGGTCACGTATTCCCGGAACTCCTTGCTCAGGAAGTAATCTCTGGTCTTCTGCCACAGTGCCGCCATCCTTGCCATGATAGAATAGCCGTAGGTGTGCCAACGGACCAACGGCCAGACCACAATGAGATAGAGCGCAAAGCCCCGTAACCACAGCAGACCCTGACGCAGCAGACGCTCGAGACCTCGCACCTTCGCGTAGCTGCAGTAAAGTACGCCGGCCAGCACGTGCCGCTGTTCTGTGGGGGTGAAAGGGCGTGGCTTAACCCTGCTGCCTTGGCATTGACTGCCGTAAAGTGCTCCGGCTGGCACGTGCCGCTGTTCCGTCGGGGTGAAAGGCCTTGGCATCGTCCGCGCCTTAGCCTCAAGGCCGTTAAAGTGCTGTGGACAGCACGTGCTCCTGTTCGCAGGCTACAAGGCCGTGGCTTTGCCCTCGCACCTTCATGTAACTGCCATAAAGTGCTCCAGACTACATGCCACTGTTCTGTGGGGATGAAAGGGCGTGGCTTTGCCCTCACATTTGCATAACTGAGGTAAGGTGCTCCACAGGCACGTGCAGCTGTTCTGTGAGGGTGAAGGGGCACGCCTCATCCTCGCACCTTTGCCTGACTGTAAAGTGTTCCGGACAGCACGTGCTGCTGTCCTGTGAGGGGCGAAAGGGCAAGGCTTTGCCCTCTGGCGGACGTGACTGCTGTAATGTTCTCCGCACAGCCCGCTGTCCTAAGTTCCTGTGGGGGTTAGGGGAGTGGTGCAGCCTCACCCTTGCACTTAAGCATCTTCCATGGACTGCCATAAAAGTGCACGGAGCATGTGTGCACGTGTGTGTCCTCTGGCAGAAGTGGAACCACAGCCTCAGTCTTCCTTCCCCCAGGGCTGCAGCTGCTTTTAAGTGCTCAGGGTTACACGTGCCGCCTGGGGAGGAGAGGGTCAGGCTGCCTGCTTCTCAACCGTGCGAAGGGAAACTGCTTGTTCTACCGAGTCCCTGGACAGTGTTGACTAGATGTTGATACAGAATTCCTCAACCGGATTCAAAATTTTAGTCCTTACACAATTTGGCTGAGTGTTACTTGCAGACACAGTGACATTTCGCCTTAAACATTTTAGCATCTGTCTCTTAAAAACAAGGATGGTCTCCTACTTAACCACAATGCGGTAATCCACTCAGATAATTAACATTTAGGATGGCACTATAAGATGCAGAGCATATTTAAATTTATGGCTTATTTTTTTCCTTTCTTGTTGGGAGGGTGAAATAAGGCTTCAATCAAAATCGAAGTTTAGTTAACCCCTTTGATTAATCTCGAATCTAGAAGAGATCCCTAGCTTTTTGTCTTTGGGACATGGACATTTTTGAACAGTCCAAGCTCGTTGCTTTTCAGAATGTCTTTAAGTTGGATTTGTCTGTTTTCTCTCATTAGATTTAGGTTAAACATTTTTTGATAAAACAGCTTCACAGGCGATGTCGTATTCTTAGTGCATCACAATGCGAGGCACATGATCTGTTTGTTCCAGCATTGGTGATACTAAGTTCGGCCACTTGGTTAAGAAGTTATCTGCCTGGTTTCTCCATTGTAAAGTTACCTGTTCCTTTCAAATAATCCACACAGAGCCACCTTGAGAGTGTATGGATATTCTATTCTCCAACAGTCATTCTTTTTTTTTTTCAGTGACAAGATCTCGGCTCACTGCAACCTCCACCTCCCCCGTTCAAGCAATTCTCCTGCTTCAGCCTCCCTAGTCACTGGGATTATAGGCGCTTGTCACCATTCCCGGCTAATTTTTGTATTTTTCATAGAGATGTGATTTCACCATGTTGGCCAGGCTGATCTTGAACTCCTGACCTCAGGTGATCCAACTGCCTTGGCCTCCCAAAGTGCTGGGATTACAGGGCTGAGCCACTGCTCCTGGCCTCTCCAACAGTTTTTCACCTAATAGTTTTGATATCTGTGGATGAAAGTTCTTTAGTGACAAAACTGGTAATTATTTTTTCAATGCTTTCTGATTTTTCTAATAAAAACAACTGTTGAAAAGCAATTGAATATACTTTGAAGTACTAATGCTTTATGTAGTGATTTACACACAAGCCCATTTTACCTTGAAAATTAATATTCATTATCTGTGTTCATTTATACCCCAAACATTTTACAAACATGGCTTAAAAATATATAGTATAGCCATTACTCCAAAAAAAAGTGGCATAATTTTTAGATAACCCTTTTAAAATGTGGAACTTCCAAATATGGGTGACTGGTATACTAGTGTAAATCAGGTCAGTATAAGTTTGAACTGATGAATCAGCAAGCATGTATTGAATGACGTTTTAGGCCTACACTGCCAGATGCTCCAATGTCCTAAAAGAAATAGAAGCTACCCCTCCTTGTCCACAGCTTCCAGTACTTACAGATTGTCTCACATAGGTGATCAAATAGGTTTTGAACTAGGTTTTGCTATATAGCAAAACACCCCAAAACTTAGTGGCTTAGAACAACTATCTTTTCCTTTACTCCCACATTTACAATTTGGGCAGGACTTAATAGGGATAGCTCATCCGTTCACTACATCGCCAGTGGGGATATTTCAGCCTGCGGCTTGGAGGATCCACTTTGAAAATGGCTCACTCACATGGCACGTTGATGCTGGCTATTGGCTGGGAGCTCAGTTGGGGCTGTTAACTGAGGCCAGTTTCTCTCCATGTGGACCATTCCACGGTGTGCTTAGGCTTCCTCATAGTATGGTGGCTGAATTCCAGAAGTAAACAGGAGAATCAAACAGGGCGGGCATGGTGGCTCACACCTGTAATCTTAGCACTTTGGGAAGCCGAGACGGGCGGATCATGAGGTCAGGGGATCAAGACCATCCTGGCTAATGTGGTGAAATCCCGTCTCTACTAAAAATACAAAAAATTGGGTTTTTTTTTGGTGGTGGCAGGCACCTGTAGTCCCAGCTACTCAGGAGGCTGAGGTGGAAGAATCACTTGAACCGGGAAGTGGAGGGTGCAGTGAGCAGAGATTGTACCCCTGCACTCCAGCCTGGGTGACAGAGCAAGACTCCATCTTAAAAAAAAAAAAAGAAAAAGAAAAGCAGAAGCTATCAGGTAGGCAGCTAAGATGGCCCCAATGACTCTCACCCTTGTATAATCTTCCCTTGAGTGTGAGTGGAGCCTATGAACATCATTAGATATTATTTCCATGATTACTTGACAAAAGAGATTTTGCAGATATAAATGAGGTTTGGAATCAGTTGATCTTAAGATAGGGAGATTCCCTGAGTGAGCCTCACCTAACCACATGAACCATTTAAATCTGGGTCTGGAGGTAGGAGACTGGAATTCAGAGATTCAAAAAATGAGAGGGATTTGACATGAAGGATATTCTACATAGCCAGCTTTCAAGGTGGAGGTGACCACTTGGCAAAAAATAAAGAAACAGATCTCAGTCTTGCAACCATAAAGAACTGAATTGAACTCTCCCTGTAATGAGCTTGGAAGCGGGTCCCCACCTCGACCCTGAGCCTCCAAGAACCCAGTCCAGCTCACGCCTTCATTTCAGCTGTGTGACACTCTGAGCAGAGGACCCAGTCATGCTGTGCCCAGAATTCTGACCTACAAAACCATGAGCTAATAAACAGGTATTATGATAAGCTACTAAGTGTGGGACAATTTGTTGCATAGCAATAGAAAACTATATTGGTTTTTATGGACTTAGCCTCAGAAGTCAACACAACATCACTTTTTCCATAGTCACAAGGCCACCCAAATTCAATGAGAGGGTAGATAAACCTACTTCTCAAAGATATGAGTGTCAAAGTTATATTTGAAGAAGAGCATAGGAGCTGGGTGCAGTGGCACATGCCTATAGTTCCAGCTACTCAGAAGGCCGAGGTAAGAGGATTGCTTGAGTCCAGGAGTTTGAGACCAGCCTGGGTGACAGAGCAAGATCCCATCTCTGAAAATATTTTATTAATTGATTGATTGAGATCTGGTCTCACTTTGTCATCCAGGCTGGAGTGCAGTGGCACAATCACAACTCACTGCGGCTTCAACTTCCTGGGCTCAAGTGATCCTCCCACCTCAGCCTCCCAAAGTGTTGGGATTACAGGTGAGCCACTGTACCCAGCCACACACACACACACACACACACACACACACACACACACACACACACATATATGTGTGTGTGTATATATATACTCTTTAAATATATGTATGTTATAAATATATGTATTTGTATATACATATATGTATATATATGTATACATGTATATATTTAAAGAGTATATAAGATGGGAAATATTGTTGTGTCCACCTTTGGAAAATACAATCTACCATATTATTTAACTTGAAGTCACATAATTTTAGAACTTTGGCGTTGAAAGCATCTCATGGATTATCTGTAAAATGAGGGATGATAGTGGTACCTACCTCACAGCAGTGTTGCAAGGTTTCAGCATGTTAATCCACAGTAAGTGCTTACTATAGGGCTTGATATATAGGAAGTCCTCAGTGCACTTTAGCTGTTACCATTTTTATCATCCAATCCATCCATCTCATTTTTACAAAGGAGGCATGAGGCCTTGAGGGATCATGTCATCTGTCATGGTGACACAGCGAATTCATGGGAAACAAGGATTAAGGTTTCCTGTTCCTCACCTCACACCTCTACACAAATTACTGTAACTTCTGATGTGTTTATGTCTTTCCAACTATGTCGTACATTCCTTTAGGCCAGGGAAGAAATCACCAAATGAAATATTCCTTCTCCCCTCAAACCTTCCTAACGTGTTGACTGGATGTGGCCCAAATTGAACAAGACAGGGCCTGCCCATCCAAAGGGGCATTTTACAGAAATTTTAGAGAAATGGAGGTACAGTCATGTGTATTTAACTTTCCTGGTAGACACTGGGCTGTATATAGCCTTTGTATGACATATGTGTCTAGTAGACATTTGTTGATTGTTATAACAAATGGCCCAGACCTATACTAGAAATAGAAGGTAAGGCATTATCATGGAACCTGGCCAGCAGCTGAAGGGATACATAGAGGTAAAAGGGTACAAGGCTAGGATTGAGCAAAACTGTAGAGAATTTTTCGTGTCTGAAGCAAAGGTAGTGATGAAACAGCCTTAGGATTAGAGAACGTCAGTAATGTTGTCCAGCGGTTACCTCTCCTCACAGGTAAACTAGTTCTGCTGTACAGTTCACTCTGTGTGTGTGTGTGTGTGTGTGTGTGTGTGTGTGTGTGTGTGTGTGTGTGTGTTTGAGACGGAGTCTAGCTCTGTCGCTGGACTGCAGTGGTACAATCTTGGCTCACTGCAACCTCTGTCTCCTAGGTTCAAACAATTCTACTGCCTCAGCCTCCTGAGTAGCTGGGATTATAGGTTCATGCCCCCACACCTGGCTAATTTTTGTATTTTTAGTAGTGACGGGGTTTCACCATGCTTGCCAGGCTGATC